CTTTGAGAGTCGAGCTTTCATCTGCTTAACCACCAGTCTTTCCGGATGATGTAGTTTTGATGTTAATTTCTCTCTGCAACTAACTACTATTTCGGTCATTTTACTGCAGGCTTAATTCGTAAGATCTTCTCTGGTACTCCCTGTAAGATTGTCAGCGCACCGTGGTCAGTTATACAGCTACTGCGTGTAAAACTTCTTCTTCGCTTTGAGAATCAAGCTTTCATCTTCATAACCACCAGTCTTTCCGGATAATGTGTTTTTGCTTTCTCTCTGCAATTAACTACTGTATCAGAGGTTTCAGCCACAGGCTTCATGAGATGCACTCCAGAAAGACTGTTGGAGCATCCTGGTCATAGCTTCTCAGTTTCTTCAGTTCTTTGAAAACCACGCTTCTGTCTTCAAAAAGCACTGGTCTTTCATGATAATGTCTTTTTAATTGCTTTCTGCAACTAACTATTGTTTCAGACGTTTTCATTGCTGTATTCATTGGTTGCTTGAACTTTCTTCTAATTGTCGGAGCGGAATTTTTCTTTCAGAGTGAGATTGTTAAAGTCGCTTTGTAAAACTCGTCGCTGGATTCATCGATTACGTAAATTTCTTCAAAGTGTTGGAATGAGATATTTCTATTCGTGTGGGATTATTTTGCCAGAGTGGGATTTTTCTGTAGGAGCGAGATTTTTCTGAGTGAGAGGTTTAAAGCCGTTTTCTGAAACTCATTGCAGGATTCGTTGATTGCTTGAACTTTCTTCTAACTGTTGGAGTGACATTTTTCTGTCGGAGTGAGATTTTTCTGAGTGCGATTTTTAGAGTCATTTTCTGTAACAGTCATCGTTGAATTCTTTTATTGCTGGAACTTTCTTCTAACTATTGGAGTGACATTTTTCTGTCGGAGTGAGATTTTTCTAAGTGAGATTTTGAAGTCGTTTTGTGTGTGCGTCATGGAGGTTCATCTGAGCAGCATCGCCACCCTTGTGTTTCTTCAGTGTTTATCGCTAGCATGTGGATATTGGTACTGGGATGGCACACAGTGGCAAGGTAAAAAAAGAAGTACAGTTTTGAGGGTTTTTTTATGAAGATTTGTTTATTATTTTTTTTTTTAATCAGCACTGCGATTATCTTCTGTTGAGCCACGGGGCAAAAATGGAGTGGTTTTCTCGTGCCTTTGTCAATTTTTTTTCAGAAAACAAAATTTTCAATACTGGTACACAACAAGATGGATAATATCAGTGTTGTTGTGCATTTATTTATTTATTTATTTATTATTTATCCTGGGTGATCCATTCAGTGAGAAAAACTCACTGATCTCCCATGGATCCCAGCTCACACAAAACTACTATTAAAATACAATTAAAATATTAAGAGTACTTGTAAGAATGTTAAAAAATTCATTTAAATAAATTTAAAGCCTGAGTCCATCATTTGCAGCTATCCAAAAAAGTAACTGGCGTAATTATTGTTGAAATACATACTGGTTGAAAGATAGTAAGGGGACTAAACTCCCTGTGAAATTATCCTTTCTGGCAAGCTCTCATTTTGAAGAAATCAACGAAAGAAGGCATTTCCAACGGTGCGTCTTAAGAAGCACCGTAGGAAAATTTAAATTAGTAGTTCGTTTTGTTATTCGGCGCAGCGCGCACAAGCATTGGAACGACGCACAGGCGCGTGCGGTTGCTATAATTCGTCAGATCAATGCGCGACATCGCGTAAAGCTGCAATTCAAAACAATTCGAAACATGATTTAGCAACTTTTGATTTGAAATTGAGATCCTAGAATGCTGTTTTTCTCGGAATACATGTATAAAGCCCAAGCTGAGCTGAAACTTCATCAAGTAAGTTGTTCAGTATCCTTCATTAGATTTTGAACACTTTTGTTGCTTCAAACAAACAAAATGCACTGATTACAAATGATGGACTATAGCTTTAAACAAAATAGGAATTACACAGAAGATTATATTTTTTACAAAATTAGAAACCTTTTTTTTAAAGGTAGAACCAAATCCGTGTGCATGCTGCATGGCATTTTTAAAGACGAGACATGCGCGTATTTTGGTAATTCTATTGGTCGAAGGGTCCCGGAGACATGCGTATGAGTGCGAGCCAGTTTCCACATGTCAAAACTGACTTCTTAATTTGTTCGCCAAATAATTAGTCTGTATGCAAAGAAATTCTCCAGATGTTTTCTTTTCCTCACTGTGTGTACATGTACAGTACACACAGATGTTTTGCAGACTTTGCAAATTGGAAACTTAAATAGTCTTACCAGTTTCCTTGCTCTATGGTCCTACACTCATCACCTCCCTTCCTATATAAACATGGCGTGGTCTAATGTTTGTTGACAAGTCCTTGGGGGAAGGTCAAAGATACACATGTAGGCAAGATTGAATTTTTTATCTGAGAAAATTTAGTGAAAATGGGGATTTCTTTTAAGCAACATTGTGGAACAAAAATTCACGGTGAGATTTTTGCTGATCCATAAACACTGCCTTGAATGTGCTTGTGTTTTATGTTGCTTTGTGTACTAAACAATGTGCATAGTGTTTTCGTCTTTATTATGAGTACTTTTCGAAGTACTTTTTAGAGCTGTACATGCACATGTTACTCAATGTTATAGTGTTATGGCAATCAGTTTTTCGAAAACTGAGTTCTGCTTCACATATGTGCATGTGTGCATGTACAGGATGAGTCAAAAAGAAAGGGACCTGGATTAATAATATTTTTCTGAAAAAGCATTTAAATTTGATGTAGGCAAATGAATTACCGGTATTTCTTAAAAGAGCATATTCATCCACTCATCTAAAAAAAAGAGTTGCTGAAATTGATAGATGCTATCAGGAGTAATGCATGTTTTACTAAAAAAAAATAGAAAACATTTTTATAGCTTTCCATGGAATGCCATTGGAAGCTACTGGTATGAAGCAAAGTGAGAATTACAGATTACACACAAAAACAAGCATACTCATGATAATACAAGTGAAATTTGAATCATGGAAATCAAAACATTTAACATGATTTTTACGGTCAAATTTTGTGTGTTTTGGATAAGAGGAACAAGGCAACTTTGAGCATCCCTTTACAGTTTTGGGGTTTGAGATTAATTTGATGTAATTTGTTTGTGGCAGGCTTGATTGTGCTGCACAGGAAATGCTGTTGGTCATATCGGAAACAGCCATTTGAACAAAAGGAACAGAGCTGTTTTTGTAACTGGCTGAATTACCCCACTGAATACACGTACCGGTAGCTTCACATTTGTACCTGATGGCCACAGGTCTTTGTAAATGCCAGTTATATAGGCTGGGCAGATCCAGAGTCGACTTTTCAGCAGTGTGGGGTGGGGGCAAAGAGGGCTCAATTAAATGTTCACTTGGGAATTTGGGAGACTTGTTCAAATGCAGCCCATTGGGGAACATTTGACCGATTTGTTTGGCCTAATTTCTGGATGTGCCACTGTTTTCATTTCAGGCTAAATTTCATGCACTATTATTGCTCACAAGGGTTCAACAACAAGCATTAACCCTCCCTCTCTGGCTGTCAAATTCAACACAGCTATCCCAGCAGTCAAAATCAATCAAGTGACTGTTTTTAACAGTACCGATGTATGAGGTCCAAGCCTACATACATGTACATTTTAAGCAGGATTGACTGGCTGTGTGGTTTACAGTATATCACTTGATATAGATTTGCTTTGTCTTGTAGGCATGGGCGTCGCGAGGGGGGGGCAAGGGGGGGCACTTGCCCCCCCCTGGAAAAGCAAAAAAAAAAAAAGGAAGAAAAAAAAAAGAAAAAAGAAAAAGAGGCGCGAAGACAAAGTGGTGTAAATTTAATGAGTTGGGGGGGGGGGGGGGGCAAAATGTCCCTGCCCCCCTCTAAAACTGATAAATCGAGAATGTGTTGAAAAATACAAGCATTTTTTGGCAAAAAAATTTTTTGCCCCCCTCTAGAAAAAATCCTGGCGACGCCCATGCTTGTAGGTGATTGATTTATAAGCTGTGCCTACCCGGTACCTGTTAGTTGCTGTTGTCTGTTGTTGGAATTTGACTAGTCGCAGTGCTTGCTGGAAAAATGTATGATCTGACTGTTGGTGACTAGCCCGTGTATAAAGGCATGGCAGGGGAAGAGGATTGATGTAAATTGTAATTGAATGGATTTGCAGCTTGTCAACAAAGAGGTTTGGCAGCACTACATGAGGAAAGTCAGGGGGCCATTGAAGTGCACCACGTTTAGGGGACTCCACTACATTGTACAGCGTGTGTCAATAAAAACGCAGGATTCAAAGCGATTTTTTTTCTGACAAAATTATGCTACTGGTGTGCCTAATTTGATAAGGATTTGATTGTCCATAATTTCATCTTTGACAAGATTTTTGTTTGGTGGAATTTGGACTTTTGGTTCAAGAGTTATGACAAGTTTTGTGAAGCCCTTCTGAAGCGGGTTGGTCTGATTCAATGACCTTAACACAACGACCAGTTATGTACAATGCAGGTATGCATTGAAGACAATTAAACCAGAACAAAACTTTCTTTGAAACAACTGATGATAAGTATCACTTAAATTTAATAACTGGACTATCATTGTTTCAAAGCATCATGAATGTCGTCTCTGACATATCAAATAACATTGATTGTGGACTAAAGGATTATGTAAGCCTAATCCTGCCACACATGTCCTTCTTTGTGATCCACAAATACTTTCACCTGTACTGAATTCAAACCTTTCATTAGGTATGTGTGATTTCACAAATCAGACCAGCTTGGAATTTATAACCCTTCTTCAATGTACTCTATCTCTGGACAGGATTGTCCAAATGAGATGGAATAAAAAGCATAGTGAAGAGAAGGAAAGGTACTTTGAAAAGAGGGTTAACATTATGATGAATAGGGGTGGTTTATATTCTTAATATTTTTGTTTCTAATCCTGCGTTTTTATTGACACACGCTGTACTTGTACATTGTATTACATTGTATATAGTTGATTGAAGAAGTGAATGTTTTCTTTGTCAACAGCCTGTGAGTGCAATGGCCGTTCCAACCGCTGCTACTTTGACCAGGACCTCTACGACCGGACCGGCCATGGCGGCCATTGCCAGGACTGTCAAGGCAGCACCGACGGACCAAACTGTGAGCGTTGCCGTGACAACTACTACCAGTCTTCCCAGGATGCCGTTTGCCAGCCTTGCAACTGCGACCCAGTCGGTAAGTTCAATTGTTTAGTGCTGTGCATTTTCAAATACTTTTAAGTATTTGATTATTCAAACTTCAATTCGAACGAATATTCAAATATTTGAAACACGTCAATCAAATTTAACGTGCGCCAGCCAAGATACAATGTAACATACGGTACACCAGTCAATAACTAAATTGGACGCTGATCAGAATTTGAGATTTTAAAATCTCTCCAAATATCAGTTTCATATATTCAGCTACAGTACCGGTATTCTTTACAAGTATATTCATCTTTTTCAAAAATTCTTTATCATAATTCCCACGCGTACGCAACTTTGCCTCGCGCATGTAAAACTGAATTGGTTTGTTTGAAATATTCAAAAAGTTGATAGAATCCATTAGTTTGAATAATCAAATACTAAATTATTCGAAAATGCAAAGCAGGTATTTCAAAGTTCAAGCAAATCATCCCCTCTAACATGAATTCTAATAAATAGTACATTTTCATTACCCTTAATGTTCATTCTTTTTTTATTTTTCTTGTAGGTTCACTGCATCTACAGTGCGACAGTCGAGGCCAGTGCACCTGCAAGATCGGAGTAGGCGGTGAGAAGTGCAACCAGTGCCTGCCCAACTACTTTGATTTTGGTGTGGCCGGCTGCACGTAAGTCATTTATAATTACAACAATAAATAGTTTTTACCCCTCAGCCGAGAGGCTCGAGGGGTATTGTCATCGCCTAGGGCGTCCGTCCGTCCGGATGTATGTATGTCTGTCCGTCCGTCCGTCCGTCCGTCCGTCCGGGCAGCTTAGTTTCCGGATGATAACTTGAGTTAGAAATGTTGTTTGGGGTTGTAACTTCGGTAGGGGGTTGCCCTTGGGAGTAGGCAAGTTGGGATTGGTTTTGAGGTCAAAAGGTCAAAGGTCAAGGTCACCGTGGTGAGTTAAATGTAAATGGTTTCCGGATGATAACTTGAGTTAGAAATGAGATTTTGGTGTCTAACTTTGGTAGGGGGTTGCCCTTGGGAGTAGGCAAGTTGGGATTGGTTTTGGGGTCAAAAGGTCAAAGGTCAAGGTCACCGTGGTGAGTTAAATGTAAATGGTTTCCGGATGATAACTTGAGTTAGAAATGAGATTTTGGTGTCTAACTTTGGTAGGGGGTTGCCCTTGGGAGTAGGCAAGTTGGGATTGGTTTTGGGGTCAAAAAGTCAAAGGTCAAGGTCACCGTGGTGAGTTAAATGTAAATGGTTTCCGGATGATAACTTGAGTTAGAAATGAGATTTTGGTGTCTAACTTTGGTAGGGGGTTGCCCTTGGGAGTAGGCAAGTTGGGATTGGTTTTGAGGTCAAACGGTCAAAGGTCAAGGTCACCGTGGTGAGTTAAATGTAAATGGTTTCCGGATGATAACTTGAGTTAGAAATGAGATTTTGGTGTCTAACTTTGGTAGGGGGTTGCCCTTGGGAGTAGGCAAGTTGGGATTGGTTTTGAGGTCAAAAGGTCAAAGGTCAAGGTCACCGTGATGAGTTAAATGTAAATGGTTTCCGGATGATAACTTGAGTTAGAAATGAGATTTTGGTGTCTAACTTTGGTAGGGGGTTGCCCTTGGGAGTAGGCAAGTTGGGATTGGGTTTGGGGTCAAAAGGGCAAAGGTCAAGGTCACCGTGGTGAGTTAAATGTAAATGGTTTCCGGATGATAACTTGAGTTAGAAATGAGATTTTGGTGTCTAACTTTGGTAGAGGGTTGCCCTTGGGAGTAGGCAAGTTGGGATTGGTTTTTGGGTCAAAAGGTCAAAGGTCAAGGTCACCATTGTGAGTTAAAGGTAAATGGTTTCCGGATGATAACTTGAGTTAGAAATGCAATTTTGGTGTCTAACTTTGGAAGAGGGTTCCCCTTGGGAGAAGGCAAGTTGGGATTGGTTTGGGGGTCAAAAGGTCAAAGGTCAAGGTCAGCATGGTGAGTTAAAGGTAAATGGTTTCCGGATGATAACTTGAGTTAGAAATGAGATTTTGGTGTCTGACTGAGGTAGGGGTTTGCCCTTGGGTACAGGCAAGTTGGGATTGGTTTTGGGGTCAAAAGGTCAAAGGTCAAGGTCACCGTGGTGAGTTCAATGTAAATGGTTCCGAATGATAACTTGAGTTAGAAATGAAATGTTGGTGTCTAACTTCGGTAGGGGGTTTCCCATTGGTACAGGCATGTTGGGACTGGTTCTGGGGTCAAAGGCCAAAGGTCAAGGTCACCACGTGAGTTAAAGGTTAATGGTTTCCGGATGATAACTTGACTCTGGCTGAGGGGTTTCAACAGCAACGCTGTTATTTTTGGGAACTGATCGTCCTTACTCGCAGCAGAAGCTGAATTGTGCAGGACACATATACAGCGTGCTAGAGCCGTGCTAGACGCCTTAGGCAGCCGCCGTACGACCCATGTCTTACCGCTGTGGTACAACCAGGTAAAGAGATCTGGGAATCGAACCCAGGCAACAGTGGTGAGAAGAGAGCACTTAAAGCATTGCGCCACACATTCCCCCCCAGACATTCCACCAGAGTCTTTTACTATCCTTAAACTGCAAAACTTGAACGAGCATTCATTCTTCTTTATTCTTTATTTTTCATCCTTTGTTTTCTTTCTACTTTTAACAAATTATTCAATTAAGAATCACACAGTCCCCAGATCACCACTCTGTTGCACTATTGAAAATAACTGACATTTTCCAACCCTGAAACGCCCCTGTGTTTGTCAAGGGGCCAATTCCTATTTATTTATCTTTCCTGTGACCATGCCATGCTGAGCTGAAACCTTCTAGGGTCACTCCCTACCCCAGCCGAGTGTAAGCAGACATCCTGACAGAAATATTGCTGGCAAGATTCAATTTCAAGAAGATTCTAGCTTCACTTGCATACTTGTCTCATGTTTGATAAGTTATTTCAAAACAATTTTGTTCCAATAATTAGAGCACTATTGTTTTTCACAAAATACAGGGAATTTTAAACACAACCACCCCAATTCATTTTAAGCACCAACCAGCCCAATTTATAAGCTTTCTTTGAGTACACAAATCATTCAAATCACTCATGTACTTTTTAAGTTGCAGAATTCTAAACACAACCACCATTTTAAAGTTCTGTCCACGGATCACAACATAAGGTGTGCGTTCTTTCAGTAAAACAAAAACAATTAAAGGGTTAATCAAGATTATCACTGCATGTAAAAAAAAAAAAAAAAAAGCTCACGTAATGAAATGAGTAAGTGATTAATTTGTCCCTAACTCCCTACTTAGTTTTACTAAGTAGAAGACAATGTCTTTCAAAATCCATCACTCACTCTGCTTCACATAATGCTTCAGGACCAAATCTGTTGAAATCCACCACTGGTGCTGGTGGATTTTGATTGGACTTGGTACACATGGCTTATCTGCCAAAATAATGGCATTTAGATTTTGATGGAGTTGGTAATGTTAGGATTATGCAAGGTGAAAGTGATGTACGGACAGGAACCGATATTTACTTCTTCTTTTGTTCAAAATTCCCCCCGGAAATCTTCCTGCCTGTGACCCCACTGCAGGAGCTGTGACTGTGTGATAGCAGGCAGTGTCAACAGTCAACCAACATGCGACAGCACCACAGGACTGTGCGAGTGTAAGACCAACGTAGAAGGCCGCCAATGTGACAGGTAGGCATTTTTTATTTGTTGGCTGTTGACATTTGTTTTTGTTGAAATTTTTTTTCCCTTTTTATCCCCCTGGCTGTAAGCCGGATGGGGATATTGCGAAAGTGTGTTCCTTCTGTGTCTGTCTGTCTGTGTGTTATGTTTTGGTTTTTTTTTTATTAGGTTAACTCTTGTCAGCACAATAACTTGAGAAATACTTTATTTAGGAACTTGAAGTCTGGTTTGTGGGTTGGTCTTGATGGTCTTAAGAAGCCTATTGCTTTTTGTGCCGACAGGTCAAAGGTCAAGGTCACTATTGCTAAAACAATAGAAACATTGTCAGCTCGAAAGCTTGAAAAACATTTTTTTTTTAGGAACTTCAAATTTGGTTTGTTGGCTGCTCTTGGCAGTCTTATCAAGCCTACTGCTTTTGGGGCCGACAGGTCAAAGGTCAAGGTTACTGTTGCTAAAACAATGGAAATCTTGCACGGTTAGGGAAAGTGACAAGTATCTGTTCTGACTTTATAAAAACTGCCAGCATGCATGTCAATCCTGCTTTATGTAGGCTGGGAATTCTTAACTGTTGAAAACAGTCACTTGATTGATATTGACTGAAAGGACTACTTGGCACAGAATGTAAGTTTGCATAGGAGGGATAATATAAATGGAGTCTGCGGTATTTTGACTGATGACGTTGTTCTCTCTGTCTGTTGTAGATGCAAGTCTGGGTACTTCAACCTTCAGGAAGATGACCCCTTTGGCTGCATGTCTTGCTTCTGTCATGGTCACTCCTCTGAATGCTCCTCAGCTCCGGGATATGAGTTCTCCTACTTGCAGAGCAGGTTCAACTCAGGTACACACTTCACCGCTAAAGTTTGATAGATTTAAAGTCTCCATGCAATGAATTTGTCTTAGAAACATATTCTGTGCAACTTTCTCCTCCTCTTGGTTCTTGGTTCTTGGTTGGTGCTTCTCCTAAATATTCCGCGTGGGAGTTTATACAGGAGGCCAGAAACACTGGGGCAAACCCCTTCTCTTAGCGATAAGTGTCACTGGGTTCTTTTACGTACATTACATTACACAACACACGGGACCTACGGCTTTACGTCCCATCCGAAGGACGAAGCAGTAATGGTTAAGTGCCTTGCTTAAGGACACAAGTGCCCAGACCGGGACTCGAACCTATGCCACCGTTGCCTCTGAAACACCAGAGCATGAGTCCGGTGCTCTTGACCGCTAGGCCATGGTACTCCTCTTAAATGTATGAAAACCAGTTGACGTCCCGTTTTGGTTAATTTTATTGGAAAGTGCATTTCTGTGAACATTAAAATATTGTCAATGCTATTCTTGACAACTGAGGGCGCTGGTGCTGTGATGTCATTTCAGGAAGACACTGTTCAGTTTAGGGGTTTTTTGTTCAGTCTGTGAACCCAAAAAACTCGCTCATTGAAAACGCTTGTGAGAAAAGCTTGCTCATTGGCTTAATTTTTTAATGCCGTGTACTGACACAACAACGAATGACCAATGAAAAGAAAATGTACAACAGCGAAATATCCAAAATTCTGGCAACTTGTTCTGAAATAACTGTAAGTTTGTAATTTCTGCCTTAAATGCAGAAAAACCTAACAGGCACCAAAATACCCTTTAAAATGGCAAAACAAAAATTTAGTGGGACACGCAAGTGCATTTTCAAGGATTGCATTTTAAACATTACATTGCGTGGGCCCTTTAAATGGGTGGGATGTGTGAAACCCGCTTTCCAGTCTCGCCAACATTTCCCTTTATTTGGAAAACTGGAAAATGGCCATAGCGTTGCATGTATTGCATTTGTATTACGCATCAAGTTTGCTTGACGATATATTATAAGTTATCCCGCGAGCGCGAGTGGAACATAGAATAATGTAGTGCGTCTGTGTCCCACATACCACAAGACCGAAGTCCGAGTGGTATGCGGGACACAGGCGCACTACATTTTCCGTGTTCCACGAGCGCGAGCGTGATAACAAATTTATCTTCAAGCAAACTTGACGCACAGTAAAGTTGGACCATCCCTTTACACGAACCTTTTAGCGGTTTAGCGCATGCAGCTGGAATGTTGCTCGCATCTTGGAATAGCGCGCACGCAGGGTGCGATATGGACCGTGCAATACAGCCTCATATCACACTGTTGTTGCCATGGATCGACCAATCAGGATTGAGGATACAAGTTTGCTTGAACATAAGATTTGTTATTGCACTTGCTTTTGCGGAAGATGGAAAATCTAAGTAATGCGTGTGTGTCCTACATGCCTTTAGGCCTTGTTACAAATGGAACATACCGGGTACGGTAGATTCGCTATATTGGTCCGTGTTCTGCCTTCGTTGGATGACAAAAAGTGATTTACGTGTTTGTTGTGTTTGATTGTGCGCAGGTAACGAAGGTTGGGAAGCCAGGGGTCGATATGGTCAGGAAGGCACCCTGGTGTTTAGCAGCATCCGTCAAAACATTGGCATTGCTTCCGACAACACGCGGCCTTACTACTTCGTTGCACCAGGTAAGCTTTCTCTTTTTGTGCATAAGACTTGAAGATTAAAGGGAAGATACAACATTTGCAAACATCAAAAAAACAAAACGATCAAGTTTTAACAACATACTTTACTGGACTGTTAGGGAATGACAAACTCTGTAAACTCATGGCTTCTGGTGTGCTGACATTTGCAAGTAAAGTGGTATTTTTGTATCAATTTCCAACGCTGGTCGGCCGACAAGCGCTGGAGGAAACTGGCTTCTTCTTTTTTTAACTCCCATTTTTCTTCATATTTAGTTATTCCGCATTTTCTTTGCAATTGATTACACACCTGTGAAGGGGTAAATGCCAGCTAGACTGATTCTCCGACCTCACCATTCCCGAATGTGTAAAATTGCTCTGTTTCATATTAAGTGGGGTCAGGGAACCAGACAGCAAGAACAGGATTGGTTTTCTTTGTTTTTCCAGCATCTACAAACCAAAAACATGAAACAAGTCAGTGTAACAATATCTGCTATAACATACTAATCCTGCAAATCCATTTATTTCTGAAAATTACAGCAAAAGCAAATGTTGTACATTCCCTTTAACCCCAACTGCCCCAATCCTTCAAAATCCAACTGCAAATTTTGCTTGATTCTGTTGGAGTGAGGACTGCACTAGTAAACTGATTATGCCTTACATGGGGTCAGGTATACCACCGTAATCAGAGTCCAACAGCTTGGGTGTAGAGTTTACCATATGGTGTTGGATTTTGCAAGACTGGGGAAGGTTCTTAGTAAATCATTAAGGTGGTTAGGGTTAATAATAATGTTTCTTTTTATAAAGTGCTTTTTTTTTATCCACACATATGAGTGCTCAAACCACGCTACATCATAACCCCTGTGCATTCAACCTGTAAACACACATCAGCAGTATGCATGTATAGCAGCAAAAATTAATCACAGTAACCATATCTGGACTCACAGATGGGTCATTCCACCGGGTTGGGGAACAAAGTGTGACATATGACCATATTAAGAAAAGCATGAATGCCTTGCTAGCAGTTACTCTACATACATGTAATATTTGTTGTTGGGTGTTTCACTACTGCAGAAAATTTGAAATAATTTCAATGTATTTTGCCAAAAATATGAGCAAAAAATGTCATTTTGGACGTAACATTGACAACGTGTCAGTGTTACGTCCAAATATGACATTTGTACCTGTTTTTTAATTTCTGCGAAATGATACTCAAATTCACTTTGCGTACTTCTTACTATACATGCAACACAATAAGAAAAGCTTTTGTTACGGTAGTCAGGTATCAAATGGAGCAGAAATGATAGCTTGGTTGTGTGGACGTAACATTGACACGGTGTAAAACCCAAATGTCACACTTCCATTGAGTGATTTTTACACCCTTACATCCACACTTGAGGTATTGTTTCTGCTATATTTGAACCCTGACTATACCAAAACAAAAGCTTTTCTTGGTGCTTAGGTGTCCAGTTGTAAATATGCAATGTCAGTTTGAGTAATATTTTACATAATGGCCAAAAAAGAATATTTTGATGTAACATTGACACGGTGTCAATGTTACGTCCAAATTAATACATTTTTGCTCATATTTTTGTCAAAGTACTTTCAAATGATTTCAAACTTTCTCAAATATTGAAACACCCTTAGACAAATATTATGTTGAGCAATTGTTTGGAATGCATTGATACTTTTAATAATATAATCAAATATATGGATGTAACATGCCCTGCTTCCCAACCCGGTGGAATGACCCAGATACAAACGCGTTACTCCTGGGTGGGGATAAGCAATTCATGATAATGTGTCTTGCCCAAGGACGTTAGCACTACAACCCGGAGCTAGTGGAGTGCTGTGGCTTCGTGGTTAAGGGCATTGGATTCGTGGTCTGCGGGTAAAGCTGCAGGTTGTGGGTTCGTGTCCAGCCTAGGGTCATGGTGCGTGGGCCCTTGGGCAAGGCACTTTGTCACTCATTGCTTCTCTCCACTCAGGAGTAATGGGAACCTGTGAGGGCAGAGATGGTTATTGTGATTGAATTAGCTTCCTTGAGCCTAACGGGCAGCATCGAGCTGTGTACTCCCCAGAGAGCTGAGATGGTGTTTAGAATGTTTCATGGGCCCAATTGAATTATAGGGGTAATAATGATGTAACGCCTTGAGCGCCAGTCCTGGTGGATATTATTATTATTAATCATTTCTGGTAATGAAACCAAGGGGTCCTCAAAAAGCGCCCTAGGCACTGTAGCTCGTAAGCCTGAAGAAACCTGTGGAGAGAAGACAATGAGAAGAAGTTACAGTTTTAGAGGTGGGAGGAAAAGCCCAGAAGAATATTCTGGGGGAAACCCACGGAATCAGGCAGGGACTGAAAACCCAATCCACATATTGGCCCAGGCGGGATTTGAACCCGGGTCACAGCAGTGGAAGGCGAGGAAATTACCGCTACGCCAACCTGACTCCCCCTACATGCGCTTTATAAATACCCACTATTATTGTTAGACTCGAATCCTGTAGAAATGCTCATAAAACTTCAGTTCGGTGCTCCAAAGCACGATGATATGGCACTTCACCTACATGTAGATTTTCAGAATTGTTTATCCCTTTAGGGTACTTACCGGTACATGTACCATAGTGTCACATGTACATGTACAATATTCGTTGTTTGAATTTTCAGACAAGTACCTCGGTGACAAACGGTTGGGCTACGGCCAGGAGATGACCTTCACATTCCGCCACGTAGGGGCGGAGCCTAGCCTGACTGTGGAGGATGTCATACTGATGGGAGACGGCCTGACCATATCTGCGCCCATTGTCGCCCAGGGGAACCCCACCCCGGGCATCCTGCCCCAGACGTACACCTTCAGGTTGGTAGTCAGAAGGGTTGATACTAAAAAGGCTTCTCTTAGGCCAAAAAAAAAAGTCTCCGGTTTCTGGTATGCGCGCGCGTCGCCGTAGCCATGCGCGTCGGCAAAATGAAAAAGTTTTTTTTTCAATACAAGATGATGTCTCAAAACCGCCAAACGCACTGGTTTGACTGGAATCCTGCTGCTGCACAATTTTAACGTGTTTTTAGATGGGGTTATGATCGAGAATAAGCTTTATGTGGCCTCTCTGGACTCCCATATATTTGCACTAAGTTTAGTCGGGCACCATTTGCAGTCATCAGCCGACATTTGAAGCCAAAAAAAAAAAAAAAACAGGTAAAAAAAAAAAAAAAGCCGCGTCGCCGCACCACTTTTGGGGCAAGCTCCATACCAGAAACCGGAGACTTTTTTTTTTTGGCCTTAATGTCTTTTGAATTTCGGACAGTTTAGGACAACCTGTGTGAGTTTTTAGTTACCGGTACACGTGCGAGACTATAGAATAGGCCATTTTTTGGGTTGAAATACTGCACTGTAGTGATGGCATTTGAGGGTACAAGTACCATACAAGGTCAGGGACCAGCCCTAAATCTAGTGACATCGCTAGATAGCACAACAGACGCTTGATCAAGCGACGATGACGTCATTCTTCAGTACGACTAGCCGTCACTTGAGCTTCCTGACTAGTCTTGTTGACAGGATGATTGATTATCCATCCCATACGCTTGCTGGCTAGACTTACATGTACATGAACTGTAAGAATAAACACAAACATGCGGTTCTTGTCAGAGGGGCTGGTGTTTGGCTAGGATTTTCAAACCAGGTTAAAGGGGCACTCACCACGTTATTTGGCTATGTTTGAATGAGGAACTGACCGAAAAATGCCCGAGTAATTAAAAAATTACATGTAAGTAAACTGATCTTTATTTTAGAGCACAATTGCAAAAGAGTCACAAAACGTGCCCTCCTCCTGCTACGACCTCCTGCTTTCTAGTGCAGACGTCTTAGCTCGACCACCGTTTGCTCGGTGGTCGAGTGGTAAGACGTCTGCACTAGAAAGCAAGAGGTTGTGGGTTAGAGTCCCACCCGAGTGATTTTTTCCAACTTTCACTCGGGAGGTAACACACTGAGTATACAGTGTTTATACGTCAGTGAAGGGCTAAACCTAATTTGATTTACATCACCCCGACGCAATATTCCATCTTATGAGTAGTGGGTTAACGAAGAAAGGAACTGGTCCTAAGATTGTAGTTTTCCCCCTGCAGGCTGCGTGAGGAGGAGGAGTTGGGCTGGGTACAGAGACCTTCATCGTTTGATTTCCAGCGTCTGCTGACCAACCTGACGGCTATCATGATCAGAGCAACGTATGCTGATGGAGGTCAGGACAAATCACAAGACAGTTGCAATACAGTTTAAGTTATACATCTGATGAAAACTTTCCCAGTTGAAGTTTACGTATTGTCTGCCTTTGTATTTTTAGCGATTCCAAGGGTACAACCGCTCATCTGAAAGCAAGTAAATACTTGCAACAGTCACCATATTGTGCAAAAAATAAAGTCATCATGTTGTCACCAAAGATGAATCGCACTACATACATTACTTACATCACACTTACATGACTACAATACACGTGTTGCTGCATTATAAGTCCAACCATGGATCAGTTTAAATGATGAGTTTGGTGAAATTGGCCCCAGGTGCAGTAAGGAGCATGCAAGGGGGTTTTATCCAGTTTATAGAGCCAATATTTAAAGGGAAAATACAACATTTGCAAACATCAAAAAACAAAACTACCAAATCATTTTGAAATACCTTGCTGGACTGTTAGTGAATGACAGTGTAAAGCATCCTGTAAAATCATGGCACCTGGTATACTGTCATTTTCAAGAAAAGTGGTATTTTTGTATCAATTTCTAACGCTGATCGGCCGATCAGCGTTGGAAACAACTGGCTTTTTTTTTCAAATACTGGCCCCAATTGACCATCGCACTTGTTTGCAATCGATTACAAACCTTTGAACGGGTACGAGCCAGCTAGACTGGTTCCCTGACCTTACAATTCCCCAATGTATGTAAACTGCTCTGTTTCTTCTTATATGGAGTCAGGGAACCAGACTACAGGAAAATGATCGTTTTCTTGGTTTTTATAGCATTTTCGAACCCAAAACCTCAAAAAAGTCAGTGTAACTATATTTGCTATATATTTCCAACCCCCCAATTCCATCCATTTCTGAAAATTACAGCAAAAGCAAATGATGTATATTCCCTTTAACTGAATGATATTGAAGATTTTCAACATGGAGGTTTGGTAACACTGCATGAGCAAAGTCTGGGAAAAAATGTAAAAAACAAACTTTGAAATACATTAACCCTAACGTACCTGAATCCATCAAAATCCACACCCCTGTTTTGGAGGATTTTGGTGGATTCAAGAATTCAGGGTACCTCTATATTGAAAAAGTTGGGGGATTTTGATGGATTCACACCCCTGTTTTAGAGGATTTCGGCATATTCAGGATACCTCCATATTCAAAATGTTAGGGGACTTTGATGGATTCGGGACAGTAAGCCTAGCGATACTACAGGATTTTGATGGATTCAGGATACCTCCATATTGAGCAGTTGGGGGACTTTGATGGATTCAGGATCTCAACAGTTAAACTCCTTGTCTACATGTTTGGTGTGTACAAGGTATATGTACTACACTGGTGGATTCTGATGGACTCACTGGTGGATTCTGATGGACTCAGGATATACCAACCTTTTTTTGCACGACATAATTGGTGGATTTTGGCAGATTCAGGTAAAAGTAAAAGTGCTCAAGGGGTTAGGGTTAAGTTAGCGTATTCCACTGTTTGTACATACATGAACAAGCATCATCAAACACAAAACCCTCATTGTTTGATTCCATCTACAGCACAAGGCATCATTGACAACTTTGATTTCCCGACGGTGCGGCGCGCCGTGGGCCCCGGGGCCGAGAGGGTAGACTTCGTGGAGCTCTGCCAGTGCCCCGTCGGCTACGTGGGTCAGTTCTGCGAGTCCTGTGATGGCAAGTTCCGCCGGGATCCCCCCGAGGGCGGGCCGTTTGCCCAGTGTATCCCCTGCGAGTGCAACGGCCACGCCGACTACTGTGAGGCGACCTCAGGTGACTCGAAAGTTTCTTTAAAGAACACGAAACCTTTCAACTTCTACGGTTTTATGCTTTTCAGACAATGCCAAATAGGCATACTTGACACTTGTTACAGACTGTTCTTTCAGACTCCTGCTGAACGAAATAAATCCCATGATTGGAACTTACGTAGAGTAGATCATTTGCAGCTGTCCAAAATAGTAACTGGCGATATTATTGTTAAAATGCTTGTTTTCTTTAAAAAGTAATGGCACTAAACTACCCTGTGAAATTACTCATTCTAGCATGCTATCATTTTGGAAAAAAAACACCAAAAAAACACAATAAAACAAAGCTATTTTCAAGAGATGTGTCAAATGACGCATATTTGGAAAATTTCCGTTAGTAGTTGGTTTGTAATTTGGCGAATCTGTGATTGGATGTGCGCAAGCGTTGACAGGATGCATGCGCGCGTGGTTGCTATTATCAGCCTGTTCAGTAGGAGACATGGCGTAGCCGCAATCGGCTGAATAAGAACATGTCCCGGACGCTGATTTCATGAATTGAGCACAGAGCTCAAAGTTCGTCAGGCTAGGTGTTAAGCACCTGTCTTTAGATGTTGAGCACTTTTGTCAGCTTAAAAAAAAGACATGAATGGCAAATGATGTAGCCTACCTTGAAGTACACAGAAAGTTTGACGTAACGCCAGAGTCTCGCCAATGGATAATTAATACATATTAGTTTGCCTGTCTGTAGCCATAAACCTTTTGGGTCGATCCGAGTTGCTTTTTAAACTCGTCAAACTGTGCTTTGAAAACGAGACCTGACTTTAAATGCCTTCTCACTTCCTTTCAGGTATCTGCATCTGTCAGGACAACACCGTCGGTGATCAGTGCGAGCAGTGTGCGCCAGGGTTCTATGGCGATGCTCGGCAGGGTGCTAGCGACGACTGCAGACCGTGCCCCTGCCCTGGCGGCAGTGAATGCATGCAGATGCCCAGCACTGGGGAGGTCATGTGTACTAATTGCCCCATGGGTTATGTGGGTAAGTGGCGTACACGGTGGTGCAAAATTAAGGAAATACACATTTGACAGCAACTTTCACCTGCTGAGTCAGGCCGTGTCCGAAATGGGCTTCCAGAGCTACGGCTACGTCTATTGTCAGCGCGTCCCCGCGTATTTTCAATGGGCGCGGACCTAGACCTAGCTCTAGACAGTTGATTCGGATGCAGCCTTAACTTATTTCAATTCAGGCGTTTCACAATGCAGTGCGCCACCAAGAGTTTGCCACAGAGGGGTCATTATTTCCCAGTGCATTGTGGGAGATGGTCGACAAATTTGCAACGCGGAACATTTGAAATTGTTAGTTTTTCCTGTCAGCAGTTTCGTAAGCGTATGATTCGAGTATCTGCCTACCCTGTTATTTTCTTTTTATCAGTATGGTGTTTTTTGTAAGGCGGCAGAACACGATGCCCCAATCTACCGGTACATGTATAATAAATTAGCTCAAGTTGTCTACTGACACTCATTCAAATGGGCCGTGTTTTGTCAACCGTAAACTTGAAAAATGGACTATCAACGGCAACTCTTTGGTGGTGCATTGCATTGTGAATCGCTGGAATTTTTTCTGTGCATAGTAGTAAAGTATAGCCCTTTAACCATGTATGCTGGAAAAAAAGCTTGGTAAAAGTCACAAGAATAGTGCTAATTATGCTAATTTAAATAAAAGTCAACAAAATCAGCCTTGTTCATGTGTTATTTTATGTAAACTGGACATTTTTGTAGTTCACACAAATTAGAAACCTTGCCAACAAAACGTTTTGACCTGGTAACTTTTATTGAGGCAGTCCAATTATTCTTCCCAAAGAGCTGTAGGCTTAAGTTCATTGTAGTATAACATTACATAATCAGATGTCACGGTTGTTACCCTTTCAAATGTTTAAATGGGCTTCATTGTTAGCGCCGTCTTTTCAAATGTTCAAGCATGCTTCATTGGTGCATTTTGTGTTGAGCTCAGTCAAGCAGATGGAATGTATACATGTACCTCCGTGGACAAACAGGTTTCGCACATGAAATGTTCAAACTACCGTAGCTCAGAGACACAATAGGCAATTGCAACAATTTTTTTGTCACTTACATTGTATACTTAAAGGCGAGTACTAGGAAGCATATTTTTTTCAAATTAAAACAACTTGTTCCATTGGAAAAGGCTGCATTTCACTATTCTTTTTTTCTGTTGTGACATAAAAATATTCAAAAGTTAACTGGGCAATGTCCAATGAAATAGTTGTCTCCCCGATCACCCTGCATTTATTACTCAACAAATGTGAATCTCTAATTTAGTTTCTTCCTTTTGTAATTAATTCGAAGAACTTCAAGCTGAAGTTCAGGTTTTGTCTGAAAGATTTTCAGACTTCAAGTTTATGACAGTGATTATTTTTTGGTGGCCTTATTGTACAGGTAACCGTTGTGAGTTCTGTGCCGATGGTTTCTTTGGGGACCCCCTGGGCCGCAACGGACCCCCCTCAGCATGCATTCCGTGCCAGTGCAGCGGCAACATTGACCAGAACGCGGTCGGAAACTGTGACAGGTAAAACCCCAAAATTCCACAACTGAACCTTTCATTTTCCGATGACTATTGGTCTCTCTCAGTGACCCACTTGACCAGCACCCGATTTCATCAAACTCTTCGTAACTTACGATGCATCGCAGCGATTTGACGCGTTGTATCTCAACGATGCGTTACAGCTGCATGATGGACATGTGATGCACTTGTAATGGACATGTAATGTACTTGTGATGGACATATGATGGACATGTGATGGACATAGTATGTGATGGACATGTGATGGACATGTGATGAACATGTGATGCACTTGTGATGGACATGTGATGGACATGTGATCGACCACAAATACCGTGACTGCAATATTGAAAAGTTGTAATTTTCATTCAATCTAGCCATTTGTCCTTTGCCTATGCAGGGATACCGGTGAATGCCTGAAGTGCATCTACAATACAGGCGGCTTCAACTGTGAGAATTGCCTGGCTGGTTTCTATGGCGATGCCCTCGCACTTCCCAAGGGCCAATGCAGACGTAAGTTTGCCGTTGTTGTACATGTTTGCCAAACTTAAAATGAGTTTTTGTGTTGCCTAAACAAAGTTTTGTTAGACACAATGCAAACCAGAGATAGCGTTGAGTTTGTAAGGCTACATATTAATTTCGTCCTGCACAATTAGAATCCTGTAGTTAAGCATTTTAACAAAGAACATCAAAATGGTCTATACAACGTTGACACTCTAGTCACTTGCAATTAGAACAGTTACTACGTGCTTTTAGATTTGATTATATAATGTTATGTACCCAAAATGTTATCTGTGAACACCCTTATCCAATGCAACATTAAGGCTCTGTAATATTTCAAGCACTGCATAACACATGCCAATATCCCAATAATTGGTATATACATGTACGAGCAATACTAAGCATGGAAAATACATTGTGCAGGTGGAAACATAGCCTTGAATCAGAGATCTGGTTTGCATCGTTTGCATGGATTTTCTTGAGTTTTTCACCAATTATCAACAAGACCATTAGCTTAAAAATGCTATAAAATTTTATTAGCTAGTCCGACCAACTTTTGAGAAAATCAGCGATTTCTTCATGCACAATGTTTATTGGGACACGCTGTAATAGTGGTAGCTTATGTACATTGTTTCCCTCCCAAACTAAAGCGTGTGACTGTTACAACACGGGCTCGTTCAGCATCGAGTGCGACCAGACCGACGGCCAGTGCCGGTGCCTCCCCTTCGTGGTGGGCCGTCAGTGCGACCAGTGCGAGGAGGGCTACTGGGACCTGGAGAGCGGCCGGGGCTGCCAGCCATGTAACTGCGACTTCACGGGGTCCACCAACGCCCAGTGTGACGTGGGCGGCGGCCAGTGCCCGTGTCTGGAGGGGGTCGGGGGACCGCTGTGCGATGAGTGTCTGTTTGATCACCACGGGTTCTCCAGCAACGGATGCCAGTGTGAGTTATTGAGTTTTAGCTGCCAACCACAGATTTCATTGTAACTAATGCTTTGAATGGTGTGAATCCCTAATGTAGTGGTCACCCAGTAGTGTTATCAGGGGTGGTGGGGGAGTTGGGGTGGGGGGGGGGGGTGGTGGGGGGTCAAGGTGGGGGGAAGAGTTGTCCATCTAGAAGGGAGGATGCTGTTGGGCTGTCCCGACTGTACCATGGGGTGCTGTGGTCCAATGGTTACGGTGTTCAACTCGTGTGTCGTGGTACATGGGTTCGAATCCTGACCCTTAACATGGTGTTTGTGCTCTTGAGCAAGGCACTGTACCATTATTGCTTTGTATGGGACGTAAAGCCGTAGGTTCTGTGTGTTGTGTAATGCATGTTAAAGAACCCAGTAACACTTATCGCTAAGAGAAGGGGTTTGCCCCGATATTTCTGGCAGTGGCTGCAATATGCGCCGCAGCACCTTTATAAAAGGGTACTCACTGGTAGGCAACTCTGCAACTTTTGAATCGAAATTGAGGTATCAGAATATTGTTTTCTCGCAATATACAGCGTTCACAGAGCTATTAAGCTCAGGCAATGGAACAAGCTACCTCAAGACACCATAGACGCCCCAAACCATAACGCCTTCGAAGATTAAGTTAAGTTCCACTTCCCCAAGGCCTCCTTGTTAGACTTCCACGTGGAGTATTCCGGAGGAAAGTCACCAAGTATTAAGTAAATTGAAATGTGTTTGTATTTGATGCTTTTTTAAAATAGCTTGCAACTGCGATCGTCAGGGCTCAGCCCAGCTCAACTGCAGCAGTGATGGCGTGTGCATCTGCAAAGATGGCGTGATCGGGGAGAAATGCGACAACTGCCGAGAAAACCACTACAACATTGCCCTGGGATGCATACGTAAGCCAGATATTCGTTTAGTCTTGAGCGGGAGTCGGACTTGTGAATTTTGTGTTCATGGTTGTGAACTTCGGGCACAAATATCTCCACAACTTTTAAAAAGGGAGAGGTGGATGAGACGACTGGTTTGGGGGGAGGGGGGGGGTGTGGGGAAGTGGTTAGGGTTTGTGAAGCATGCTAAGTGGGCGAGGGGTTTGAAACCAGCTGCTGGTCATGGGTTGTGTCCTTGGGCAAGCCACTTCACCCGCACTTTGCCTCTCTTTTCAAGCATTGGAAAAACCATTGGTCACAACGTATCGAGCTCGAGTAGCATCAACTGTATTAGCATAAGCTGGGAGTGACCTGCGATGGACTGGCATCCCATCCAGGTGGAAATTGAAATATTCTAAGTCGGTTCGTGCCAAGGAAACTTGAGATAAACGATAAACTTATTGTTTTTTTGACTGATACATTTGTCATCTATTTGAACTACATCAATGACTACAGCCGTATCCGCTCCGTTCATAAGTACCCCCTCACCAGCAAAGAAAGTACAGTTGGGGGTGACAGAACGACGCCATCTTGCCTGACTGCAATTTTGCCGTGACCGGCGGCCGTACCACTGCGTGTACACAGTACAAATCCCCTGGTGTACGTGCGTCACACACAAGGAACGGTGTGCGTCAACCAGCTAAATGTCCGGCCAATGGGATGTCGTTGTTAGGTAAAAGGGCGCCCTCTTTCGTTGGCGCACGTAGCCCATAGTCCATCTGTTTAAATAATCCTTGCCTCGTTTCTGTTTCACTCGACCCTTGCAACCCCTCCTGTAGCGTGCCCTGCCTGCTACACCCTAGTCCAGGATCGCGTCAACGACCACCGGGACAAGCTAGAGCAGCTGGAAGAACTGATCAACAACGTGGGCAACAACCCAGACATTGTCAATGATGCCGAGTTTGAGAAGCGACTGGCTGAGCTGGAGGAGGACCTGGACAACACCATGACTGACGCTGAGGAGGCTGTCGGTAGGGGAACAGTGCACTATTATTGACTGCTTTGAGTGGTATATTAAAGCTAGCCTCCTGAGGTGATCCATTGACACTGTGTTTTTCCCGAGGCACAGTCAAGTGAAATGGAACTCTCAGTGGATCACTGAGTGAGGATAGTTTTACTACACCACAAGTTTAAGCAGTCAATATTTATTATATAATTCCTCAACCATAGATTTACTTGGACTTTTCTAAACTTCCTCATGAAATGTTTGAACCCATCTCTGTGGCGTGTGGGAACACACATTCTTGTTCTGTAGTTGTGGGGACTACACACGAGTGGTCCCATGGTACTATGGGGACTGAAGACGCTATGGGGACAGCATATAGTCCCCACAACTCGGTCCTAATTATCCTAACAAAGAAAAAAATCCCCATAACGCGGTGACGGCCCGCCCAATATGCGCAACGCGCACACACATTCTCGAATTTGTTTCCTTGTGGAGACATCTCTTTGTTCTCGGGTGAGCGCAAATTTGTATCCTTGTGGAGACATTTCCACAATAGGGAACAAAAGATTGTATAGGTCTCCACAGGGCAATTTCTACAGATGAATAGGTCTCCACAAGGTTTTCACGAAATAGATATATGGATTTTACTCAAAAACTAGGAATTTCCAAGGTGGGTTGATCTGTCGCAAATGGAAGAGTTTTAGAAAAGGGATATCAAGTCCGAATTTCAGCCAAAGAAATTAACTCTGGTTAAAATAAGAGCATTTCAAAACTTCAATTTGAAACGCGAAAACTTTACTACACGGGCTACATGCGTGTTCACACAGACCTCTGGTTGCCATGTTGGTTTCTACACGTACAGCACTTTTTAGACCGAGGCAGCCGTTGTATAGCCATGTTGACTGTGCACAGCAAGATTGTAAAAGTAGCATATGCCAAGTGAGTCACTCGGCCAATCGAGATACAAAATATGTGAGTGATGTGTTATAACATAAAGTGACGTATCGTCTATGGACTTTGTGCACATGATTTGTCACTTCGTGGTGCGACCGACGAATTATTGACTGCTTCGTCAGGTGTAGACTAGTAAAACAAGCTTCTTTAGGCGATCTATGGAGCATTCTATTCGCCTCAGAAAATAGAGGGAGGCTAGTTATACAGTGTGCTAAGAGTTAAAGCTGTCAGTATCTGTTTAACATCGCCTCACACACGGATTCTGCTTGTTTTTAAGAGGAATCAGATTAAGACCAAATTCCAATAAGCCAATTCGGTATCTCGAAGAAGTAGTCCATGCCAAAGGTCATTCGGGATCAAGTCGCTAACTTGATGTTACGCGATGTTACGCGGACGCCCATTCTGAGCCTCGTGCATCCATCTCACTGTGCGTTCGTGCGCCTTCGATGAGCGTTCAATTTTCACAAATGACCCATGACCCATATCAATGTACGCATGCGCAGTTGAAATACCGAGTTGACCATTTACTGCAGCCTCCACTCCAGGGGCGTGTGCTCGTTCCTTACACTAACCCCTGGTTGTGATGATGACGTAAATGACACTGAATGGCTATTCACAGCGTACTGCGCGGGCATTTCGAAGATTGCACGCCGGGCGCGCCCATAATGCGCTCGCGCTCGCGTGCTTAGCTTTGCACGTAACGTCACGTACGAAAAAAAAAATTATGATTCAAAAGTCGCGAAGCCTGTACGATATGGATTATGTCAGCCGCGTTTTTCGCTTTAAAAAACCCCTTTATCTGTGGTTGTAAAGGCACGAAAGGGGTACGTACATTTAATACAAATCTTTGCTAATTAACACAACGTCCAAACGTTGTGTTTGAAAGGATTGATTCTTCAAAATCACAACTTTTAACATTTTAAAGATGGCGTCGGCACGTAAAACGGATAAACTGCAGCCCTAATTATAATATATCGTATTTTGGTATATTTAAATTACACAATTCCAGGGGTTACGATCGCGCATGATGATGGGAGTAATATTTTTTCGTTTCCAATTTGCTTTCAGCCATTGATTCTCAGCTTGCCAATCAGCTGAGAGACCTTCAGGATAGCATCAATGCACTGAAGGAACAGCTCAGTCAGATCATGAAGAACATCAACACCGCTGAGGGAGACTCTGCTGACAGCTCGGAAGGTGAGTGCACCCTTCAAAAATCCCCTTCGCGCGAAAAACCCATTATTAGAGAGGTTAACCCTTGCCCACTAAGGGCTCTTTGGGGGTCAAGTACCAAACGCCACAGAATGCTACATGTGTTGTGCACACTTGTATGGAACGAAATGCATACTACAGGTTACTCCTCAGTATTATTTTGTAGCTTTAGGTAAGGTTAGTGTTAAGTTAACGTATTTTGCTCAGCGTACTGGAAGCTTCGTGTGCCCGTTCGCCTATGTGGAAAAGAACTTCAGCGAGCATTTCATCATTAACGTATTTTGCTCAGCGCATACGGCAATGCGTACTGGAAACTTCGTGTGCCCGTTCGCCTATGTGGAAAAGAACTTCAGCGAGCATTTCATCATTAACGTACTTTGCTCAGCGTATACGGCAGTGCGTACTGGAAACTTCGCGTGCCTGTTCGCCTATGTGGAAAAGAACTTCAGCGAGCATATCATCATTAACGTATTTTGCTCAGCGCATACGGCAATGCATACTGGAAGCTTTGCGTGCCCGTTCGCCTATGTGGAAAAGAACTCCAGCGAGCATTTCATCATTGGCACCGCAAACTGACACTCGTGTGCGCGTATTTACAGAACTGGGTTATAATAGGGTTTCACGAACTCACATCCTAAACAGTGCTGTACTTTGAGAGCCCACACCGTACATTTTCGGTTTCACGAACTGACACTGACCTTAATTTCACCAATTGAAACGTGTTTTTCTCCCTTCTATATTGCTGCATCATGCTTGGGTGTCAGTTCATGAATCTTCATTTTTTTTGCGTCAGTGTCAATGTGCGCGCACTACCAGATGTCAGTTCGTGAAACCAAATTTCTTGATTCTGCTGTTTTCAGGAACTGACACCCACTTGTGTGTGAGTGTCAGTTCGTGGATGATGTTTTGGTACGGCAGATGTGATGGGAATGTGCCTTTGATACAAGCATGGAATTTGGCACACAGCCAGAGTATGTCATGAGAAAGGTATTGGGCTATAGGGCCATCGCACATTTGTCGTTTGAAAAAAAATATAGGTAGAATAACCCAAAGCCATTTTGAAAATTTTGGAAATTGCTTGTTATACTACCTATATTTTTTCAAAGGAAGACACATAGACGCATGTCTAATTGCAAGCAAAAGCCGAAGACAAGAAATTCTGACTAGTCCTTACTCTTGACTTGATTCCACAGAGCTTGCCCAAGCATTTGTCATCATTGACAGAGCCAAGAAAGCCCTGGCAGAGGCCCAGGCTTACTTGGACCTCGGAGGCTGGAAGGTACTGAAGGAGCTGAATGACACGGCAAGGAACATGTCTGAGCAGGCACTGGAGATGCAACAACTGGCTAAGCAGGCCAGGGAACTAGCTGCTGGGTAAGGGACTTTGGTGTTTAAAGTGGCTTGAAATGGTTGGCTGGCTCCCTGGCTAGTTCCCCTCCTGGCTCCCCTGCTGGCTGGCTGGTCTGCTGGTTGGTTGGTTGGTTGGCCGGCTGACTGTTGGATGGTTGGCTGCCTGCCTGCCTGCCTGCCTGCCTGCCTGCCTGCCTGCCTGGCTGCCTAGCTGCCTAGCTGTCTGGCTGGTTGGTTGCTTGGCCGACTGGTTGACCAGTTGACTGGCTCATGTTTTTAAAAGGACACTGCGTCCTGGAAAAACACGTTTTGAAAAAAAAACAGTTTAAAAAACATTTAAAAGTAGGATATAAACATCCACACAACTATCCTTTAAAACTGGGTGCTTTTGTAGTATTCTTGTGTTATTCGTGCGAGAACGACTTTCGGGGTCCACTTTTGCGACCCCAAAAAGTCGAGTTGTTCATACTGGTTGTGATTCCAGCCGTAAGGGTTCGCCTTTTGCGGCCGTGTAAGAAATCACATTTTGTGCATTGGTGATTGGTCACCGCTGTTCGTGAGCACAGTGCTGTGTACGTGTGTAATACTAGACACACACAACGTGTACATCATACATTGTATGAAAACGACAGGAAACACGTGTCATACTCCGTTGTATCCAGTGTAAGCATCAGGTTTTTGGGTTTTTTTTCCCGGGAACAGTGAGACATTAGGTTGGTTTCATTTCAACCAGGGCCCAATTTCACGGCGCTGCTTAACAGTTGGCAGAAAAGTTGTGTTTAGCATAGCAGAAAAATTTGCTAACCTTAAGCACTATTTCACGGCGTGTGTGTGTGCTAACGGTCGCGCGTGCATGGAGATTCCTATTGTTGCGTCACTAAGTTAAGCAAATTTTTCCTTTGAGGTAAGCATGCCTTTTGCTGTGCTTATGCTTACGGTCTCCGTGAAATAGACGGAGGCTCTGTTAGCAGAAAATCGTGTGCTTACCAGCGCCGTTAAATTGGGCCCAGATGTTTGAAATACGATAAGTAAACAAACCAAAACATGAAATTTTCGGGGATTTCAGGACGCAGTGCCCCTTTAATGGCTATGGTGTTATTTATAAACAACCAAAGCCACAGCCCTAAAACAGTTGAGATTCAGACAATTACAACAGACTTCTGCTCTACCCAAGGGCAACTTCTTAGATCATTAACAGTGACCAATCAAAATACTTATTATTGTCGGTAACATTCGTCCATTTGAAATATTGATTTGGTTATTGGTTATCTCCGATCTTATCGCAGTCAGGAACAGTTATCCGGTGAGATAGAAGGCACTGCCAACGAAGCCAAGGCCACATCAGAGGAGGCCCTGAGGCTGATCCAAGAGACTGGGGCAGACTCCAGCATCGAGGACCAGATCAGCAAAGTGGAGACAGAGTAAGTGTGGTCATTGCTGTAGTCAACTGCAGTGTCATGTGGAGTGTCATTGCCTAGCGGCTAAGAACACCGGACTCATGCTCTGGTGTTTCAGAGGCAACAGTGGCGTGGGTTCGAGCCCGCTGGGTGGACACTTGTGCCCTCAAGCAAGGCACTTAACCATTATTGCTTCGTCCTTCGGATGTTACGTAAAGCCGTAGGTCCCGTGTGTTAAATGCAATGCGCGTAAAAGAACCCAGTAACACTTATTGCTAAGAGAAGGGTTTGCCCCGGTGTTTCTGGCCTCCTGGTCATACTCCCCTGCGAAGTCCTTAGGAGAAGAACCAAGAACTCAGAACACGTCCTCATAAAGTCCATCACAAGTCAGTCATCACAAGTCCTGCCGTCCCAAGTCAACTCACAAGCTATTCACATAAACTGTGATAAAAGCATTCCTCTGTTATTGTTCACCTCCTGTTGCTTGCGACTGGACTTGTGAAACGACTTTTGATTAACGTCTGATCGGATTTGTGAATAAAATACTGATTTTGAGTTTCTTGGAGACGCCAGAGAATGGGGTTGTAATAACAATGTACCCAGAGTGACTGAAGTCAAGCCAAGTAGAGATTTGGTGTAAGAAAGACAAACTTTATTAATTGATTTTTTTTATTAATGCAAAATCGCCCCAAGCAAGCTTAAGGCCACTCTTGGCAAAGGGCTAGAAAGAAAGAAAATTATGATGGAAAACATCAGGAAGGCTGGAGTAGGAATTGATATTCCTCTTAAAACAGGCTAGATCATAGATTTTCCATCAATTTTACATTGATGGGACTCATTTTGAATGAGTTGTTTTGAATGACTGCAACAGTTTATCTTTCACTTGCAGCTAGTTGCTCCTAGTTCACTTTTCGAAGAGTTATGTTATAGTGAGTTAGACGTGTTTCATAATCCTAGTGATAAATCATGCCACACACTTAGCAAATGATCCAGCCATTGGTACCGCTCGTGCATTTGAAAGGAAGTAAAATCATTTGGTCAATAAATGCTATCTCACGGTGGTCAACTGTTTCGCTGCGGATTGTAACCGCACAAATAAAAGTCAAACCTGCAGGTGTTTTTTTCTCCAATTTCCTAATGAACAACTCCAACATCCCCGGAAAATACAAAAGTCTGTAGTAGGTGGTGGCCATGTTTGCATCGGCGTGATCCCGTTGCGGTGCCAACGACCGAGTTTGGCAGATCTTACGTAATCTCTTTGATAATTAATTCTTTCAAGTGTTGAACTTCTTCCTGATTTTCAGACTAATTTAGTTTGGCGTGACTGTTGAATGCCAGTTTGAAATGGATTTACTTGCCAAAGTAGTCAGAAATGCCTTGTGTCAACATTCTGATTTTCTCTCTCAAAGAGATTCCACAGTGTAATTTCTTAAGTTTTTTTTTTCCTCAAAGTTGGCACTACATCAGTTCATAGTATACAATGTTTTTTATGGTTTGTCTGATCTACAGCTACGGCGATGCCCAGGATCTGTTCGAGGAGGCTGCCCAGCTAGCCGAGGATTCCAAGACCAAGGCCGACGCCGTCCACACCGAATCCACCGCGATGCTGGCCAAGTCCAAGCAGCCATTGGCATCGTATGACGGGGAGGCGCTGAATAAAAGCGCCGGGGACATCAAGGAACAGGTATTGCTTTGCCTCGTACATATTCATGAGCCAAACACACTTCAAATATTGGTTGATGTTCCAACACGTCAGGGAAGTTTTAAAGGATTAGGATTAGCTCCTAGACTCCCAATTGTGCAATACCGGTAGTTGCGATTGCTGGTGTAAAACTTCTGCCACCGATTATATGCACTCCACTTGTGGGATTCATGAGATTTGTGAGACTAACATGTTAGGGACCGTGACCATTCAGCCCTGGTATGAAAAGCGCCCCCCGGTACCCCGTCCGGTCCAAAGCCAGTCCGGTCTTCAGCCCAGTCTCGTCCGGTACATGGTCCTGTCTGACCAGAAGTTTTGAAGTCAGTCAGGCGCATCAATTTATTGCCCTTCAGAGAACGTCCAGAGCAGAACAATAACAGACTTACCGGATTAAAGATAAAATCCTTCCATAACGCCTTGGTAATTTACGGTCCCATTGTGCGCGAAACCCCATGGCAGGGGTTTTGATCTGTGCCGACAAAAGTGTTCTATTGTTTCGCGCTGAGAGATGAAAACCACAAGCGTGTTTTTATTCTGGGATATATTACATGTGTCAATACTTGCAAACAATAGACCCCAGGATAGAGGAGTTCCTGATTAACAACCGGACCAGCTCCTGGGCCGGTAGCTGGGACGGTATGATAGGACTTCTTGGGAGGGGACGAGCTTACCGGGGGGCCCTTTTCATACCGGGGCTGAATGGTCACGGGCCCTTAGGGTTGGGTTTCTTGAACGGGTACTCGGGTACCCGTGATCTGTTTCAATCGGGTACTCAATTCCCTTACTACCCGCAAATGCACAACCCTATTGCACGATTATTAAAACTGTTATTAAAATAATTAACGGCTCATTTTAAAATAACTGTTTCAGGCTGAAATGATCAAGCAGAAAGCGGCCGAGGTGAAGGCTACCAACCAGGACCTGTTGGCTCAGGTTGAACAGCAAGCCCAAGAAGCCAGCAAACTGCTAGACGATGGCACCAAAGCACAACAGGTAAAGCGACCTAGCTCATTCTGTCGGATTTTTCTGCTAGTTTCATCACACATTTAACATTGAAACGTGATACAATCATGTGTCTAAAATTGAAAACACCAAGCGCGTGATACAAACCCATTTTAACAAAGCAGAACATTCTCTTTACTTCTGACTGCGTCAGTTTTTTTGGCTAGCACATGATACTTATAAACTGAGTGTACGTATGGCGGTTAGCTACAGGGTTCGACTTTAGTGGAAGCCCGCTAGACACATGCTAGTCAAAACAGCGGCGGGCTAGTCAAACTATTCCTTAAGTAGCCCAGCTGGCGAGGCAAAAACTTATTGGGCTACAGCAAAGATGAAAGGACAGTAAGAAGTTAATCATGAAATTCAGAAAGCAAACAAAATAAAACTAGCGGGACTAGGTACTCATTTGTGTCTAATATAATGTTATTAACCCTTTCGTTACCACATTGTTTATTGACTTGAGCATGAACAAAAATGACCACAAGTCGAAAACTCACTTTTTTCAACCCAGATTTTCACTGCCAAGGAGTGATTGAAATCTTAAGTGTTGTGTGTAAAGTTTGTTCCTTGAACCTTACTCTTTTATCTGATGTAAAAATAAAGTCCAAATGTGCAAATGTAAGAAAGTTATGCCTTTTTGTTCATCTGGTCCCATTTATCAAAATGCTAGCCATTTCACCACATGACCAAATGGCACTCCATACCTCAATTTCTGTGTGGATACTTCTAAAGCACTTTTCTCATTTTTTTGTAATGGTAACACTATGAATAAACTACATGTACACCATTAGAACGATCCAAAAATGCTCTTTCGACTGGTATATGGTTGATGTATGGGCGGCCAAACATATTAACATGCCGACTTTCTGAAAAGTAGTGAATATATCTGTGTTGAGGGTGTTCTGTGTGTGATTTCCTGGTCGACTAAAGTCGCCCATGGGAATCAGCAGGGGGGTACTTCTTGTCGACAAAAGTCGCCTATGGTAAGGAAAGGGTTAACTGTTTTAATAGTGTTAAATCATTAGATCTGGTTATTAAACTTGCTGTCAAGTTTGCCTCAGGATATGCGTTTTACATGTATGCACATTGTTGTTTATGAGACACTCATTAAAAACAACATGCAGGCTAGTGAAAAATGCCCGCGGGCTAGTTAAGAGTCTGGTTCAGTAGCCCGGCTGGCTAGTGAACAAAAGTTTAAGGTTTAAAGTAGCAACCCACATTACAAAGCGACATATGCGTTTTCTAAAACAACATTTTTTGAAAAAGAATTTGTGGTCATCGGTATTCTTGTATAGGGTTGTGGATAAGATCAATATGTATCTATCATTATTCCTTTCTGTTAATGAATGATGATTAACCTTAAGTTTCATGAGAAATCGTATTAAAGAGACTAACTCCATAAGAGTCTTGTATTCCTAAAAAAAACAAATTGCAATTTTAAAGAAAGAAAAAAACAAATTTCGGGGTGAAACTAGAAAATGGCATGGACAGAACACCATTAACCCTAACTCCCTAGGCTTTTTTGCTAGGATGTAGCCTCAATCCTGCAAAATCCTCCAACTGGCCTCATGGAAAAATAGCATATAGCCTCAATCCTGCAAAGTCCTTCATTATTTCTTGAATATGGTCTGTGGAGAGGTGACCACTGCCTGAATCCTGCAAAATCCTCCGGCTATGTCTGTCAATAGGCTGAGGCAAAGGCAGTGACATCCTGGAGCAGTGCAGAGGATTCCATGTATAATGTAGGCCTAGATTTATGCACGGCAGAGCATAAACAACACATGGTCCGCCCAAGACCTTGACACAATGCGTCCTCCGAAATCAGCAACGCACATTTGCCATGTAACCTCAATCCTGCAAATTCCTCCAGTTTGCAAAAAAAGGATTTTGGAGGATTTGGGATGGGTAGGGTTAATAAGAACTTGATTATACAAGCACAACACAGTTCCGCAAGACATCGTGTTTCACCTCGACGACATCTGGCTCCCACTTCTCCAGACTGATGGGTCTCCTATACCCTAGGTCCTCAGCTACCACCTTAGACTGATGGGTCTCCTATACCCTAGGTCCTCCCTCTACTGACACTACAACCCTACTGTTCCACTTCAGTGGGCACTAAGCTTGTTCTAGGATCCTGTCTACTTGGCATCCTCACAGGATGCAACTTCTCACTTCATTGACTTCACCTTTTGCTACTTAAGTATTCACTTTCTTAGAGTTTGGGCACTCTCCTGAAGACGGTCAGAGCATACTGACCGGAACGTCGAGTTTATACCTCTGGTTCTTTTCAGAACCATTCTCTTAGTTGAGAAATTATTCGCACATGGTGTTTCCGCAAACCTTTCATTATTTAGTATCTCCACCATGCAAAGCCTCAAATCTTAATTATACAATCAGTTATTTATTGAGATTTTTCTTGTTTTTGGATAGAAACTGGATCTCTTGATGGCCAAGGCCCACGGTGCCGAGGCGGACGCACAAGATGCCAAGGCGGAGGGAGAAAGAACCCTAGAACAGGCCGAACAAATACTGGAAGACCTCCGAGGTGAGCGGTCATCAGCTTTGTCAGTCCTCAATTCTTTCGGTGTCAATAGGAATAACACACCTACAGCAGTCTTCCGAGAGATATATAAGGGTGGTGCTCCTCCATGCCAACCAGAAAAATGTAGAATTTTCTCCACATTAAAGGGAAGATACAACATTTGCAAACATCAAAAAACAAAATGATCAAATTACCACGAAATTATTTACTGGACTGTTAATGACGATGAATGACAATGACAATGAATTTTATTTCCCTGAACGGCTCTACTGAGGCAAAAGAGAACTTAAAAATTACAATTTAAAAGGATATTTAGCAAAATTACAATACACAGTTACAAAAATAAAAATAATTTAATATAAACTAGGAATTGAAATAATGAATGACAGTTTAAAGCATCCCGTACAATCGTGTTTCCTGGTGTGTTGACATTTTTAAGTAAAGTAGTATTTTTGTATACCAGTGTTGGAGAAAACTGGCTTTTTTCAAAACTGCTCCTAATTTTTCATATTTAGTTATTGTGCATTTTCTTTGCAATTGATTACACACATGTGAAGAGGTACAAGCCAGTTAGACTGATTCTCTGACCTTACAATTCCCCAACATCAATAAATTGCTTCGTTTCATCTTAAATGGGGTCGGGTAACCAGACTACAAGAACATGATTGGTTTTCTTTGTTTTTCCTGCATCTACGAACCCAAAACGTCAAACAAGTCAGTCTAACAATATTTGCTTGAACACTATTCCTCCAAATCCATTTATTTCTGAAAACTACAGCAAAAGCAAATGCTGTACATTCCCTTTAAAACAAATTAAAACAAATGGTGCAGCACTCTGGAAAACAATGTGCTGCCAGGGAAAAAAGTGTTGTTTCTTGCCTCAAACAGACTGTGGTTCAGGCAAGGGATCCATTATCAAATTCACTTTAAAAAAAAAAAGGAAAAAAGCTATTATTTCCTTCGTCCTTTTTCCGTTGCCAGGCTTCAACGAGAAAGTGGAAAAGAGCAAGATGGAAGCTGCCGATGCCATGCTGAGGATCCCAGAGATCGAAAGGAAGATTGACCAGGCTAACGAGACCTCGGTAGGAGCTCAGGGCACCATCGATGCGGCCAAGGAGGATGCCATCAAGGCCAGGGACCAAGCTGCCTTGGCTGAGATCAATGCCACCAGGGCATCACAGGTAAGATTGTTCAGAGAGCACGTTTGGAGGGCACCATGTTTTAGTGCATTTGTTAGTACTTGAGCTTTTGTGCAAGCGTTATGGAGTACCGAAGTGAATACGTCGCGTGCACAAAATGTGTGTGAAAGACATTAGCGCGCGATTCAGCCCGCGAACCAACACGCGCGCGTACTCCATTCGTTTGCACTACACTTTCTGGTTCGAGATGACGTCACACTGAATATGTGCCTGTCATCTGATTGGTGGGTCGTTGATCATGTGCCGTTGCAGTATTCGTCCCAACCCGCGGTCGGGCCCCACCGCAGAAATAGAAGTTCTATTCCATGGTAAATAGAAGTTTCATTGCACGGTCACAAAATTGATGGATCTGACCAATCAGAGACGAGGATTTAGTCAGGTGTTGTATAAAACAAATAATGAATGTTCCTGATGATTGTGCCACGTTCGTGCAATGGAAAGACTAATTTCATTCGGTTACAGATGGAATGTTCCATTTTGCGAGGCTTCCTGGAATGGAACATCCCATCTTTAACCTCATGAAATTATTCTTACCATTGCACTCATAAACATTCATTATTTGTATACTACTACATGCCAGTGTGTTTTACTGCCATCTACAGCCGGCACGAACACACGCACAGTCGTGTTTTACTATACGCCTGAGGACAACCTATTGTGTTTCCCTTTGTCCCTGTACTTTAACACTTTCCCATTAACTAAGCACGTAAATGTACGACCGAGGACAGTTTCGAACAAAAGCACTGTCGTTCGAGGACTGAAAGGATCTTTTGTTATCCTTTTGTGGGTCTGTCCTCAATTCCAATGCCATACAAGAGCGTATCTGTTAAGAAAGTGGCTTCTTTCCACATTCATGCAATGGAAAGAATAATTTCATTTGGTTACAGATGGAACGTTCCATTTTGTTCCATTTAGTTTCAGATGAAATGTCCCATTCCACGGGGCTTCGCCTCCTGGAATGGAACATCCCATCTGTCACCTCATGAAATTATTCTTACCATTGCACTCATAAACATTCACTATTTGTATACTACTACCTGTCAGTTTGTTTTACTGCCCACTACAGCCGGTACAAACACACTTATCTATTAAAGATAGAGTCCATCATTTGTAATTTGTGCATTTTGTTCGTTTGAAGCAACAAAAGTGTTCAAAATCTAATGAAGGATACTGAACAACTAACCTGATGAAGTTTCAGCTCAGCTTCAGCTGTATATTCCGAGAAAAACAGCATTCTAGGATCTCAATTTCAAATCAAAAGTTGCTGAATCATGTTTTGAATCGTTTTGAATTGCAGCTATACGCGATGTCGCACACTGATCCGACGAATTATAGCAACTGCGTGCGCCTATGCGTCGTGCCAATGCTTGCGCGCGCTGCGCCGAATAACAAAACGAACTTCTAATTTAAAGTTTCCTACGGTGCATCTTAAGACGCACCGTTGGAAAGGCCTTCTTTCGTTGATTACTTCAAAATGATAGCTTGCCAGAAAGATTAATTTCACAGGGAGTTTAGTCCACTTACTATCTTTCAACCAACTATGTTTTTCAACAATAATACGCCAGTTACTTTTTCGGATGGCTGCAAATGATGGACTCTGGCTTTAAGAAAATAGCTTCAGCCGCTTACATGTGTAATCGTGAAGAAATATTCCGACACAGCTTAATTTCCAGTGTTTTTTTTCCTAGGGAGCTGAAAACATCAAGGCCTCAGCGGATGAGATAAACAAGGTTGCCCAGGCACAGAATGACCGTGCAGATGACCTGCAGGGCAACGCCACCCAGACCATGATGGAGCTTGGAGCACTGGAGACACAGGCTGATGACGACTCCCAGCTTATCCAGCAGGTGGGTACATTTCGCATTATAATCATCAGTGTGGAAGTCAAAACTTGCCCGAGACCTCTAGAGATTACTCATTTTTATCATTTATGTCAGAGACAGAATACATCAAATAGCTATGCTACTGGGTGTCATTATTTGATTAACCCGCCTATGCAAACATACATTATGTGTCAAGTTGTCATTTCAGTCAAAATCAATCAAGTGACTGTTTTCAACAGTTAAAGAGTTCCCAGCCTACATAAAGCAGGATTGACTGGCTGTGACTGTTGGTGTAACTTGATACAGCTATGCTTTGACTGTAGGTGATTGATAAGCCGGCTGCGCCAACAATTTGCCTGCTTTGTCGGTTGACTGAATTTGACTAGTCACAGTGCTTGCTTGACCTAACTGATCTGACTGCTGCTGATTAGCCTGTATAAAAGGCATGGCAGGGGAAGAGGATTGATATTTTATTGATATTAGCAGGAGGGTTAAGCAATTCTGAGACATGTGTTTTTAGATCAGTATTCAAGTTCAGGTAAAAGTGCCTTATTGACAATCAAAAACTGCCCGAGACCTATTCAAGATCTTTTCAAAATCTATTTCCCCAAATATTGCTTATTTGAGACACGACAGTACCATTGAAAACAATCCCATTATTACGTATGTCCAAAGTCGAGGCACTGAGAGTCTGTCCTCATTCACAATAGATTCGACCCAAATCTGACGTGATTTCAATTATAGAAGTATTTGTGCGTGGTTTCAGAAAAGGTCTCGACTACAATACTTTTACTTTTAGTTATCCCGCGAGCGCGAGTGGAACACGGAATAATGTAGTGCTTCTGTGTCCCACATACCACGAGGCCACAGGCGGAGTGGTATGTGGGACACAGACGCACTACATTATTCCGTGTTACATGAGCGCGAGCGTGATAACGAATTTATCTTCAAGCAAACTTGACGCGCAGTAAAGTTGGACCATCGCTTTACACAAACCTTTCAGCGGCTTAGCGCATGCAGCTGGAATGTCGCTCGCATCTTGGAATAGCGCGCACGCAGGGTGCGATATGGACCGTGCAATACAGCCTCATATCACGCTGTTGTTGCCATGGATCGACCAATCAGGATCAAGGATACAAGTTTGCTTGAAGATAATAGTATTAGTTATCCCTCGAGCACGAGAGGAACACAGAATACTGTGGTGGATATGTGGGACACAGACGCACTTCATTTTTCCGTGCTCATGAGCGCGGTAACAAATTTATCTATTAATTAACAGATTAATCTGTGAGATGTGTAACAAAGCAAATGCAGCCTCTTTTAATTCGGGTAAGTTGTGTGAGAGTTTGGGTCCCTCGGTGTTTGCGGATTTCACCTACCTCCCATCATGAAGAAGTCAAATTGGACCAGTAGATTTTCACTAATCTCCCTCAACTGTTGCTTGTGCATATTTCTTGCCTTCCAACAGAGTCATCCTTAGCTGTATCCTGTAAATTCAACGTTAAGAGGTTTTTCTTTGCATTTGCAGGCTGAAATGAAGGCTAATGAGGCAAGGCGTAAGGCAGATGAGGCCACTAAAGCCGTTCAGAGAGCGCTGGACGGTGTCCAAGATTTAATGGATGACCTCAGTAAGCACATTATATTTTTTCTTTTAAAGAACCATTTCCTCTGTTTCATATTAAAAGAATATTTGGTTAGGTTGAAACTTGGTGTGTGTATAGCAGGGGTGTGAAATCTCCGCTATTTAGCGGATTTCCGCTTTTTTGTTCAGCGTGCCACATTTTGTTTTCCACTTTTTTTCTTCCGATGGTCCAGATTTCCCACCGCTTTTTCCCCCGCGCGTAAGCTTTGATTTTATTTCCGTTTATTTTATTTTCCGCCGCCGCCGAACGCATCCGGGGAACCAACAGTCATGGCGCTGTGATTGGCTGCAGATAAATATGAATATTCACACATGCGCCATGAAGCGCGTTGGGACTCTTTGCGGCCGTTCCTGTGTCTATGCATGTAGTGACACGCGATGATCTCCACAATAACTGGCTGTAAACATCGTCTTGTTGCAAATATAAAGCCTTGAAATAAGACTAGTAAATTGTCGCCGACGTGCCTCGCCGGTAGAGGGCATCATGCGGGGCAAAGTTCATATGTGCATTTCATTGCATGCATGCATCCTGCTGCGTATTCCGCTGCATGCTGATACGTACGTTAGTGTGTCGTTTCAAATGTTTCGAACGTATTTTGACATTAATTCCGCAAGATGTCAGTGCAACACAAATGTGTTATTATCCCAAGAGGTTCGGAGTTTGATTCGGACATTGACAAGACCGATCCTCAGGTTACGAATCTGTGGAAATGGATTTGGATGGAACACATGGTTAACTTAATGGGCAGAAATTAGGCGACTCGATCAGAAGCCGGGACACGCGATGACGATGTGTATCAATCATCTGCAGTAAGGAGTTAAAATATGGAAAACGGCGGTTGAATTTCCCAGTTTTCATATACAAGTTGGCCATTTAGGCAGTTTCAAGCCAATATGAAGGAAAAGTTAAATTAAAAACATGCATAAATTGCAAAACATTTTCGACCAATAGTTGGCCCAGGCATGCCAGGGGGCTTTAAAATGCACCACAGAGCATCTACATTTCAAACCCCACGCCGTAAGGGCTTCGCGCTTCGCGCTCGCAGGTTCGGTTATTTACAGGTTCAGCTATTTTCAGCTATTTTTTTTGGACTCCATTCACACCCCTGGTATATAGACAGGGACTTTTGTCCATCAGCACTTGTATCCAACTCTGTTAGAATGAACAATTGTCACCTAAAATTTGTTAATGTGACAGTTTTTCAAGACGCTTTTACTCTTCCTGCTTTTATTGCAGATGCCCTGAACCCCCTGGATCCCAACCGCCTCCAAGACATCGAGGACGACTTTGGCAACGTGAAGCGCACCTTTGAGAAGGACCTCAACATCGACCAGGTCATGCAGGGTCTGCGCGACGCCGAGCAGCAGCAACAAGGGTGGATCAACACCTACCAGCTCTCCCTGGACGACCTCAAAGCCCAGGTGGAGAACATACAAGACATCAGCGACTCCCTACCGGAATTCTGTCCCAACTTCGACCGGTTGGAGAACAGCGGAAGGCGTTAAGTATCGCCCCGATAAGTCTTCCATTTTGTGTGTTTATATGAGCTGCCTCACCTTATCATAAACTCCCTATTTAATGTTTGGTATATTTTAGTGTTTTTATTTAGTCTTATTAACATATTTTTCCATTTTGACAGTACCCTTTATAGCATTCAGATTTTGTATAAATAAGTACTTCTTAAGTCGTAAAACAACAAAAGGGGTTTTTTTTCTTGGGGGGGGGGGGACATACCAGTTCTGAAAAGGAGTGTGGAATTAAAACGCTCACATTTTTGTGCAAACAACAGTTGTAATTGTTGCTCCTCAGTAAAACATTAAAATCATGGTTTTAAATTCTGTAAGGACCTCCTTTGCCATAATGAAGGAGCTCAAAGTATGCTTCATTTTTGTGAGTGTTGCATTTACTTTAAGTCAAATTGCCTTGAAATAATTAAATGTTGGAGATTTCTTTGTGACATTTTGACCATCGTGTTTGCAAATTTATGCATCAAAGAACTAGATAAATGCTGCCGTTGAAACCCTGTATATCTGGTGCTAATCAAGAAAATAATAATATAGATGGAGAAGTCATTTCTAAAGGTGCTATCTGTTAACGGTTAGTCAAAGATTTGACACATTTGTAGTCAGTATTAGCGTTCAGCTTGTTCAGCGAGTTTTTAGCAAGTTTCACAGACTGGGTTTCATTGAGCATTAGCAAGGTGGAACACCAGTAAACTTTAGGATATGACATCCTTCTGGTTTCTTGCTCAACTAGAATTCGCTGGAATTATTGAATTGAATGGATCATTATTTAGAACTAATACATAGCTGGATCGACTTAATTGCATTCTTCAGTAGACTTACTTGAAGCGTGATATACATGTAATGATTATTAATTAAGTTTTGGGATTTTTTCGGTGGAGGACCATAGGGCCATTTCACACTATCCGAAATCTTTGTCAACGCTGAGACTTCGGGAACCCTTTTCACACCATCAAGAATCCAACACGGCCTGTATATGGATCCGGTACTCTTCACGGGTATAATATTAATCCCACCCTGGTCAGGACCTGAGTTGAGGGGTTCTTCATGGGTAGAAAATGTAAAATCTACAGCAGAACCATTTTCACACAGTTGTAAGGGTGTACATGTTTGGCTTCAGGATAGAGGACAGACACACAAAGGGAGAACAAAAGATCCTTTCAGCCCTCGAACGTTGGGTCTTTTGTTGAAAAGGGTCCTCGATTGTACGGTTATGTGCTTAGTCTATGAGAGAGTGTTATATTACAGGGACAAAGGGAAACACAAAGCATTGTCCTCGGGCGTATGGAAATTCACGACTGTGTGAACGGTACTCTTTACCTACCTGTGTTTGATGTGAACCTCTTCTGATTACAGTGGACCTGTGATGGTTTCAACACGGGTAGGCGAGGCGATAGTGTGTAAAAAGCCTTTAGGTAGCTTTTCTGTCACCCCAGTTAATTTGCTAAATACCACAGAATGCATGTAATTATGTGTACTTACAAAGAACGGGTCTTACATGCAAACAATATTTGGAAAGAATGCAGTACCCAGATGCAGTATCCAGATCCAGTTTATGGAGACTCAAGAAAATTTTCTAAGTATTTCCTAACAAAATTGGAAATGTTTCTGGGTCCCAGATTCATGTCTTTTGAACATTTCTGCAATGACTGACCTGTACTGAATTGATAAATGAAGAAAAACGTGAAATCCAGGTTGCAACATTCTTTCCCAATATTGAGGTCACACATACTTTTAGCTAAACATTTACAAAACTTGGTGTGAATCTAAACAAATCGAGAATCTGATCAACAGATAATAAAAACTATGCAATTTTTTTGTTGTGAGAAAAGTCAATAGAACAGTTTATTTTTTGAACATCATTTTAAATAAGTGAACATTTAAGAAAATCGTTTTACATGTAATATTAATGTAGACACCGTGTACTTAGTGTTTTCTAGTGTTTTGTGTAGACCATGGAAACGTGTTATTAAGGGTATACCTCTTGTATGAAAATAGGAAATACTTTTTTAGTTGTATGCTATTTATTTAATCCGTGGTTGAAGAAGTCTTTAAACAAATATTTCTGTGTGTTCAGTCTGCTTTTGGAAACTTGTGACGATTGTTTGAAATTAACATTTGATTTTTTTTGGTGATATTAACAATATTATTAGTGATTAATATTTGACTGTTATATATCCAGTACTTATATTTTCATCAGATGTTTAAAAAGTTGGTTTTAATTTTATTGTTGGGAACTGCAAACCAGACTGATTTTCAATCGTGTCAGACATAATACATAAGTAATTTTTGGGTGCATGGAAAGGAATAATTCAACAATTTCCGTTTGTTGTGTAGAGAAACACCGATCAATTAATGATTGGTTTTATAATCCATGGTGCTAATGTTTCACAAGTTTCATTATATTGTATTGATTACATTTGTATATAGACTACTGCCTGTACTATTAACATAGATTAGAACTAGTTTTTGTAAAGAAATTACATAAAATATCCCAGTCTTCCAAACCCTGGATCTATGCAAAACCTGCCTTGTATTTTTGCTACATTTTGTGAGAGAAAAATGGTACTCATCTTATACTTGCTGCACACTGTCTGCAGACATCATCAACATTTTGAAATTGTTTATTTATGATTTTTTTTCAGCATTACTACATTATCTTTGCCTTAGTTTGCTAACAACCATTGAGTTACCCTAAAGAAATCCTACATTGCGGTCACAAAGATTTTCCCAAAAGTACTAGTATTTTGTTAAGCTTCTGTCTCTCCTTTTTATAGAATAAAATATTTTAAACTGGGATTTTTTTTTTAAACGTGTACGATTATTTAAATCATATAACACTGTTCGTCCTCTTGGTTTTACACCAACTTCTAATGGAAAACTATTCTCATTGTTACCAACTTAACTACATTTTATAGCTTTCTATTTCCCAAAAATTGACTAACTGCTACAAATGCTCAGGCCTCAAATCATATGAGTCAAAATGTCTCAGGTCCAATAGCTTTATGCCCCAACTATGGTAGTGATCCCAAACTGTAATTGGGATGGTTCCAACAATAGTTGGGGAATTCCTTATTAAGGATGCAGGCCAGTAAATAGGCCTAAAATTGGCTACAGAATCACGATTTGTATGCCCTTAATTTGTTTGCTATTAGGGCATTTTGTTGGATCATTAACTTGAGGGTTTTTGTGTAAAAAAGAAGGATCGTGACTGCGACATTGCATTTCTGCGAAAGTTTGATGAAATAAGGCCCTAAAGTTGCTCTATTTTGCAATGGAGAGTTGACATTAGTCTTCAAAATGGCAATAGGCTTCCTGACTTCTTTTAGGAGAGATCATTTTTGGATACAATTTTCTCCCAGAAGTCATCGGATTGCTCCCAAAAATTGAACAGAAAATGAACGCTGATGAAATAAGCTTTGATTGGATGGGTGTCTGAAACACCTTGGTGAGTATTTTTAAGATCTTGAGAAGTGAGGGTTTCCATCACTAAGGTCTGTGGCGGTTTATTTGATGGTCTGCAATCCTAACTATAGTTGAGATGCTTCTGTCATTGGGATCATTCTAGCTACATACTTAGGGATGTAATAGCTTCAAACTTAATGACCCAGATCATGACCACATCATGCTCTGGTCGTGTGTCTGACCTGTTGACATTTGACGCCTTTACTGAGCTTTACCCCTGATGTCCGCTGCTATTTTTTCCAGGCTGTCCATGAGTGTTTGCATCTCATTCTCTGTGCATTGTGGAGCTTTGTTGGGCAGATATCGGGGCGTCGCCTTCCGATCTGAAAAGAAAAATGAATAAGTTCTAAGTCAAAATTGGTTCTATATCACTTTATTAGGAGAAAAAAGGTAGTACATGTTAAGATTTTAGGCTTTGCATGGTGGAGATACTAATGAATGAAAGGTTTTGGCACTTTAAAGTCATCAACAACTTAACCCTCAAGCGATGCTGCGACTCTTAAGATAACTCTTGCCAGTCTGCATCATCACGATCCCATACGCGACAACTGGTCGGATGACATCCTCTGGAGAGCTAGCTCAGCCCTCATCCGAGAACGCATCTCCTTCACCAGACTACTCTTCCCTGGTTGTCATCATCTCTAGAAACCTCACCATCCAACCCACTAACTTGCTCTTCAGTTTTGACGTCGTCTCACTCTTCACTAATGTCCCCACAGGCGAGGCCTGCAAACTAGCTAAGGACAGACTTGAACATGATACTACACTTGGAGAACGCACAGACCTGTACTCCGACCAAATCCATGATCTGTTACTAACATGTATTTCTTCCAGCTGTTCCCAGTGGCAAGGCCAGTTCTACGAGCAAATGGCTGGGACCTCCATGGGATCTCCTTTATCCCCTGTCCTAGTCGACATCTTCATTGAGAAGTTCGAGTCTTCCTCCCTCACAGTGGATCTTTGGCCAAGTCTGTGGTTACGCTGCGTTGATGACATTTTCGTAGTGTCGCCCCATGGCCCGGACACACTCCAAGACTTCCTCCAGTACCTCAACCAGCAACACACCAGCATCATCAGCTTCACCATGGAACAGGAACAAGGTGGCACCATACCATTCCTTGACGTCAAGATCTCCAGGAACCCGGATGGCATCCTGGGACATAGCGTCTACAGGAAACCAATCCACAACTCCATCAACGGTCCTTCCCTCACCCCAGCATCAAGTCATCAGTCAGCCGAACCCTAGTACAGAGAGCCTTCGGCATCTGCAACCAAGACAAGCTCAAGCAAGAACTCAAGCACATCCAGGCTTTACTACAATGGCTACAAACCCAACCGCATCAAGATCAGCAAACCTTGTCCACGGGTCTCCTCTACTCAAGGTCCTTCCACTGTATCTCCCTCAGTCACTTCCGTACATAGGTCCAGCCTCTCATTATCTCCAATGCATCCTGCGACAAGCTCCAAGGCACCCTCCACACCCACTAAGACAAGCAGGACTCCTCCAAGCTGGGTGTCTACAGCATTCCGTGTGAATGCGGCAAAGCCTACATCGGGGAAACTGGTCGGAACTTTCCCACAAGGCTCAAGGAACACAGCACATGGACGACTGACAAATCTGCCATCAACGACCACAAAGTTGATTGGGATGCCGCTGAACTCATCGCCCTGATCAAGTTCTGGCAGCTTAGACGCAAAGAGAAGTCATCAAGATTCACAAGCGCAACACAGTACCACAAGACATCGGATTTCACCTCAACGACATCTGGCTCCCATTCCTCTAGAATGATGGGTCTTCTATACCCTAGGACCTCTGCTATCACCTAAGACTGATGGGTCTCTTATACCCTAGGTCCTCTGGTTTCACCTCAGACTGATGGATCTCCTGTACCCCAGGTCCTCCCTCAACTGAGACTGCAGCCCTACTGTTCCACTTCAGCGGCCACACCAAGGTTGCTCTAGGCTCCCAGCTACTTGGCATCCCGACAAATTAAACTTTTTTATAGATTTTGCATTTGGTACTTATGTGTTTAGGCACTCTTCTGAAGAAGGTCAGAGCATACTGACCGGAACATCCATTTTAAACCTCTGGTTCTTTTCTGAACCATTCTCTTAGTTTGAGAAATTATTCCCACGTGGTGTTTCCGCAAACCTCTCATTCAGTGGTACATGTTCCTTTTATGGTTGAACTTATTTGTACCGCGTCAAAAAGGGTAAAATTCTTGCTAATTAAGTGACTAATCTTCCAAGCGAGAATGAGGCTCATATAAAACTTATAAGTCATCATCTGACTTGTCAGAATCCATCTCCCTGCAACTGGGAGGATTCCTAAGTCCAAAGAATAAGCAATAACGTCATCGGTGGTCCGGATTGTACCAGGACCCGGCATCGAAGCTGAAATTAAAAGCGAATACTTTACACGTCGAGTAACTTGTCACGGTAGGCCCTTTGCCTTTGATCAGAATTTATTTTGTATTATTTGGTTTTTTTTTAGTAATTGTTCTGTTCTTTTGGGTAGAGCTTATAGCCTATCTTAGCATACATTAACGATGTAAATAAGCTTTAGCCAAATCCAATTTCTACAGGCCTCGTGAGTTCGTCACCAGGCTGTACAATATGCCTCTGCACCTTTGCCGTGCGGTTGAAAACAATACCAAATTCAAGAAAGTCTTGTCAGAAGGCTACCCAACTCGGGTCTTTATTCAGAAGTGTGGGCTTGTTTTGTAGAGGGCAGGAAAGCTGTGCCGCAAATCTCTAGTTTATATTCATAGCTCAGGAAATGTGTAATTCAGTTCTACTCACCCAGATAGTACTGTCCGTTGGCTTGGTGTTTTACAGCCTCGGCGATAGCCAGCCATACCATCGTGTCTGCCCCTTGCTCCGGTGTCCGAGCGATGCCATTCTTTGTCTGCTCATACATCGTGGGCATGGTGGACTGCATTAACGCTGTCACGGTGACCCCGGGATGCATGGCCGAGAAGTGAACCGAGGGGTACGCCCGGGCCCACATCTCCGTCATGATGAGGACTTGGCGCTATTTCAAACAAAACAGTGAATGTGAAAAATGAGCACTACTGTAGCCTGTCCTAGCTCTATGGTACAAGTGGGACAATCAACAATCACACATTATTAGATGGAGCTGATGCACCTCGAACGTTATGACGTCATGCTTTGTTAATGCATGTGTTTTCTTGTGAGAATTGAACGAGGGAACTTCGTAGCTTCTGTGCTGTGAATCATACCAGAAACGCTAGAACGTAGATCTACATTTGTAGTTTATGATTATAGGCCTATTCCGGTGTTTTTCGGAACCTGTACCAGGATTTCAACACTCTTATCTCAATTTGTAATCCCGTTGAGGAAGTTAATAACAAGATAAATGCCATGTTGGGCATGCCTACATTTTTCTAAACAAATGCGGAATTTTGTTTAATAGCCAAGGTAATGTATTAAAACCTGACAGTTTTGGGGGAATCGTTGAAAATGGTGCATGAACAAGGAAATAATGAATTGTGGGACCGTACCTAGATCTATGTCCATTTACTTCCTGTGTGTATACATCTACATCATGTACTGTGGGTTGGCCAATTGCCAAAAGGGATTAACCAGATAATGTTCACAGTGGGTTGGGCAAAAACAACGATAAACAACTTCCATAAGAAAACACACATGTAAACAAAGCATGACGTCGTTACCTCACATGCCTATTATATAAAAATTGAGTTTAAGTCACATGTCTATGAAGTAATATTTTGAAAACCTTGGTTTGTCCATAGCAGGCTAACTTCGTGTACGGTTCCATCCGTGCGCATTGGAGGTCTGAGAAATCGCCCGTGCCGTAAAAATAAGCAGCTGCGGATGAAACAGAAACCTGGAAGGAAAAAGAGTAGAGTATCTACAATTTCTGTCAACCAAAACATACCTGCAAACTAAACGGGATATTCTTTTCCTGGGATAACTCAGATGTTGCGTCATGTTGCACAGCAGCTATTCCGTTCGGTACAGATTGATCAGAGTATGATAAATTACACAGGTTATTTTCGTTTCTTGAAAATTATGAATTTGTCGAAGATGACAAAACTACGTCCAACCTTTGCCAATTATGAATTTGAGAGTTGACAGCCACCCGATTATAGTTTGGTAGGTCAAGTTAAATCAGATTTTTAACCAAAATTCACACGATAGGTCATTATAACCAGTGGATTTAATATTTAAAATAAAACATATATATTGGCCTATGGATACAGTGCACAAAGCTACCAAACAGTTGCTGTACTTGATTGTTCGGGTTTACACTTTTATTGTTTGACCATTTCTCTCATCAAGCAACAGACTTGTGTTATATATTGACAAAGAAAAAACCAGACCAAATTTCAACTCAATACATCAACATTTTCTCAACCTATCGTTCGGAAAATGAGTGTATTGTTTTTTCCCCCTAAAAGTTGACTTTCATTTTGATTGTATTTTCGCGGTATAACCAGTGGCGTCGCCAAGGGGGGGCCAGGGGGGGGCACGTGCCCCCCCTGGAAAACCTAGTGCCCCCCCGAGTGCCCCCCCCCCCATCTGAGATTTGGGTTGGTAAAAAAATATATATATATTGTTATATTCAACTCCCATCATCTGAGTTGGTTTTTCATAAGGACAAAGAAGCACAGTAATTCGTATTTTCTTTAAATGAGCATCAAATGTGGCACCATTTTGCATCTAGCCCATCCTCCGTATGCGAAAATTTTCCAAAGGGGAGGGGGGCACCCCCTCCCCTTAGACCCCTCCCCCAGGACGGCGATCCGTATCCACCTAAGTGCCCCCCTTCAAATGCTGGTGCCCCCCCCCCCCCTGTGCCCCCCCAGACTGAAAAGTCTGGTGACTCCACTGGGTATAACACACTGGATTGTTCGGGCTATAATAATTTCATTGTTGGACAGTTTCTCTCAACAATCAACTTACTTGTTTTATATATTACAAACAACCAACCAGGCCGAATTTCAACTCAATACATCAAAGTTTTCTCAAGTTATCGTTCGTAAAATGAGTTTATTGTTTTTTCCTCCATAAAAGTTGACTTTCATTTTGATTGTATTTTCGCGGTGAAACACGCAGGATTCTTCGGGCTATAATATTTGTATTGTTTCACAATTGTGTTATATGTCACAAACAAATAACCATACCGAATTTCATTGAACACATCAAAGGTTTCTCAAATTACCGTTCGGGAAACAGATTAGTGTATTGTCCCCCCCCCCCCCCCCCCTAAAAGTTCATTGGGGGGGGGGGGTAAAAGTTCATTTTTTATTGTATTTTTCCCGTAGAATATGTTCGGGTTATACTAATTTTATTGGTTGACAATTTCTCTCAACAATCAACAGACTTCTGTTGTATATCACAAACAAATAGCCAGACCAAATTCACATCAATACATTACATTGTCTCAAGTTATACCGCTAGGGGCGACTATTGTTGGTCGCCTCCAGCGGTATACCGCTACGGGCGACCGTTGTTGAGCGCCCCCAGCGGTACGTACCTCTAGGGGCGACTGTGTTGGTCGCCCCCAGCGGTATACCGCTAGGGGCGACTATCGTTGGTCGCCTCCAGCGGTATACCGCTACGGGCGACTGTTATTGGTCGCCCCCAGCGGTACGTACCTCTGGGGGCGACGTTGTTTGTCGCCCCTAGAGGTACATATGACCACAGATACCTCTGCAGGCGACCCTTATTGACCCTTATTGATCGCCCCCAGCGGTATACCGTTCTCATGGATAACATGAATTATTCATGACATTGCCCCTACCCCCCTACCGACCGCTGTTTGTCGCCCCCAGCGATACGTACCTCTGGGGGCGATCAATAAGGGTCGCCTCCAGAGGTATCTGTGGTCATTTGTACCTCTAGGGGCGACAAACAACGTCGCCCCCACAGGTACGTACCGCTGGGGGCGACCATTTTTGGTCGCCTCCAGCGGTATACCGCTACGGTATACCGCTACGGGCGAGTTGACCCCAGCGGTACGTACCTCTAGGGGCGACTGTGTTGGTCGCCTCCAGCGGTATACCGCTACGGGCGACTATTGTTGGTCGCCTCCAGCGGTATATCGCTAGGGTATACCGCTACGGGCGAGTCGCCCCCAGCGGTACGTACCTCAAGGGGCGACTGTGTTGGTCGCCCCCAGCGGTATACCGCTAGAGGCGACTATTGTTGATCGCCCCCAGCGGTATACCTCTAGGGGCGACTGTGTTGGTCGCCTCCAGCGGTATACCGCTACGGGCGACTATTGTTGGTCGCCCCTAGCGGTATATCGCTAGGGTATACCGCTACGGGCGAGTCGCCCCCAGCGGTACGTACCTCTAGGGGCGACTGTGTTGGTCGCCCCCAGCGGTATACCACTAGGGGCGACTATCGCCCCCAGCGGTACGTACCTCTAGGGGCGACTGTGTTGGTCGCCCCCAGCGGTATACTGCTACAGGCGACTTTTGTTGATTGCCCCCAGCGGAATACCGCTACAGGCGACAGTTGTTGGTCGCCCCCAGCGGTATACCGCTACGGGCGACCATTTGCTCATCGCCCCCAGAGGTATATACCTCTGGGGCGACCGTTATTGGTCGCCCCCAGCGGTACGTACCTCTGGGGGCGACGTTGTTTGTCGCCCCTAGAGGTACATATGACAACAGATACCTCTGCAGGCGACCCTCATCGATCGCCCCCAGAGGTACGTACCGCTGGGGGAGACAAACAACGGTCGCCCCCAGAGGTACATGCCTCTTTTTAAAAAATAAATTACGACGAAGATTAGGGATAAAATCAGGCAAAAATGTTAATTGTTTTCTCCCAAAATCAACATTTTTCTACCCCAAATCTTTAACATATTAGAATTGTGAATATTAATTGATGCTCCACCAACCTCCAAAGAACTTTTTGCATTGTTTTGAGAAAAGTCCATTTTTGGCCAAATTTGATAAAAAATGTAAGGCTAACCTCTTGGGTTTTTTTGGTCAATTTTGACAAAAAAATGAAATTGCTTCAAACTTGTAGGAAATATGCCCAAGGAACCCCGAAACACCTTCCAATGTTATTTGTGGACAGGTGTGTTTTCTTTAAACATAAATCACGACGAAAATTTTATATAAAATCTAGGGGCGACGGTTATCGATCGCCCCTAGAGGTACATAATTATGACCACGTATACCTCTACGGGCTACCGAGGGGCGATCGTTATTAATCGCCCCCAGAGGTACATACGACAAAGATGCGCGTGATTGATGCTCCTCTTACCTCCAAAAAACTTTCTGCATTGTTTTGAGAAAAGTCAATTTTTGGCCAAATGTGACTAAAAATGTAAGGCTAACCTCTTGTGGGTTTTTTTTTGTCAATTTTAGCCAAAAAATGAAATTGCTTCTAACTTGCAGGAAATATGCCTAAGGGACCCCAGAACACCTGATTTGTGGACAGCTGTGCTATTTTACACAAATTACGACGACAATTTGGGATAGAATCAGTCAAAAATGTTAATTGTTTTCTCCCAAAATCAACATATTTACACCAAATCTTCAAACTATTAGGCGTTCGAATGTTGATTGATGCTCCTCTTACCTCCAAAGGATTTTCTGCAATGTTTTGAGAAAAGTCAAATTTAGGCCAAATTTGACTAAAAATGAAAGGCTAACCCTTTTTTGTGTTAATTTTTGACAAAAAAATGAAATTGCTTCAAACTTGCAGGAGAAATGCCTTAGGGACCCAAGAACATATTGCAATGCGTAATGTGGACAGCTATGCTTTTAAACATGAATTACGATGAAAATTTGGGGTAAAATCAATCAAAAATGTTATTTTTTTTCCTCCCAAAATCAAGGTTTTTTATCCCAAATTTTCAAAATATTAGGCGTTAAAATATTGATTGATGCTCCTCTTACCTCCAAAGGACTTTCTGCAATATTTTGAGAAAAGTCAATTTTGGGCCAAATTTGACTAAAAATGTAAGGCTTACCCCTTGGTTTTTTTTTCATTTTTGGCCAAAAAATGAAATTGATTCAAACTTGCAGGAAAGATGCCCAAGGGACCCTTGAACACCTGCCAATGAGATTTGTGGACAGGTGTGCTTTTTACACAAATTACGACGAAAATTAGGGATATAATTAGTCCAAAATGTCGATTATTTTTCCCCAAATCAACATTTTTTACCTAAAATCTTCAAAATATTAGGCGTTTGAATATCGATTGATGCTCCTCTTACCTCCAAAGGACTTTTTGCATTGTTTGAAGAAAAGTAAATTTTTGGCCAAATTTGACTATAATAAATGTGAGGCTAACCCCTTGGGTTTTTTTTTTTTGTAAATTTTTGCCAAAAAATGAAAATGCTTCAAACTTGCAGGATAATAAAGCACACCTGTCCACAAATCGCATTGGAATGTGTTCTGGGGTCCCTTGGGCATCTTTCCTGCAAGTTTGAAGCATTTTTTTGTGTGCCAAAATTGAGAAATATGCAAGGGGTTAGCCTTACAGTTTTAATCAAATTCGGCGAAAAATTGACTTTAGCGGAAACATTGAAAAAATTCCTTTGAAGGAGCAGTATCAATCAATATTGAAATGCCAAATATTTTGAAGATTTTTGTGTAAAAATTGTTGATTTAGGGAGAAAACAGTTAACACTTTAGACTGATTTCAACCTAATTTTCGTTGTAATTTATGTAAAAAAATCTTTGTTGACATCGCGCGCTAATGGACAGAAGTCGGCGCGCTGTGAGCAGCGCTTGTGTAGAGCGCTCTCTTTTGGAAGACATTTTATACGGAGTGTCCTCACACTACAATTTCCTTAAACTACAATGTATATTTATGTCATTCTTTCAATTTTCGAGATTCTTGTGATTAAAAATCATGGCTAAATATTGGACGTAATTTCACTTCAATGTAAAGCGTTTATATTGAGTTTTCGCCCTTACAATAACTTTGTCTACATCGCGCGCGAATGGAAATAAGTCGGCTTGCGGTGAGCAGCGTTTGTGCAGCGTTTGTGTAGCGGGCCCCAGGCCTCTTTTGGAAGAAATTGACAGTGTATATACGGAGTGTCCTTACAATGCAATTTTTCCTTAAATTATATTTATGTTATTCTTTCACAGTTCCCGTCAATTTTTTTTAGAGTCTTGTGTCCAATTAATACCATGGCTAAATATTGGGCGTAATTTCATTCTAATGTCATGCGTTTATCTTGAGTTTTCGCCGCTACAAAAACTTTGGGTTAGCGGTCAGGTGAGGGCGGTACACCTTCGGAAGGGACTGGAAGGAATTCGGTGCACAGGGCACTGTTCTGTAGTAGGCGCCTGCATACAAAAACCGGAATCAAATGGGGGAAACCCCAGAAAAGCAGGTTTAACAACAAACCGAACAAATTGCCGAGCGACTATAGGCCCACTTCAGCCTGAGACCGAGAATAGAGAAGGCCGTACGCCACGACACTACGGAACTGTACTTGTAGGGAAAAAAAATGGAAACTTACAACTCTTGCACCTTCGGTCTTAGTAAGGAGAGGGAGAAGCGTGGTTGTGAGGATGTAGGGTCCCATCGTGTTGACGGCAAAACAGAGTTCCAGCCCGTCGTCTGTCACTTGACGTGTCTCCAGTATACAGCCAGCACAGTTAATCTGGACTCGGTAAAACAACACGAGGCAATCATTACAGGGGCATAACGGTATACTATTGAAAAGGCTTGGTTGCAAGGGAACTAACCTAATGTCTTAATAGCCTATCATTCCCAAGAAAAGACCCCCAAACCACGGTTGTTTACATCGGTCATGACGGAGTACGTATACGTTTTATTCCTGTCGTTTTCAGTCAATGTACGATACACGTTGTGTGTGTCACATATAGTACACACAGCACCAATACACAAAAGTTGTTTCTTACAAGTCCACAGAACTTATAAAAGAAGGATATAAAAGCCCAAATCATAAGCTTTCTTTAAGTACAAGAACCATTCAAATCACTCATGTGCTTTTCCAGTTACCGAATTTTAAACACAAATCACCATATTAAAGTTCTGTCCACGGATCACAAAATCAGTGTGTGTTCTTTCACTTTCAGCCAAACGAAAAAAATCCAAACTAAGTGATGTGTTAGTTTTGCTGAAAGGACACTAACCTTCTTGTGTTCCGTGGACAGAACTTTAAAACGGTGGTTGTGTTTAAAATCCCGTAACTCAAAGAGAACATGAGTGATTTGAATGATTCTTGTACCAAAGCTTGTGAATTGGGCTTTCATATCCTAGATTTTGAAAGTGCTACATGCAGAACTTCACTTTAACAATGGCCCGACTTTTGGATTTCATTTTGTTTTTACTGTCAGCCTGTACACCGTAATCTATTAATTTCCGTTGCTCCCACTAATATTATTCATAACATAGTTGGACTCTCAATTCTTTGCGTTTAGATTCACAGAGAACGAATAAACATCAATCAAAACTTGGATTCTCTACTTACCAAACAATCCAGCGAGTCGTGGCTCTCTGCAAACTGTTTAGCAAATTGATACACGCGTTGGGACTGAGACAAGTCTAGCACGTGAATATACACATTCTGAAAAAAAAACACACACATACTATTGTAACAAGGGGCGGGGCACATTTTGAAGGAAGGAGTTGGTTAGTCTGCATTTTCGGAACATTTTTTTGCTGGTCCCACAGAGCATAGCCGTGTGAGTTACCGTGATTAGCATGAAGAACATAATGTCCTTTTTTCCGCGATTTTGTGCATGCGTATTTTTCACCAAAACCCTTTCTTTTCGCGAGTGGCTGTTTATTTTTAATGTCCGTGGAAGGCAAGTAGCAGTAGTCAGTGGCGTCGCCAAGGGGGGCCAGGGGGGGCACGTGCCCCCCCTGGAAAACCTAGTGCCCCCCCGAGTGCCCCCCCCCCCCCCATCTGAGATTTGGGTTGGTAAAAAAATATATATATATTTTGTTATATTCAACTCCCATCATCTGAGTTGGTTTTTCATAAGGACAAAGAAGCACAGTGATTCGTATTTTCTTCAAATGAGCATCAAATGTGGCACCATTTTGCATCTAGCCCATCCTCCGTATGCGAAAATGTTCCAAAGGGGAGGGGGGCACCCCCTCCCCTTAGACCCCTCCCCCAGGACGGCGATCCGTATCCACCTAAGTGCCCCCCCCCCCCCCCCCCATCAAATGCTGGTGCCCCCCTGTGCCCCCCAGACTGAAAAGTCTGGTGACGCCACTGGCGGTAGTTATTGTCTAGGATAGGTTTTGAACAGCACCCCCATGGGAAGATGGTGTCCGCCCCATAATACCATATCTTCCAACTTGCTTAGCAAATATCAACCTTGTTCCCACTGGCTTCCATGATCTCCTTGCGTGTATCGTCATCTGGAAACTGACACAGCATGTGGACAGTGCCGCCTGTAATAAGAAAGTCATAATAAGTACAACCATGTATGAATTTACGTTTTCGCGAGTTACATTTTCAAAGGAAAGTTGGACCATTGTTTCAGGGACCCTGAGACATCTTCATGGGCATTATTCACGAGACGGCCATTTTGAATTGAACTTGTAAAATCTTAATTTTTGGAACTGATGAAGAGAAATGAAAGCAAGTAAATTTATAATAAATTCCAGTCTGCTTCAATGAATAATGTAAAATTTGTAATTAAACATTCCCTGATGCACATGTATAGCCAAAGTAAAATAAGGCTGCATTGTGCCTGCATAAATAGTCTGGCGCCATCCCTTTCAACAGTTAATGAAATGCATTCAGGGAACTCGACAAAAATGGCCAACTCGTGAATAAGGCCCATTGCATTTTCCATCAATTGCATTTTCAAAAAAAAAAGCTCTCCGACATTTTGAGATAAGTTGCGAGGGGTAGCCTAAATCTGGCATAAATTGGATCAAAATGGAATTTTTTTTAACAGTATTTCTTAGTCAGGGTCTAGGGTTTTCCGTGTATTGAGTATATAGTTCTGCAGATGGATCGTCTATCCAACCAAAGCTCATAATGATGTACACAAGTTTAATGCATAAAAATCAGCCCTCGTGCAAACATATATTTGAATTTTATTCCATGCGAAACGTCGTACCGTAACCGCGACATATTTCATGTACAGTAACGTGTTGTCTCAAATTTGTTCCAGCAGAAACGCCATACAAATACAGGGCGAGTCCAAAAAGCAGAACCGAAACCCCCCAAAATATATTTTACATTTAAAACATAAATGTAGCAAACAAAACCACAAAAATAAATTGAAAGCGAATTTCATAAGCTACTTTAAGACGAAAAATAATTGAAAGTGCTCAAGTCATTCAAAGAATATCACCATTTTAAACCCAATGACCTTAAAAATTACTGTTTCGTCAAAAAAAGTAGTTTATTGTGGATTCTGACTGTTTGGAACAACAAAGAAAATGACGAAGAATACTTGTTTCAACAGCTCTAAACGACTGTAGTACAAAATGTCTTTATTAACAATCCTGTTTAGGCAAACAACATGATTGATAAAATCCCCCCTTTTTTTTTTTTAAAGATGGGCCTTCAAAAGGACTTTGTTGAGATTTTTAACTTTTAAACTGAGGTTTTATCACTGGTGATGTTTGAAGAAAATAAATTGTGAAGACGATTCTTAAAATCGCATTTTTGGACGGAAGAGTTTTTAGGGTCATTGTGATATTCTTTGAACATATTGAGCAATTTCATCTAAATCGTTCATCTAAAAGTAGCCGAAATCGGCTTTCCCGTCATTGTTACCTTTGGTGCTACATATTTTTAAAATATGAAATATGATTTTGGGGTTTGGGTCCGCTTTTTTTATTCACCCTGTAACTGCTCTCTGTGATGTAGGCCCTACTGAAAATGGAGACTTTGAAATGAAGTACGGAACGGGATTTGACTTCTACCAACATTCACCCGCATGTGTTTTCCACTGGTTCAAGTATTTGATGTTTGTGAACTTGATGCACTATTTATACAGCTTTTATTTTATACAGGTACCCCTGTCTTTAAAAAAAATATGTAAATATAGGACATATTTTTTTATGGCCGAGTTTAAGATGTTTAATGAAGTGGAGAGTCTAGTATATATTATGCAGTGGCCAAGGTAAAAACCAGTGGTACATTGTAACGGGATAGGAATGTAAAAGGAACATTGAGACGCTGGTAGAAGCAAAATCGGAACGCTGATAAGAAGCAAATTGGAACAGTGAAAATGGGTTAACGGGACGAAACCTATTATTTTGCAACGGGCAAACAAAAACCTGGCTACGCGCCTGGTAATATTACTGGTGAGTTTGTGATTGGGTTGATGTGAACATGGCATAAAACCCTTCCGCCAATCACAGACCCTTAATCCCAAACTGGAGAAACTATGAATGATGTTGAGGATGACCCCAAACTCCGGCTCTTTTATTAAGGTAAAATGAAAGGTGTGAACCGGTCACTTTGGAGGCAAAAGTGGAACATTAATTGGCACCATTACTTTACCTCGTTTTGCAATTGCCATGGTAGCGACTTTTCCGATTCCAGTGTTCGCTCCCGTAATCATGTAAGACTTGCCCGATACGTCCACGCTCAAGGCATTGGGGTCAAAAGTCTTCGAAGCTGCTTCGTACCCAGCTCTGAGGAGAAAATGCGGAAATAGCAAGCACGAGAAATACTGTGACCGAATATTCAGGCCTGTATTATCAAACAGGCACAGTAGACACTGTACCTACAATCCCGGCCAAAATGGTTGGGACACTTCCTGAGCTTGCCACGGTCACACACTCCCCCGCTCCCCCGGTCATTGTTGTTCTCTCTAGCTGATGGAGCACACACCGCGCAATGAGAGACAACATTGAACGGGGGCCGGGGGGTTGGGGGCCCGGCGAGATTTGGCCAGGATTGTAGGGCCTACGAAAAATTCGGGGGCCATGGAAATCCGTTCACGCAAACTTCTGAGATCTAATAGATTATTAAAGGCTCTGGGGGTTTCACCCATTCCATGCAATGGGATGGGATTTACACAGTTAACTTAATTTACATCAAGAGTGAAAAGTCCCATATGACAATCTGATGCACTGACGGTGTAAATCCCATTGGAATGGGTGAAAAATACTTAGCCTCTTACAATCTGTTAGATCTCTGGTTTATATGAACGGATTTCCATGTCATTTTCACTGATTATACACAAGAGTATAGTAAATATGCTCCTTCAAGATGACATATTCATATGTTGTGTAGTTTTTGAGAAATGAAAGAATACTTACACAACTTTTTGGGGCATATAAAAACAGTTTAAAAGATAAAATTCCCTTCCACTCACCTCACATATTCTACTGGAAAAGACATCCTTACGTATTTGAAAGCACAAGCTTCGGACAGCACAGAGATCAACGAATGGAATCTATGTCTTCAGCAAGAAGTATACCGTTTAAGCAAAATCTCAGCTTGATGTTCACTGCGGCGACGCCAAAGATGCAAATGATAGGGCAGCTCAGATTGTTGTATCATACCGACGTGCCCGCATAACACCGCCACTGACAAGGCAGACATTTCTAGACGGAACTATATGCGGGCTGTATTAAACTTTCATGTATTTAATGTACAAGCTACCAGCAGTTTTTATGTATTTTGTCCTGGATTCAACTCAAACTCATTTCCGGTTGAGTCACTCATGCTAAAATAAAAGAATCATCTAGTACAAAGCTGTAAAATGCGTGTTTTCATCATTAAATCGTACCCGCTTTATTCACATATTTGAATCTACAGATATATATGTGGCATGTTAATAGGCGAAGTACGAAAATGCATATTTCAAAAGTTAATAAAAACGACTTATTGAGGTCATCAAGTCGAAAGACTTTAGTGAATATATACCCACTTTCCTCTCCGTTGATTTTTATAGCAAAGTCTTCCAAAGAAAAAGAAAAGAAATACGAAATGTTTCACTCCTTTACAATGTAATTCTGATGCATCAAACGGATTTGTCTATAAAAAACCAAACGTGAAAAAGTGGGTACAAAAAGCGTTGAAATTCTAAGCTTTATTGTTATTTTTTGCAGTGTTGAGCTTCTAACAAACGTCCATGAAGCAACATAATCAAGGCTGTTTGTGCATCCAGCCTAAATATCACACTTCGTGTTCACAGCAACCGATTCTATATTTTTTGCCAATTTTTCTTTCGTTATAGTCAAATAGTGTCAAAATAAAACGAGGCCGGTTTCCTTTCCTACTGGAAATCGTGTGTATCGTTTGATAGTAACAGCTTCCAGACTTTCGTCGCAATCATCTGAAAAGCCAAGCATGAAAAAAAATATCATTTTTTCCCCCGTTTCAACACACCCCACCCCTAACACAGCGTGAACTTCGGGGTACAACATTTTGGTCGTCAAAACTGGAGCCGTTGGAGTCACAAGTTTTGATTCAATTCATTCATGTTTCTGCATCGAGAAAACGTTTCTTTCTTTTCCAAACGCGTGTGCTCTAATAATTGTTCCGGGACCTGATTTCCAACAACGAAAATTGTCACTCAAAATATGCATTATTTGCGCCAGTATTCGTGAGTTTCCCTTGACCGAGACCTTTCAGATAGGGTAAGTAAACAATCTCTTAAACGTAATTTTGGTTTAGGTAGGTAAAAAGTACCGGTACGCAGAGGCTCTAGGCACGCCGTTAAAGACGGGGCACTTAATGGGTAACAACAGCGCTCAAGTGCTTCGACCATGCCGTCGGTTTTATCTTCTGTTTAAACAAAGGCAAAGAAAGAGACTGCCATATCTATACAGACGGTCATGGTGCATTCTGATATAACCCACTGGCCTTTGAACTTCGCACCTTCCGATAGTAAAAGACTTTGAGTATTGTGCGTTCATTCGAAAGGCACTATCGTCGTCCTCACTCTTTGGCTTAGTACATATTCCAAGTTTGCTACAATAACTATTTTACAAGATGGCTGCGTCCTCCCTTTTATCTTTCGAGAATGAGGTGTTCGGTCTGTATGCCTGGTACGCCACTGCAGTCACACTGAAGATGATGTTCATGTCTTTGTATGTTTCGCAATACAGACTCCGACGAAGGGTTAGTTGGGTCTACCGAAATGGTTTCGTGTACTAGCGAATTGTAACTTTGTGTGTTTACTTTTGAAAGGCATTATCTGCCATAGCATAATGCTAGTGCACTGGTCTTGGTTTTCAGTGAGGCCGATTTGAGGTCAAGAGTTGGTCGGTGCATATCCGAGTATCTTGAATGGCATCTTGGAAAAGGTCTGATATTTTCAGGGTAATCAAGTAAAACTAGTGGTAGAAAAATGAAAGCAAAGGGTATCGCTTACAAAGAAGGCTTGACGAACGAACTTTTCATCATAGCGCAACGGGCCTGTGTGGCTATAGGCTGCACTATTTTAGCCTATCACTGCAATGATCTTTCCCTGAATCTCAAGTTTATAATTATTCTCATGGTTAAAGCTTTTGAATAATAGTGAGGCCAGATAGGGTAAATATTTTGGGGAATTGTGCCTTTGATAATACAAGCATGACGGGCACACAGTCAGAGTGTTGATGTCTTAGGAAAGATATTTGGCTACAGGGCCATGGAAGATTTGTCCTTTGAAAAAAAATATATAGGGATAACAAGCACTTTTCAAATTTTGAAAATGGCTGCCATTGCTTGTTATTCCAACTCATATTTTTCAAAGCGGGACAAATCTGAGATGGCCCTTAGTCAAAAATCTTTCTCCGTACTCTGACTGCATGTGTGCCAGTGCCGTGCTTGTATCATCAAAGGCACAATCCCATCACCTATCTGCCGTACTATAATAGGAAAAATTCATTTAGTAAGAACGCCAACATCACAAAAGCCGCATAGGCCAACGGCCCGAAACATGCACGGGAACACGTTTGTAAACCTCTTCTATTATTAATGGCATAAGGAATTTCTAATGTATTACTGCGATGAGTTCAAGTAAAAAGAGGACATCAACAACATGACTAGGAAGTTCCAACTCTACACCTTAATTTTTAAAGTCTCATTCCCACTGAAATCCAAGGTACTTGGTACTTGATTGGTTCTTCTCAAGGGCTTCCACAAGGGAGTATACCTAGGAGGTCAGAAACACCGGGGCAAACCCCTTCTCTTTATAGCGATAAGTGTTACTGAGTTCTTTTACGTGCGTTAGGCCTTATACAACACACGGGACCTCCGGCTTAACGTCCCATCCGAAGGACAAAGCAATAATGGTTAAGTGCCTTGCTTAAGGGCACAAGTGTCCACCCGGCGGGCTCTAACCCACGCCACTGTTGCCTCTGAAACACCAGAGCATGAGTCCGGTGCTCTTAACCGCTAGGCCATGACACTCCAAATTCGCTTGATGCTGCCTGTTAGGCGCAAGGTAGCTAATTCAAACACAAGGTTGAGGGAGAGAAAAAAATCTACTCATTATGGCCAATTTCATAGCAAGAATTTAAAATGTTATTGTGACCCCTGCTCTCCTGTCTTTCTGCCGACAGATTGTTGTGAACCCTGAAGATGTCCGTGGGGATAAGGAGAAGGCTTTCCGTATAGACCCCGATATAGAACGCGGGAGAAGGTAAACCTTTTTCGATATTTGCAACGCATCTTGGGATTGGATGACAAACAAACCAGGCAATTTGTGCACAAACCTATGGGGCCGAGTACCAGTTACAACTCTCATTTTGATACCTCATTTTATTTCAAGATTTTAATGATTATTTTTATACACATTTTTGCACTGGTAATTTGACATATAATAGTTTTAAAATATCAATTTTTCTTAAAGCATTAATAAGAATGAAGAATAATCGGGAATCTTGTTTTTTTAATTTTAGAGACCAGTTTCATTACTTATGAATATAAATAACATGCTCGTATCAAAACGACACTACACTCTAGAAACCTGAAGTGTTACCAACATTTACATTAGTACGGTCAATGATTACTTTTTGAAGGTATTAAACCCAGCATTTAAAATGCTAAATTCGCTTGATGCTGCCTGTTGGGCGCAAGGTAGCTAATTCAATCACAATAACCAACGCTGCCCTCACAGATATACCCATTTACTCCTGGGTGGGGAGAAGCAATGAGTGACAACGTGCCTTGCCCAAGGGCACGCGCACCAGACCCCAGGCTGGACTCGATCCCACAACCTGTAGCTTTACCCGCATCACCGTCTACCCGCATCAATTCAAAAAGTATTTGCATAAATCCTTCTACTCACAGATGCCACCGTAACGACATGGAGAACATCCCTCCGTTCCTTGTGGTGGGCCTGCTCTACGTTCTGACGGCACCCACTGTCTCCTCAGCCACTTGGCATTTCCGTATATTCGTCATTTCTCGTTTCTTCCACACCGTGGCCTACCTGACGCCTCTGCCGCAGCCATCCCGAGCTCTCGGGTACTTCGTAGGAATGTGTGCCACCGTGTCAATGGCTATAAACGTCCTGAAAATTGGCCACATGTAATTATCAGACTGCGAACTGCCGTCTGGAAATTCTGAAAGAATAGTCTTTTCAACAAACGCTAACTTCATCATTTAATACATGATAAAGTGGGTATTTGTTACACTTATTTCATTCAGAAAGCAGAAAATCATTGCTGATAAAACAATAATTTTACCCTGGAAACCCAAATGTCAGGACCATTATCTTAATAAAGTTCCGCATGGAGCACTTTCTATAAATCTAGGATATGAAATCCCAATTAATAAGCTTTTTTCAGTACAAGAATCGTTCAAATCACTCATGTACTTTTCATGTTACGGAAGTTAACACAAACACCGTTTTAGAGTTCTGTCCACGGATATGGATCACAAAAAGGTGTGTGTTCTTTCAGCAAAACATAAACAATTTCAACACCTCCTTATGTGCATTGTTTTCGTTTTGCTGAGAGAACACTTACCATTTTTTGGTGATCCGTGGACAGGCCTATAACCAGGCAATAAAGAAGGGGGGAAAATACATGTTCTGTGCAAGGAAAATCTTGTTATAATGGGTGTGCCTGTAATCGTTCTTTGTGTGTGAGGAAATACCTGTAGCATTGAAGATGGTCATGTTTTACATTACTAAATGAACCAAGTTCAAAGGGCGACACTTTGGAAGCAATCGTTGTATTTTGTACAAGGGAATAAAAGTTGGCCGGTTTTAAATGTTTAAGACCGGTTGGAGTCTGGATGTAATTTTCAGCATCCAGACTCCAACCGGTCTTAAACATAGTGTTTAATACCGGCCAAGCACATAATTATTCCCATTTACATGATACCTTTTTCAATAAAAAATATAAAACAAGAGGTTGCTTGTGGACATTTGCGAGATGTGGCGCAGAATCCAGCTGTGCCGGCGTAGTGTGATTAGGACTATGACAAACGGACTCGCTGGTAGACTGCGCATGCCTACTTCCGCATTGTGAACATTCAATAAAACGGTAACTAAAAGGGAACTTCCGGTTTTCATAGGAGTCAAATTTTCATGTGACACTTGCAATGTGTTTTAAGACCAGCCAGCCGGTCTTTATCAATCGTGTAAACCCGGCCAAGTGACTCTTGACCAATAGGAATGGGATAACTGTCTTTTAAGACCTATTAAATTTTATTTATAAATACTTAAAAGTATTTATAAATAAAATTTAATAGGTCAAAATGTGTTTGTCTCGGATAAAAAGGACTTGAAGAATACAGTTCAATGGTTGTTATACTGCATAGTCTGATTTTTCGTCATTGATTAGGTCTATACTCCATTGTACTGTAGCAACCCCTCCCCCCCCCAACACACATTTAGACCACACCGCAACTATCCGAGGGAAAACCTGTTGCTTGTATGCCGACTATAGTTGATGACTGGGCAAATAGTCATTCAATAATGAGATAAACTTTAAAAATGAATAGGACTTTCTGGTAAAAAGTGTGACTTTTAATTAAAAATCATGTCCCTTGTCAAAACAACAATACAAACAATTATTACAAGTCATGCTGAAAAGCAGATTAACATTTTCAAAATAATCACTCAAACGAATTAAGCCACACAAAAAGGAATTTAGAATGTTACATCATACTTAATACATTTGGAATGTACAAAAGAAAATGAAGTTTGTAAGTTGACGAAACAAGGCATAAACTGCCAATGAATGGCAGGACTTGTTAAATCGAAACAAATTTGGATGAACAATTCTACGAGTTTTATTTCAAGAAACAGAATTATCTGTATACAAACATAAGCCTGAATATTATGAAGTGATGGATTTATTTTCAAGGTATTTCGATTTGATCTATCTGCTCGTCTATCAGCCTGTCAATATGGCCGAACAAAAAAATCCAAGTTTCTGGTACCGCGGCTTAACATAATTTGTTTTTACCACTCTCGCAATCTCGAAAATCTAAACAAATTCTGGACTTTTAGACAAAGACATCTTTGCAATAAAATGCAACAAAACTAAAAAGACTTCATTAATTGATGCTTAAATTGTAACATTTTGTTTTTCCATCAATACTCTGGTATATACAACGGCAGGAGTTAAAACATTTTTTTCCAAGTACACTTATATACTGTAATGCATTTTGTCTGAGACAATAGATTATTTTTGCAAGGCAACGGTGTAAATTAATGTCAGAAACTTACCTTGTTCTCAACCAATGAAATGAGGGTATCAAAGTCACAATATAACAAACTTGTACATGTTTACAAATTATTACACGTAAGAAGTTCCTTTTTATGTACAAGTATAATAAGGCACAGCTTGAGCTTGAGCAATTTACAATTTTTAAAAATAGATGAATGTTAAGAAAGTAGTCTAAGATGACATAAGGCTAGCACGTGAAAGTTGGTAGAAAATATACTTTACATTTTGTTCATGTGGCTAAAATATAATACATGTAATACGTTTATACCCTTATTTTACCATTTGAACCGAGAGTATGCGAGTCAGGATGCATCCGAATTACTTGGCTATGAATTAGTCAGCTATAGGCGAACATGTCGTAGCCCAATCCATTATAACCCCGCCCCATTACCTTCCGACCAATCACACTCGTGCTTTCATGTCCGACGTGCGTGCACGCGCGTATGACGCGCACGGCTGGAACATACACAGTGACATTGAAGAGGTGCACGTGTAATTGCCCACGTGTTCAGTGGGCGGGGCTGATGAATGGATCGGTCGTTGCAGGGGTAGTGTACCTAGCCTGATTGACATAAAGTTTGTCAGGGTGACGTCACTTCAGTTTAAACCACGCCCACTGCACATTAAGTAGCATTGGAACCATTTGGAACCGGAAGATAACGCAACCTGAGTGTTTATCCAAGCAATGGCCGTGGTGCGCGCGCGTGTATGACGAAGTCACTAACGAACCAGATGATGGTGACAAAGACGGGTCACTTGTCGAGGGTTACAGTCCATAAAAGGTAAAAGAGAACAGATTTCATACGAGTAAATCTTACAGTGTAGTTCGACGTGAAACTTCATCGACTTCGCGTCACTTTGATCTTTACTGTTCACTTTTTAACTTCGTTACTTTTTACTGTTACTCAATATATGGCATATGCCTACCAGTACAACTTTGTTATTCATAAATAATGCATCAGTTATTAGACACATGAATATTGCTGTTAAAGAAACCTGATGGTAAATATCGTTGATGTCTCCATAACATAGAGCACGTTGATTATCACCTCTAGTCCCTTGCTAAAGCAAGCTTTTAACCTTAAATTTCACATTGAGCGAAATTTCAGCCATTTTTTTTTTTTGCTAACCATTGCCATTGATAAACCTCGCGTTTACCTACCCCTTTCAAAGAGAGAAATTTTCAATCTTATTTTGAAATGCACAGTAAACCCTTTTAAAATGTGCCCAAAAATTAAAATGTGGTAATTTTCTGAATACATGTACATGTTGGATACGGTATGTGAGTGGAGATAATTAACAGAATTTGAAACTTTGAAGAAATTCTTGAGCGTTCACTTGGAATTTCTGACATTTGTTCAAGTGCGGCAATGTATTAGGAACACTAGGCCAATTGTGTGCCCAATTTACGGACGCCAACATTAAAAAAAAATACTTTTGACTAAATTTCATGTCTGATACAATATACACCAGTGATCAATATCATAAAAAAAATAAAAGATTGCAATCCAAACAAATTGTGAAGGAATGAGAACTATTGTGTTTCTCTCATTATCAATACCAAATATCTGCAAATAATTTTTGATTTTGAATAGTGTGCTTTGTTCCATTCTGATGTTTATTTTCTTGCACAATGAATGCAAGTGCTACAAATATGATTTGCACTTGATCACGTTCTGTGTTTGCAAACAGACTATTAGCAGGAGTGTGTCACATTGTTGCTCAATCTGACCTATTCAATTCATCTTACAAAAAATACTATGATGAAATTTAACAATGATGAATATTTTCTTGGGGGGTGGTGGTGTTTTTACAAAACACTTATAAAACGTATATACAAATATATTTTGGGTATCTCCTGTGGAAGCATGTGGACACGTATACTGCCCCCCCCCCTTCCCTCCCCAAAAACTCAAAATATGAAATGAAAACATTGAAAAATATCTGTAAAAATGTCGGTACAAAATGGAAATTGCACAGTGTTTCAACAGTGTGAACCTACTGCTGACTTAATGCAAAACACCAGATACAAGAATTTTTTAAAAGCAGCATGTGAATAAACATGTCCAATACACTATATCTCACTCGTGTCATGAATACAAGAAGATGCACCAATAATTGACCTTCCGCCGATTGCGAGTTAGCCTTGCCCCTTATGGAACCCTATGGAATTTTGCACGTTAAGTTTTGTTTGTCTCAGATTTTGCGCATTCAGCGTCCATTGCTAACTCATGTGATTATACAATATTTCACAAGCTGCGCTGACGCGATTCTACCGCGATATATGTTGATACCTTCACCTATCCCAATTATTACATTTTCACCACTAGGGGGCACTGCCCATGGTGCGACTAGAGGGCACTGTTCAAAAGGCTTCGCAAGTTTTGGGCCCAGATACCTATTATTCTGTCACTATTCTTGACAATACGCTTAAAATAGCCCAAGAATCCCATGACAGAATGTTTTCCCATTCTTCATTCAAAGAATGGCATTCCAAACTGGTACCCCTCATGTTGCAACTCTCTATAGACCCCTCTCATAGACAGCCATCTTCGTAGGCAAATTACAACTGCGTATTCAACGCCATCAGCCACGTTTGCGCAGTGTGTGCAAAATATTTTAAACATGCGCATGTTGCTCGAAATTTCTTCAAAATACGGCACAGCCGATGTGCATCACACTTATTTGACTCCCCAAAATGCTGATGTACGCGACAATCTGTAGATAATGACATCATTTGAGAGATATCTATAAACACGGCCCTGAACCCATGGCTCTTACAAAAATTAAGCACCGACTTTTCTACCTCACACAGTTGATAGACTCATTCATTGAAGAAAAGTCAAACGGTAAGGAATCAAAATAGCTTGGTAAGGAATCTGGATTCCTTACGGCAACCCTGGGGAGCTGTTAGAGGAACTGCGAGTGGGAGAGGTCACTGCGTACAGTTTCCAGCATTCTGTGTGAGGATCGGTTCAACTTGTCCGCCATCTTGATGGCTTCGTCCAGATCGAGGCTGGAGCTGTGAGCATACTGTTACAAAAAGTGCAAACAAGAAGGGTTAAGATTCAGTGTTGAAAACCTCAGAGAGCTCAAGATGGGATCCCATTACCCCTAACCCTCCAGGATATTTTGGCGAGAAACCCTGCCAAACGCAGCAACATGCAACATCTGTCTAAATGACAAGCCTGCCCTGTGCAGCTAGATCCATCAGGTCAAAAGTCTCAAGGCCAAACTGCCTCCAAGTCTGTGGTCACCGAATGCAGCAGGATACAACTGTGGCATTGGTCAATGGGATTAGCTCTCATTGTCTCAGAAGCTGGCCGTGTATGCACTGGTGTTGGTAGCTGAATGCTTCAAAGTGCACCAGACTTTTCCACCTGGTGCACCATGTTGGGTCTGGCAGGGTTATAGGGTTAAGGTGCATGGATGTGTACATGACAGGAAGATGACAATGTGGGATCCAATTAAAAATGCCACATACCTTGGTATCTTTGGTTCTTCTAAGAAATGATGAACCCTTGCTACTGCTTCCCCTTGGGGTCCTACAACAAGGAAAAATAATGAGTAATAAATACCCGACACTAGGGTCGTGCCAAATTACTTGGCTACCGCTAGTAATCACACATGCACCTATACAGCCACGGTTTGCACTAAATGTACTCCAATTTCTGATCTGGATCTTAATAACAATAATGGCATTTATATTAAGCAAAATGTATAAACATATGCTCTAATGCGCATTACAATAAACATTACATGAAGGATAAAACCATACTATTTTAATCAAAACTACAATACTATAGGGCAATTCCACCGTGACTGACATTACATTTTTTTAATACTAATTTTGAATATCAAATCAGCTCTAATGTCTGAACAATTACAGCCAACTGAACCATGTTTGGCATGGGGGTTACTAGGACCTGCATACACAATACAGTATTGAGACCTTGAAATTTCATGTTCAGCTGTTTTGGCTATGGGGGTTATTTAGTGGCGTGACTGACATTACAAAAAGCGATGCACATGACTCTGATGCCAGTAGATGCCTACATGACATTTTCACACATTTGAAATAAATATTTTGAATAAAATGACCAATGGTATGTATTATACGTTTCCCACATTTTTTTTCCTGATGAATGGTCCTACATGTACATTTTGAGCATTTCTGGTGTAAAGCTGCTAAAATGGCTGTCAATTTGTTGCGCAACTTGTAAAATAATAAGTCAATAAAAAGAGGCATGATACGTGCAGTTTGATACTGTGTGAAGTTGAAGAAACACGAATGGTTTGTTATACATGTAATTGGATTGTGAATTTGTACTGGTTGAGGACATTTCACATGGTGTATTTCAGAAGTTCATGTACATGAATGACGACCTAATCACCTCATGCACCCCGGGTACATCACCTCAATTGTCCTCAAAGACATTTAAATTGTTTTGTCCTCTCTGCTTTGTACGATGCAGCAGACTCAAAACAGTCATCATAAATATCATGGTATAACAAAGCAACTATTTTTGTGATTTAGTCTAGATGGGTTTTGTACCCCCCTTGGTTTCACCTCCATTTGTGGCCTTCTGGAATACAACATTACATGGACTACATCACAGAAGACAAAGTTGGTAGGATATGTACCTCCTGAAATACATCTCCTCCTCCATGCCAGAAGGGTCGATTTCCTCATCATCCAATACATAGTACCTGCCTCTTCTCTTGGTGGGAGTTATATAGATGGTGGTTGATTGGTCAACAGCTTGGGGCTTACTGAAAGGTAATTGAATTTAAAGGTAATGTACAACATTTGCTTTTGCTGCAATTTTCAGAAATAAATGGATTTGGAGGATTAGTATGTTATAGCAAATATTGTTAAAATGACTTGTTTCACGTTTTGGGCTTGTAGATGCTGGAAAAATCAAGAAAACCAATCATGTTCTTGTAGTCTGGTTCCCTGACCCCACTTAAGATGAAACAGAGCAATTTATAGACTTTGGGGAATTGTAAGGCCAGAGAATCAGTCTGGCAGGCTTGTACCCCTTTACAGGTGTGAAATCAATTGCAAAGAAAATGCGGAATAACTAAATAAGAAAAACTAGGAGCAGTTTTTTTTAAAAGCCAGTTTTTTTCCAACGCTGGTCCGCCGACCAGCATTGGAAAAATACAGTTTTTCTTGAAAATGTCAGCACACCAGGAGCCATGATTTTTAACAGGTTTGCTTTAGACGGTCATTCCCTAACAATTCAGTAAGGTATATCGTGATAATTTGATCATTTCATTTTTTGATGTTTGCAAATGTTGTATCTTCCCTTTAAGGGAGAGTTCTGGGAAATGTACATGTTATTCCTTTTACTCTATGGAGTCCATGCAGAAGTACAGTCCCTCCAAGGTTACAAAGAAAGAGTTGGGAGGGACGACTGACATCACAACGGGAGAAACGTATTATACAAATACAGCACAGTTTGAGGAGAAGTAGTGGGAATTACTGGTCCCGAGGTGTAGGTCAGCTTGACTACCTCCCGACGCAAAGCCGAGGGAGGTAGTCAAGGTACACCGAGGGACCAGTAATTCCAACTACAGTCAAACACCTTTATAACAAGGTCCTTGGGACTTTATGAATTACCTTGTTATAACGTGTATCTTGTATTAATAATAATGGAAAACAAAGGAAAACAAAGACTTGGGACCTAAAATTTGGCTTGTTATAAGCAGTACCTTGTATTAACAGTGCTTTTCTTATCAGGTTTCGACTGTACCAGTATTTTCCAGAAATAACCCATGCATGCTGAATTTGTTTTACTACACCTCATAAATATTTAGTACCCTCACTGCCTTTTTAGTAGCCTCACTGCCTTGTCGATAATGGCCTTCGTAGATTTTGCATCTTTATTCGGCACAAGATATTCAAGTTCTTCGTCAGTCAATGAAATAGTCTGGTGCAAACACTCTTTAATGTGTCTTTACTGAAGTAGGACTACAACAACAGACTGGTTCCGTAAATATTACATGCCACAAGACTACATGTCTACAAGGCAAGTTCCAGAGGGAATATTTGGTGCTACCAGAAAAAATACCGCATGGCAGCGAGCTGGATACTCACGTCACTGGGATGACGTCACCTGGGCGCTTATCATTTTTACTTCCTGAACGCGCAGCTGAATCAGCCAATGACAGCTCCAATTTGATCATGAATATTTATGAGGTGTAGTAAATATGCATTGACAACATATTCCTAAACATTTGTGCACATTTAAAGGTAGAGAATATCATTTGCAGCTATCCAAAAAGTAACTGACAAAATTATTGTTGAAAATCATATTTGGTTTAAAGATATTAATGGCACTAAACTCCCTGTGAAATTATTCATCCTGGCATGCTGTCATTTTGAAGAAAACAACAAATAGTCATTTCCAAAGATGCACCTAAAGACGAATTTTTTTGAAATTTCCGGAAGCAGTTCGTTTTTAATTCGGCGAAGCTGTGAATGGGTGCGCGCAAGCGGTGACACCGTTGCTATAATTCGTCGGTTCAGGGCATAACATCGCGTAGCTGCAATCGGCTGAATGAGAACGTGTCCCGGATGCTGATTTCCGGTGCAATTAAAAACCTGACTCGGTAGTCGCCCGCTCGTATCACTGCGTTGCATATCTAATTAGCGATACTTGATCACTGCACGTAGCGCGTGCAGAGATGCCAACTTTACAGACTACAAAATAGTAATGATTCTTCCTGCAAAGAGTAATGCTAATGTAAATACATAGGACAACAGTCAAGTTTAAGAGTAACCACAGTACTTGTCAGAGTAACCACAATGTTGGCGTATAGGACAGCTGGAATTTTCAAGAGTAGTAACATGCCTCAAAATCCTAATAATTACTCCAAAAGAGTAATGGTTGGCATCTCTGCGCCTGCATGTGACCTACTATAAAGCATTTTGCGATCGCTGATTAGTTCCCTAGGAAGAAAATCAAGAAAAAGTTAAATGGCTACTACAGAATTCCCAAGACGTTAGTTCGAGCAGGCACGCTAGTCTAATCATGCCATTAGATATGCATGATTCACTATCGAGCATTTTGGGCCAAGACTAGTTCAGAAACAGTTTTGTTTAGCATAATCAGTTATGTCTTTGCATGGAAAAGTGCTGGTAGTGGGTACCTGGTTGATTTCTGTGAATCTGACTTTGTTTTCCTCCTACTCTTGCTCCTGCTCTGCTTTTCACTGGTACCCTGTTGGGTGGCATTAACTGGAACACCAGCATAAACGGGAAGGGTGACCAAGGGTACGTAAGTAGCTGGTTGTGTGAGAACAACTTGTGGGACACCTGTTTGCATAGAGGTAGTCTGGTTGGGGCCTTGATTCACAGGGGTCTGCGTAGCTGGGATTAATATTGGCTGTGACTGGGTTAAGACTGGTTGTGACTGGCTAAGTGATGGTTGGGGCTGGTTCAAAACCGGTTGGGGCTGGTTCAAAACCGGTTGGGGCTGGAATGTGACAGGCTGTGACTGGGTTAACACCGGATTTGCCACAGGTTGAGGGTTGAATACTGGTTTGGGATGCTGGACGGTTTGCTGATTTGATACTAGCTGTTGAGGGTACAATGTGGATTGCTGTCCTGGGTTAGAATGCAGGGACTGATTTTGGGGCATGCTGACACCAGTTGGTGCATAACTCGGTGACGGATTAGGATATTGGGTAGGCCTGCTGGCTGCACTGGCTTGATGAGGTGCTGAATCTGCAATGACAGCATGATGATGTGAATGGGGGTGGTAATATTCTCCGTGGGTTTGTACCCCACTTCCACTACACAGCGGGCATGGTTCCTGTCTGATGGTGTACAAAGGGGAAGAAGTGACCCCTTGGCTTGGGGATGTCCTTGCTCTGGAAGGTTGAAATTGGGTATGGGTCCTTGGAGGGGAAGCTGGGATGGGCGCAGCTTCGGGAATATAGGATGGACTACCCTGGGGCATGGGATTATGTGTATGAGATCGGTATGGGGTACTGGAATGTAAAAACGGCCGCATGGGGGTCCTAGTAAAGAGAGATTCGGGAAGATCAGTTTTGGGAATGTATGTCTGCCTAAGGGTCTCTCTCAATCCGTCCCTGGAAGGTGGTGAGCCTGGGTAACTTGTATCTCTGTACTCATCCCTCGGTCGGTACTCATCCCTCGGTGGGTCTCGCAAGGATGTCCTTGACATGGGAGAATCATTTGTTGGAGACGATGCAGTTTGTTGGTTGACTGCGTTCCTCAAATCGTCAATTTCGTTCTGCAGGGCTCTCAAGATCTCTGATCGGCTGCTGCCGGCCTCTGACCCCGCGCCGTCATAGTGGCTTCTTTTAGGATTTGGTGTCCGGTGGCGTGGTTCTTCCTCAGCTGGCGAGCGTCTTGGGTTCTTCTCGCGGCTGCTCAATTTGGCCATCTGGTACTTCAATCGCTCTACCTCGCCCTGCAGATCCCGGATGGCTTCGCTCTTCCCGCTGCTTCTTGTCACGTTCGATTCAGAGTCATATCCTCTCCGAGGAGGCATTCGCAACCTCCCCATCGGAACCCCGAACGGGCCTCTATCTCTGCTCCTGATAGGATCAATCCCTTCTCTGGGATTGCCATTCTGTAAGCTTTGGGGCTCGCGGCTCTGCTTTGGAGAGGGTCTGTAGTTTGAGGTAGGCTCGGGGTAGGAGGCTGGACCGTCCCTGTAGTCATCCCATGTCTTGTTGGGATTTGTCAGGTATTTGGCGCCTGTTCTCCCATCAGGCTGAAGGCCATGTCTCTCCTTGTCCTGTCGCTGTTCTCTTTGTTTCTCAGGAGCACGTGTCACAGCTGCTGGCTTTTTCCTTCCTCTTGTCTGTGATGTACCTGCATTAAAAAAATGAAAATAACAAAGTTAGCATGTACATGAACATAAAACTTTCTCTTGATGATCAGACACTTGACCTTTTATTATCCTTGATTGACTTTTTCTTATAGGATTGCGGACCAAAAACTAATGGGCACTCAAGGTGGTGGCTATATAAAATATCATGGTGAACAAAACAATTGTTCTGTTGTAATGACGTCCATGGTGTTTCGTACACTCGAGGAATGCCAATGGATGCCAGTTCCCCGAGGGTATACATAATCCTGCCTTCGTTTTCGTCACAACCATGACAACAGACATGGGCGTCAATCGATGGGGGACAAGTCCCCCTCCCCCACACTTTTTTGTCCCTGAATAAATATTGTAGCCTACATCTGACTCCATAGCTCCGAATAGCTGATTCCATGACTCCAATTTCGAAAATGAAGTTTAAATGATGATCTTTTGCTAAAAAAAATTGGTTAAAGTGGTCAGAAATTGCCTCAGATCGCACCACAGAGCTTCTGCAATCCAAAAATTAAAGCGGGCCCCGAACCCATGCTGCTACTGGTAACAGCTTGGTTCACGCATGATTTCTGATCAAGGTATGATCCCCCCCCCCCAACTTTTAAGAGGCCATTGACGCCCTTGACAACAGACAGAAATTGCATAATGCAGTGTGCAGAGCTCCCGACAGGCGCCTCGCCGCTGCATCCCTGCAAGCCCAGCCGCGACATGTATCTGCATGGCGACCATCATGCATGCCGCACCGTCCGTGCAAGTCGAATTGTCTCACGAAAAGCATGCCTGCGCAGATTGTCACTGCGCACTTAGTGTCATAGACTTGCTACCGGTCCTTCGGACGATATAAGCGAACTCCTTACGCGAATATAAGGCGGGAATGGCGCTTTTTTTCAATGAATATTTTTTTGAAAACAGCATCGTCAAAAATCGTAAATTGGAAGAATGAAATCGTAAAAGCGTAAAACGGGTGGAAAATCGTAAAAAGTATGCCAAAATCGTACATGTTGGGAGCTCTGAGTGTGTTTCATAGATCACTTAACCATTTTTTAATCCAACTCACTTTTTGCAGGTACAGTCCTCTCAACTGCAGCCGGCCTTCTCTTGCCAGCTCCTGCAGACCGAGTGCTTGCTTCGTCCATCTCTTCGTCCCGCTCACTGATGTCATAATCCGAGAATCCTGGGCTCTCCCAGTTTCCCATTAGCTTCCTACTGACCTGTGGCGGCGACCTTTGACCTGTTGGTAACTTGCTGGACCGTAAGGTAAGCCTGTTTGACAATAAGAACAGAAATAGTGACTTAGTGACTAAGTTTAGATGACGTCACAATAACAAACTGGATATACATTGTAAAGGGCTCTCCACACAAGAAAAGAAAAAAAAGGAAAAAAAAGGAACTAAATAAAAAGACAATACAGACGTTCACGTAGGACAATATTCAAAACAGCACAATATTAAGATCCAGTTATTAAAGACATAAAATATATATTAGAAATATAAAAAAAATTAATACAAATTAAAATATAAAGTACATTTTGGAAACTTTATCTCACCAAAGTACATGTACATGTATTTTAAAGCCACAATTATTTCATCACCTGTCTCTTGGTCTTCTCAGCTGGTTGTGACCGTCATAGCCAGGCAAGCCACCATTCTGATTGGACTGTCGGCTGCTTTCAGACCCCATGAACCCACTGTCGGCCTCGGGGGACAAAACGCTTCTGTCCGGCAGTTTCTGTTGTGGGACACCGTTTCTCTTGGTGTTGCCACCGTTCTGCCTGGGGTTCGAAGATTCACGAGGGTCGTGGTTTTGGGTCTTGTTCGTGAGAGACGTCGGTCTTGGATGTTGGCTCTGGTGAAATCAAAGACAAAAGTATGGATAAGCAACATACAGTCCTTCTGATCTGAAAATCACAGGTGCTTGGAAATGGTTTTTTTCCTAGGCGTGTGATATTTGTAGGTGTGTGATTCCGTGGTCCAAGCTGGAACTTAACAATCTGGTATTTTGTTCATAATAGTTATCTTGGCTTTTGTTTCTTCACTGACTTACTTTTTTCCTCAAGTTACAAAGTATAATTATGCCATAAATGTATTCCGAGGCGTGCGGTACAGAGGGATTCAGGCGTGCGATTATTGGTACTTCTTAGTAAGCTTTTAGGCATGCGATGGCTCAAATCAGAAGGACTGAACATAGGGCAAGTTGGAGGAAAACTGGCCGACATCGGTTGATTTGTGGTGTAACTCATGCATGTGGATATAGCAGTGTGTGAATATCTCTAGTTTGTAACCAGCGAATGCACAAGGGCGGATCCGGGGGGGGGCAAAGGGGGCCATGCCCCCCCCCCCCAAAAAAAAACGAAACCAATTTTTTTTTTTTTTTTTGTGACATCGCAATAAAGGCAGGCAATGAGTACACCACCATCTTTTCCTCAAAAAAACATTGGTTAAAGTGGTCAGAAATTGCCTCAGATTGCACCACAGAGCATCTAGAATCCAATTTTTTTTCAGGGCCCTTAAGCGGGCCCCGAACCCCACGCCGTAATTTTTTTGACCCACTTTTTTGGGGGACGACTCACCAATCTCAGATTGTTACCAATATTCTGACTAGATCTATTAAAAGAAAAGATACACTGTACATTACCTGTTTTGGCCGTCTCTGTCCGTTTGCCAAATCAGTTGAAACTTTGCTTTTGGGGTTCCTTTCTGTTCCTGAACACCAAAACAAAACCAAGTTTATTTGACACAAGTAATTATCACTTAAACATCAATTAATATGACAATATTGATAACACTAACTTGTTACCTTTTTGTCACATCTACGAAAATGTAACGCGAGTAACCGATTTTGTGCGTCTTGTTTATCATACATAACACATTTTTCTGGATGTCATCTTTGGTGCTTAGGTAGGTCTAGGTCTACTCTATCTACCATGGGGATAACAGTTATTAAACCTTTTCAGTAAGGTCATTACAGCCCAAGGAAACTCAAGGGTACATCAAAAATGTAATGTGAGTAACTGTGGAATTGCCCATAATTTCTCTCAAGGATGATAAGAGTCCTTTTTTTAAATAGAACAAAAAACATACCCTTTGTAGTATTAGTTGGTCTAGAATGTTTTGGTGGTGAGAATAGTGACGGGGCATCCCCAGGGGAGGGGAACTCTTCCTCTGACTGATTTGGTGATAGAGAATTCCCACTATCACCCTCACCAGGCTGGAGTCCTGCAGCTGCATGTACGTTAGAAAGATATATATATATATATATACAATGAAATCATCTTCTATCACAATTCACAGTGCTCGATACATCTCCGTAGAGCTATAATCATGCAATAAATTCAGAATATGAGCTAATCAAACTTTGGCATATTTCTCTTCTGGACAGACTGTTTCGTACCCTAAGGCACTCATCAGCAGAATGACAAAATATAGAATACAAGTAGCATCTTACCTTATTTCGAATCAAGCACGCGCTCGCGTTATGCGCGTTACGTCATTGAAGTTAGTACGCGTTTACGTCACTGAAGTAAGAACACACCTGTCTTGATGCCCGCACTTGGAGACGATTTCGCTTCTCTTATTTAGTGTACATATGATTATGTACTTCTCCGCTACACACAAATTGCATCTCGTTTACAAATTGCATCTCTTGAGTATGGCAGTGCTTTTTGAACAATGTCCCATTTGATTTCATAGTCTTTCCCTTCGTCCTTTAAGTCCCATATATGTTTACTTAGCTCTGTTTGCGCCCTCTTGCTCTTGGATCTGAATGACTGCTTGTGGTTCGCCAGTCTCGCTTGATTAGCTCATATTCTGAATTGATTGCATGATATATATATATACATGTATGCAACTCCTTAAAAAAATGGTCATGCTTTAAAAACAGCATTTTCCATTGTGTCAACAATCTGAAAGCACTTTACACCTAATATTTGTCTGTTCATCAGGCATTGAGACCACGCGGCAGCCGATGTAAGTTCAGTGTGTGACATCACGTAGCAACAATTAGCTGAATGAGAATCATGACCCGAATGCTGATTTCGGGATCGTGTCATGACTCTGCAACTATTGAATTAAAATGGAGATCCAGAATATTGTGTTTTTCTCAAAATATGCAACATTCACAGAGCTAGTGCTCTATCAGGTTAGTTGTTAAACACCAGTCTTTAGATTATGAGCACTTTTGTTGCTTCAAATGAAACAACTGCACCAATGACAAATGTTCTACTCTACCTTTAAATCTGCTTCAGATACATGCATGTTTCTTGCTAGTTATTGACAAATTTAAGACCAATAAATCAAGAATTAGCAAAAGAAAACAATGCCATTACTTGATCTAATTTAAGAAAAAAAATTGGCTCAAAGACACCTCGATGACAACATTTCAAAATATCATAATGGTTTATTACTTAAAGATTATGAATATTTATTAATACTCAGAGATTCCAATGCAGGCAAACAGTAATTGTATACATACCATCTTGTTCATTGTCTCCTGTTGAAAATCTTTCCTCATCTTGCCTAGGAAATCAGGAAAAAAAGGCAAACAGCAATTTAAAGTTCAGTACATGTATATAAAGGCCAGAAGAAAACGGACTGAGTTGGTCGGCTTTAATGCTTTGCTGTAACAAAGTATTTAATTACATGTTTTCATAAAATAAATGTGTGTAAGACGCTTGAGCTACCAGACAATTCATTGATCACCGTTTAACAGGATAGATCTAAATTTGAACACAGATGTTCTGAACTCATTTCCTTTCATTTCATTTATTGGGATACATTTGTAACAACAAACAATAACATTTAATACACAGAAATACACATGAACATTTGAGACAAAACATACACAATACAATATTTAAAGCTACAGTTCTTCATTTGCAGCCATTCGAAAAGTAACTGGCGTAATTATTGTTGAAAAACATACTTGGTTGAAAAATAGTAAGGGGACTAAGCTCCCTGTGAAATTATTCTTTCTGGCAAGCTGTCATTTTGAAGTAATCAACGAAAGAAGGCCTTTCCAACAGTGCGTCTTAAGACGCACCGTAGGAAATATAAATAAGTAGTTCGTTTTGTTATTCGGTGAAGTGCGCGCAAGCATTGGCACGACACACACGCGGTTGCTATAATTCGTCGGATCAGTACACGACATCGCATATAGCTGCAATTCAAAACAATTCAAAACATGATTCAGCAACTTTTGATTTGAAATTGAGATCCTAGAATGCTGTTTTTCTCGGAATATACAGCTGAAGCCGAGCTGAAAGTTCATCAGGTTAGTTGTTCAGTATCCTTCATTAGATTTTGAACACTTTTGTTACTTCAAACGAACAAAATGCACAAATTACAACTGATGGACTATATCTTTTACCAGCTCCCGCTGGATCACCTAAAGAAACACGGTTTCTGTTGAGGGGCTCTCCAACTGATTAAATGGGACACACTAAAAACTCAACTATAGCATACAAATAATAATTTTTTATGAGTGCAATGGCAAGAATAATTTCATGAGGTGACAGATGGAATGTTCCATTCTACGAGGCGAAGCCGAGTGGAATGGAACATTCCATCTGTCGCCAAATGAACTTATTCTTTCCATTGCAAAAATGTGAAACATTCCTCATTTGTTTTATACAACACATGGAAAAATCCTCGTCATCTGATTGGTCAGAACCACCAATCTATGACCTTGCAATGCAACTTCTATTTACCGTGGAATAGAACTTCTATTTTTGCGGTACGGCCAGGCCGTGGGTTGGAACGAATAATTCAATGACATGTGATCAACGACCGACCAATCAGATACAGGGATTTATTCAGGTGTTTTATACACCCTGTTAAGAATCATAAATCAAACTTTTAGAAAAATGATATTGGTGATTGGCCCCGAAGTATATAAAGCATGTAATTTGTTTGAAAATAGTTATTTCTTTATTTCAGCTGATTGGAAACCATTTTGGTGATATCTACCTTGATTTCTGGAGCCCTCTTTCCAACTTCTGACGAAGCCTCTGTAATTCCTCATCCTGGTAGGCATGCGGCAGGGGAAGTGTAGCTGGAGGGTCACTGTTTAGATTGTTCTGTTGTAAATGCATCAACATTTGAAACACCACACATGAATAAACGTTTCAACATACATACATACATGTACATGTTTGTTCTCATGTACACGCTATTAAAGGTATATACAATATTTGCAGACATCAAAAACAAACTACCAAATGATCATGTAATACTAACCTTACTTGACTGTACAAGGTTCGACCTTAACTTTTTTTCACTAGCCAGCCGGGCTACTGAAACAGACTCTTAACTAGCCCGCATGTTTTGTTCTTTTGTTATGTGCATTATGTAAAACGTGTATAGAGCCCGAAAGTTGACCCCTCGAAAAGGAAAGTTAAAGTGTACAAGTCAGAGTTTTTGAAATTAGTTTTGGTACCGGTACATTGATTTCTTTAAAAAATGGAATCTGAAAATCGCATGACATGAAAGAGAAATATCGGGCCAAGAACTGACCTCGCACTTCCGAAAACTTCCGTATGGGCTTGTTGAACTCGATCACTCGTTCAAGCATGAACATTTATGATCTAACAGATGTAATAATTCTTGACTCGCCAGCCGGGCTACTTAACCCTTACTCTCTGAGGGTAGTTTACTGCATGTCAGTTGGTTATGCCAATGCCCTCCAGCTGCAGTTATTTGGCAGATAACAAGTCTTAACAGTGAAGGCTCCAATTGGCAGGAGTTGGAGGCCCTGGAGGGTGCCTGATACTGACCAGCTGGGGGCACTCACTTTGTTATCAGAGGACTCTCATTGTTCTCTGTGGCATGTATTGGAGTGCCTGTCCAGTTACCCTTGAAATGACATGGCAGATATTGGAGGGCCATGCAAAAAACATAGGAGATTTTCTTGAGGCACAATTGGCATGCATTGGAGGGTCAAGTAGGGTAAGGGTTAAGGAATAGTTTGACTAGCCCGCCACTGTTTTGACTAGCATTTGGCTAGTGGGCTACCGCAAATTTCGAACCCTGCTGTAAGTGAATAATAGTCTCGAGCACCCTGTGAAATCATGGCAGCTGGTGTGCTGTCATTTTCGAGAAAAGTGGAATTTTGTGTATCAATTTCCAACGATGGTCGGCCGACATGAAATTGGTGCTGGTACCTAGGGCACATTAAGGCCTATTGGTCACCGATGCCCAGGGCCTACGGAACACTTAATCTGGCCCCAAATATGCTCTTGTGACGGGCAGAGCATAATGTACGAAAAATGTAGCTACCCCAGTTCTTTTCAGAACTACACAGACTCACAAAAGACATTTCATTTTACATGGTACAACTGCAAGATTACTCTTATTTCTGACTTCACCCCAACAAACTTCAAACCTTAACCCTAGCTCCCTAGGGTGATTTACTAGGACCCTTCCTCATCCCTGCAAATCCCAACACCATATGGTAAACTGTGCACATCAACAGTTGGATTCTGTTTATTGCTTCGTCCTTCGGATGGGACGTAAAGCCGCAGGTCCTGTGTGTTTTTTATTCCAATGCACGTTAGAAAACCCAGTGACACTTGTTAAAGAGAAGGGGTTTGCCCTGGTGTTTCTGATCTCCTGTATAAACTCCCAAGCAAAGTATTTTAGGAGATGAACCAACCAAGAACCAAGGTATGCCTAGTCCCACCCACAGCACAGCCAGTTTAATACTAGTGCAGTACTCATCCTAACAGATCCCAACAATTCCTGGTGTTGGAGTTTGGCTGTTTGAGGATCGTTAAAGAACCCAGTGACACTTATCGTTAAGAGAAGGGGTTTACCCCGGTGTTTCTGTCTCCTGTATAAACTCCCACGCGAAGTATTTAGGAGATAAACCAACCTAGAACCAAGGTATGCCTAGTCCCACCCACAGCACAACCAGTTTACTAGTGCAGTACTCATCCCAACAGATCCCAACAATTCCTGGTGTTGGAGTTTGGCTGTTTGGGGATCGTTGGGGTAAAAGTTCTCTTTACCTGCACTATCTCAGCCAGGTCCTCAAGTTTCATCCCCAGCTGGAAGATTTCCCCCTCCAGTGACCTGTCTGGGTCAAAGGTCAACTCTGCCCCTCCGTTGAGTAGGCTGTTCCTTCGCCGGAGGGCGTTGTGCTCCTCCTTGGCCTGCATGTAGTCTGCCTCTAATTTGCCCTGGGCCGTTCTCAGTTGGGCCAGAACCGCCTTTTGCTCAGAGGGAGCAAGCTGGTTCTCCTGAAGCAGTATTCCAAAGGAATCAATCTACATATAAAAAAGAATGACATTGAATCATTATCTGCACTATCAAAAATATATTTCAGTTAACCCTTTTGTGAATAGATGACTGGACTAGATGCACAGTTTATAACATTTCTTGGGTGGTCGCTAGTGACCCCTCTGTGCACAAAGAGTTAAAGCCAGAGTCCATCATTGGCAGCTATTCAAAAAGTAACTGGCATAATTATTGTTGAAAAACATACTTGGTTGAAAGATAGTAAGGGGACTAAACTCCCTGTGAAATTATTCTTTCTGCCAAGCTGTCATTTTGAAGAAATCAACAAAGGAAGGCCTTTCCAACGGTGCTTCTCAAGAAGCACCGTAGGAAATTCAATTTAGTAGTTCATTTTGCTATTCGGCGAACACACGGGCACGTGGTTGCTATAATTCGTCTGATTAGTGCGCGTCATCAAGTAGCTGCAATCGGCTCAGTGAGAACGTGTCTCGGACGCTGAATTCAGGCCGAATTCAACACATGATTCAGCAACTTTTGATTTGAATCAAGATCCTAGAATGTTGTTTTTCTCGAAATATACAGCTAAAGCTGAGCTGTTACTTCATCAGGTTAGTTGTTCAGCACCCTTCTTTAGATCTTGAGCACTTTTGTTGCTTCAAACGAACAGAATGCACAAATTACAAATGATGGCCTTTACCTTTGAGGAATTATACGGCAATTCCAAGTCAGGCATATATTTCTCTCACACAATGTTAACCTGTTACTCATGTTCAACATGACAGATATTAGCAATGTTGTACATGACATGTGTATCACAACTCCAGTCGCAAGTATTAAATCACAAGTCACAAGTAACAGGGGATGAATATTAATAAAAATAACACCTTTGTCACATATCATTTGAATAGCTTGTGAATTAAAGGTACAGGTATAGTCCATCATTTATTTGTGCATTTTGTTCGTTTGAAGCAACAAAAGTGCTCAAGATATAAAGAAGGGTGCTGAACAACTAACCTGAAGTTTCAGCTCAGCTTCAGCTGTATATTTCGAGAAAAACAACATTCTAGGATCTCGATTTCAAATCAAAAGTTGCTGAATCATGTTTTGAATTGGGCCTGAATTCAGCATCCGAAGCACGTTCTCACTGAGCCGATTGCAGCTACGCGATGTCGCGCACTGATCCGACGAATTAGAACAACCGCGCCCGCGTTTGCGTCGTGCCAATGCTTGCGCGCGCTTCACCGAATAACAAAACGAACTGCTAATTTGAATTTCTTAGGAAGCACCGTTGGAAAGGCCTTCTTTTGTTGATTTCTTCAAAATGACAGCTTGCCAGAAAGAATAATTTCACAGGGAGTTTAGTCCCCTTACTATCTTTCAACCAAGTATGTTTTTCAACAATGATTACGCTGGCCAGTTACTTTTTGGATAGCCGCAAATAATGGACTCTGGCTTTAACCTGGGACTGGATGATGGACTTGTGTTAACCAAAGTCCAGTGCACACAGCCGGCAAACTTCCCAACTGTCAATTGTTGATTGCAAGATTTGTGCTCTGCAGTTGTAAGTTTTACAGGGTCAGCTGGGTTCAAAAAGAATTAGGCTACACTGTTAGTTTTGCATCACTGAATTTTAAAAACCATGCAGACGACCACATGAAACTTACATTGTGATCACATGACATCCATGTGGGTCACCAAGTTGGGGCCACTGCTATACAGGTGATATCACTCAAAGCGCCCCCTTAAGTATTTTTAAGTCTTCACTGATGCATTTTCTTTTAATTTAGACCCAGGTTTCAAAACTGTTTTATCGTTTTTTTGTTTTTTTAAATTGTGAACCCGTTCTCGTTGTTCACTATTTTATAGTTTATATTTTAACTAATTATATTTCCTAGCTTTTGATTTACACATTTTTATTACATTTGCTGTTTGATTTTTAAGTTTAATTTTTAATTCTTTTTTTGTATTCTTTTGCAGTTTTTATTTTTGGAAGCATGTTTTAATTCATTTTTACTATATTCTACCCCAAGATTTTTATTGCATCACCCGATTTTAGTTAGTTTTTCACTCGATTTTAGTTATTTTTATATAAATTTCCTGTTTTAATAATTTAACGCGATTGTGGATTTTATATGGGTTATGTAACCTTTTCCACAACCCGCGACAGAAATGTCGAAGTAAATAAATATAATATAATATACACGTACTTGGGGCGAAACATTATCCTAACCATTCGTGCATACCTGTTCCTGTTGACTCCTCACTTGGAATGCAAGCGCCATCAGAATACCCTCCCCTGCTGGAAACCCATCCGAATCACTCGTCCTTGCCATCTCCGATGGTCTGGTGCCTGCAGGCCCCACTTTGTTGTTGTTATTGGTCTGCACACCCATGCTGGTGGGACCCGCCTGGTTGGGCGGCTGGTTTCCCATCTGGCCTCCTGACATTCGATTACTGGTAAGAGAAAAGAGGCAAGATTTCAACAGTCGGAATATGAGCTCCGCCCAAAAGTACCAGTACTACCTCATTGGTAGAAAAGGGAGAGTTGGTGAGGGGAGACAGCATACATTCTTGTGCCTTAACTGTGGGGACTACACATGTGTTGTCCCACATATGGGGACCGAAGACGCTATGGGGACAGCAGAAACTCCCCACAACTCGGTCCTAATTTTCTTAACAATATAAACTTCCCCATGACACGGTGACGGCCTGCCCATATGCGTACATGTATTTAGCGCTATGCATGAACCAGTATACACATGCATGCGGTGTTTCCTATCCCATGTGCTCTCCAAAAGTGGTCAAGAAAAGTGCATGAAAAACGTTGATCCTATTACGATACATCGTACATATGTACATTCAGAAGAATATTTTCCAAAGCTTCAGTGAACTTTTCTGCCTAAAATGCACATTTTGTGCACAGAGTGTTGTCTGCATATCTGCATACATGCACGGTACAGTGTATGCTACCTTATGTCCTTAACCTCCTAGGAGAAATCGGAGATTTAAAAAAACAGTTTCTCCTAATGTTATTTCAAACCGAACAATGGTTATCTGATTTCACCAGAAGTTCCCATTCAGTCACAGTCATGCAAACAAAATGTTACAAGTGAGGTGTCGCACGGAATGCAGTTAACGATGATTAGGTATACGTATACATGTAGTTTGTAGGATCGAATGACCACTGGGCCTTAAATAAAGCACTTGAGAGCTGCTATGTTGGAAAAAAAAGGGGGGGAACTCTCTGATCAGACGAATGGGCAGGCTACTCATGAACCCAGAAGACCGCTAGTGATTGAATGCAGTTACAATCAGGGACCATAGAGCCAATTGGGGATATTCCAGTTGTTTTCTTTAGCTTGTGCCACAAAAAATGGAAGACCTTGTTTTTTTTAAGTTGGTTTCGAATATGTGGTTTCCCAAATTCAAACTGAATTGTGGAATTCAAACCGAATTTCAGAGAAATCTGAATTTTAATCCCACCGCTGTTATCAACAAAAAAAACAAAGGAATGAAAAACTCACCCTGATGACGAAATATGATGAACAGTTGCCTTTTGCGGATGATTAATGACGAAAGCGCCTGGCTTCTGCGCAGGGGAGAGAGTCCCCTGAATGCTCTGGCCCGGCGCTGGACTATCCCCGTACAGATTCACTCGAGCCCCAAGTTTCAACTGGTCTATCGTGTTCTCCGCTCGTGCGAATTTCCCAAGCAACTCGTCGTAGTTTTTCTGAAGTTGCTCGTTGAGCTCATCAGCTTGCTGTCGAGTTTTGGACTCTTCCTGGAGTCTGAGCGAGAGGTCAAGCTTGGACGGTTCAGAGTAGAGACTCAGGTTTGCACTGCTGGCTGTTGAGGTCCTCCTCAGCTCCAGTCTGGGGACTATGGGGCTTCTGGCATGGCTTCTAAAACCATTAGGGTTTGTGGAAGACTGTTTATTCCTTGAGCGGTCCGAGTGGTCGTCAGACCTCTGAGAATACCTCGGAGAGTTGCGGCCTCTATGTAAAGGGCCCGTAGCTGGTAGCCTCGGTGAGTTCCTAGCTGATGATCGAGCAGATCTGTTACCCACAGATCCTTGCCGGGAGTCATTTGGTTTGGAGGACCTGATGAGGTCCCTCTCATCCTTTGGGGTGGACCGTTTCGACGGTTTCCCCATGGGTCTTGGCAGTCGATTTCTGTTCACAGCGTTTGGCACGAACTGACCGAGGCTCATGCTGGCGGAATCGCTGTCTTTGCTGTCCGGTGGGTCGTCTTCGTACTTTACCTCGTGAGCAGATGGCTTTCCAGGGAAATGGCCATTGGCTACAACAGTGTTGTTCAGCTCCGTGGAAGGTGCAGTTGATATTTCATCTGAATCTTCTCCAGCACTTCTTTCCTGCTCAACGAACCCGTTGCTCCTGTTCCTACGGTGATTTCTAATTTGATCAGATGCTCTGGGAGGTAAGTCGTCTGAGTATTGCTCATTGTGACCGTTATGAAAAGACTCGTTGGGGTGAAAAAGGTCATCGGAGTATTCAATGGATCTGTCATTGTCTCCATAGTCTGATGCATAGTTTGGTTCTTGATGATGGGAGGTGCTATTGGCCCTTGGAGTGGCTTCCATGTACCTCTGTAAGAGGTCCATTGAAGACCCTTTCCCGAGATGCTCTCCTTCTTTGTAGAAAACGTCTTCGCTGGGACAGCTGCTTCCCGAGTCATAATGCTGATCTCTGTTGTTCAGTAGCTCGCTTTCATTTAGAAGGCCACTTGTTTCACGCTCGTCGTCAAAATGGAGGATGTCACCTCCGAGAGATTCGTTAGTCAGGTGTTCCTCCTGGATACTTCCAGGGTTCTCCAGATCATCATTGGAGAATCCATCCCGGTCAAAGTGGAACCCCGGTGGGGGTACATCAAAGGGAAGGTCTGGTTCAAAGTCCTCCTCTGATTGGCTGTTGACGATACCTTCCAGATGCTCAAAGGAATCGAGGGAGTCGATTGGTCGACTGGAGTCATTGTCCCGGCCTGTTCCACTCATGATATAGGTGGTTTCATTCTACAGTTTTCATTACATATCAAAAAGGTTGTATCAAAAAAGGCTGTCATTTGGCAATCATTTGTTCATTAGTTTTCAAAATTTGTTCTTTGTTCTGGCTCTTCCTCTAGAGTTTGGTGGCATTTTTTATTGATGTTGTTCATATGTTTTGTTCATATTGCTGTGATGTTCTTAATCTCGTTACCTCATGCTTGCGGTGGGATTAAACAGATCAACTGTCTGCTGATCACCTGCAACAGATCAGAGTAACATTTTTAAATTAATAATATAATAATAATCGGCATTTAAGAATGCTCTTTATTAGTAAACTAAATCACAGCGCTTACAGTATTATTATTACCCCTGATCATTGGGCCAACTAAACATTCCAAATACCATCTCAGCTCCCTGGGGAGTATACAGCTTGATACTGCCTGTTAGGCGCAATCAAGCAAATTCAATATTCCATCACTGCCCTCATAGGTACCCATTTACTCCTGGGTCGAGAGAAGCAATGAGTGACAAGTGCCTTGCCCAAGGGCACACGCACCATGACCCCAGGCTGGACTCGAACCCACAACCCGCAGAATTACCCGCAGACCACGAATTCAATGCCCTTATTACCACGAGGCCACGGCACTCCATGGCACTCAAATTGTTAAAATCAGTTTTTACCTTTTAACAAAAACATTGGGAATCCAAAACCTGATCAATCAGGTCAACAACTTTTCACTCCATTACATTTTTGCCTTTGCATAGGCCTACATGTATAAAACAGGTATATTGTCACTGTTTCATATCATATTAAGTACTTTCCGCCCATGGGGAATGGGAAATACTATTCAACAGTTAGGATCAGTCTTGTTCCATGACGCGGTATTTGTGTGCGCGTTCAGCGTTGCGCGTATTGTTCCAAAGAGCCAGTGCTACAGAGTTGGGTTCAAACATTTTCGTGTACTACAAATCATATTCTCGAAACAATCTACAATCTGAGATGTTAATCTTCACATACCGGTATAACTGCTGCTTCTACCAAAAAATGCGTACGCTGTACATGTACAAATTGTAATGCTGTACACAGTAGGGCTACATCTTCCCACTGGCACATTTAAGCCCTTTTCACATTAGACAAATCTCGGGGTTGACCCGGGGTTGGCGCAGGGTTGAAAACATGCGTCGTTTCACACTTGAAGAATATCAACCCTGCGTCAACCCCAAAATTGATTTTGCCCCGGGTTGAACTCAACCCTGCTCCAGACCAGGGTTGAGATTTTCAACCCGGGGTGAAAGTCTTGCCAGGGTTCAAAACAGTAGTAACTGAGCATAATAAGCTTGATTTGCATGAAACAAGTGTGAAATGATGCGGGGTTGAAAAATCAAAAACTCAACCTGGGGCGGCACTGGGTTCGCCCAGGGTGAGTTCAACCCGGGTTAAGAGGCTCTACCGGTAGTGTGAAAAGGGCTTACGTAGTACCGGTACATGTAATACAGTGTACATGTACATGGATTTACTGAAGAATCTATAAAATCGTTAATGCTTGGGTGGTTTTGGGTGCTACAGGGTCATAATTACAATGCACATTATACATTTGTAGTCTGTGAATGCTTGGCACTGCATTTTGATATCGCTTGTGTGTTTATCAATACAGCGGAATCATCTGAGGTCTCCAAGAGTTAAGCTGTCAACACTACGGCACACAGTGACTTAACACCAGACATTCTATACATGTACATGTACATGTACACATACCGATACAAAACGTAACTTCACTGCTTGTTGCAATACATCAGGTGAAATTGGAGTGATTCATGGGCAATGCATGCTGCATGAATGACATAAAAAGTCAACATCCTCCATAATACACAAATGTGTGCCTGGGTTGTACGTTACTGTCATTAGTACCGTAGTATTAGTGATGACAAAATAGTGTTGACAACTAATAACCAATAATGCTACAGTTCGTGCCTTACAGCTATAGTCCATCATTTGCAGCCACTCGAAAAGTAACTGGCGTAATTATTGTTGAAAAACAAACTTGGTTGAAAGATAGTAAGGGAACTAAACTCCCTGTGAAATTATTCTTTCTGGGAAGCTGTCATTTTGAAGTAATCAACGAAAGAAGGCCTTTCCAACGGTGCGTCTTAAGACGCACCGTAGGAAAATTTAAATTAGTAGTTCGTTTTGTTATTCGGCGAAGCGCGCGCAAGCATTGGCACGACGCACGCGCGCGTGCGGTTGCTATAATTCGTCGGATCAGTGCGCGCCGTCGCGTCTAGCTGCAATTCAAAACAATTCAAAACATGATTCAGTAACTTTTGATTTGAAATTGAGATCCTAGAATGCTGTTTTTCGCGGAATATACAGCTGAAGCTTAGCTGAAACTTCATCAGGTTCGTTGTTCAGTATCCTTCATTAGATTTTGAACACTTTTGTTGCTTCAAACGAACAAAATGCACAAATTACAAATGATGGACTATATCTTTAATTGTTAACACTTAGTTCGATAACCCTTTACACTAGCTGGCCTTATGCCAAATGAAATAACCACTATGCACATCATGATTGTATACATGTATGTATATTGGTACTTGAAACCCTCTTTAAAAAGGAAGTACTTTATCAAAATGTAGGTGGAAAATGAAATCAAATGTTTCAATGTGTGCATGCACTTCTGCCACTGCGTGCTATTTACCGGTGACGTCAGCATACATGTAGCACTGTAGAGAAACAAGATGTGGGACAAATTTGTAGAGGGCTTGAACTTTTGACTCGACTCAAGTCAACAGCTGAATGTGACTCTATATATGTAGGCCTACTCAACCACACTTTGACCTGCTTTCCCCCAACTTTTGTTTTGTTGACCCTATGTAGTATCACTCAATGTATACATGTATGTACAAATAACTCCTTTTTAAAATTTGGCAATGCAACAATTGTTTAGATCTTACAAATAGCATATTTAGGTCCATGGAAGCGAAAACTTTACTCAGGACAGAAAGCAATACCTTACTGTTTGCACTTTTTTATAAAAAAAAAATCACATTTCGAAATCAAAACAGGACTTACACAAACTTTACTGCTTTCTGCAAGGCCATCTTCTGCACAAACAGCCACGACCAAGGTCTTGTGCTTCATGTGATCTGGCTGGCCCATCATGACAGTAACCTTTGACCTCAAAAGGAGTTTGCCACACAAACATAGCGATGGACACAATTATTCACTTCCTTCCTTTTCCACTATGTGGGAGTTTATTTTAACCATCAAACAGACATCTCAACTTTAGGCATGGTGCTTATGCTGCTCGGTTCTGACCTCTTTAGCAATGTACATGACGTACATGAAGTAGATGTATGACGTACATCGTAGGGACAGTCTGAATTTTTCTTCGATGACTAAAATTCATCTGGGAAAACAATGCAGACAGCTTGTTCTGGCATTTTGTGGGTATCAACTGATGTTCAGGCTGTCTACTGTTGTAACTGTATGCAGATCACTCCTGAAATAAAAAAAAAAAAACAGTTGATATGTTGTTTACATATACCTGGTACATGTAAGGCCGAATAAAAAAACAACAAACATGTTTCTCATCTGGATTTTTTTTTAAAAAAGGAGGAAGAGGGGCTTTTATTTTTTATTATTTTTAAGATGGCCGCCATTTTAAAATTTCCTGCAACCGTTGGTGTTTCCACTGTTCAAAGACACTTTTAAAATGAAAGACAAGTTGGACAAGAGAACTGAACATATTTACAGTGTCATTCAGAGTTGTGTTGGTCTACAATGAACAGTTTTAGATGCATTTGCTTTAACCGCCAAAAGTTGTGATTCATTTCGGTGTTTTTTTACTGCATTTTTCAAAAATAAAAAATAATAAAAAAAATCCAGGCGGCCTTCATAAAGGAAGCGGGCGGGGACGACAAACATGTCTTTTTTTTACTTCGCCTAAAACAAATTTATCAAGTAAATATTGCAGGTAACAGTTCTTTTTACCCAGACTTCAACTTTTGTTCGTTTGTTTGTTGTTGTGGTTAGTTTTGGTTTTTTTGGAGAGGTCGGTGAGATCAAAGAATATTTCTGGGGGCAATAAAATATCTCACTTCAAATGTTGACTAGAATTACCTGTTATTGAAACTTAGAATGTTCAACAGTTCAGCCATTACTTTTATCTGAAAAATGTATTAATAAGTACCGGTACCTGTACCACAAAAATAAATTTGTCTGAGTACGTTCAAATTTATGGTGTTTCGAGCCAATTTCTACTATCAGAAAAGTTGCATGAATAAATTCTTTTTAAATCAAAATTGTGTTGTTGTACAGTTGTAGTACAGTTGTAGTACGACGATGTGTACATTTAACTGCACTTTATGAATATAACTTTGATTATAATAAACACACTGTCCAAAATGAACGTCCCGCACTGAACCACCAATAATGTACAATGTACACAATATTTACCCTGTACTACTGTACATGTTTACTGCAAAAGTGTAAGCATACCGGTACATTGATTGTACACTACAGTACAAGCTATGAAATCTTAACATGTACAATGTACACTGACTTTTTAAGCACGTCTCAAAGAGAGATGTTTTCAACTGAATCAAGTGGTACCAGTATGCCACTCAGTCACAATGAACCATACCGGTATGCATATTGACAGTAGGCCTACATTTCAATGTCTAAGGGGAAGGAAGGTACAGCCATCTGTACAGTACCAGTTCTCTGATCACACAATATAATAAAGTTGGTTTTCCATATATATTGCACAGGATGATGATTGATTGGTGTTGGGTGAAGGGACAGACCATGACTGATTCCTATGAGAACAGAATGGGAAAAAGACTGTCTGGGAATTCATGTGTAACTTTCACTTTCACATCTGTTCTGAGGATGTTAATCTGCATAATTTATAACACATTGTTATGGTTACAAAAATTCCCTTTTCTTATTTATCTCGACTCTAGATATTTTAATGTGACAATTAATAAATACCGGTACATGTACAAATTTACATGTACATTTTGTACCTTCAAAGACATTGTCTGTAAACCATCTGTACCATACAAACATAAATTTACGTGTACATGTACATGTGTGTACATGTATATATATGTTGATGTATACCGGTAAATATTTAAAGGCAAACACTGGCAAAACATGGATTGTAAAAATTTGGGACAAATAAAAAAATTACATTTACTGCAACTGCACACAACATATCGTAACATTGCAAATAAAACTTTTTCTGAACGTTCATTATCATGATTTTTTTTTTTTTTACTTTACCAAAAAAACACAGGAGACCTTTTTTTACACAAATCCATGGAGTGACGTACGTACCCGTATGTAGTTTTGTAAATTATACATACAAATGGAAATGGATACACAATGTACATGTACATTGTACGTATCGGTGCTTGAACATGTACATTTGTACCCAGGGTTCGAAATTAACGGTGGCCCGCTAGCCAAATGCTAGTCAACAGTCAAAACAGCGACGGGCTAGTGAACAAAATATTGGGCTACGGTGAAGACGAAAGGACAGGAAGAAATAAATCATGAAATTCATAAAGCAAACCTGTATCAATTTGTGTATCATTCTATCAACTGTTTTATTAGGTTAAAATATTAGCTTTGTTTATTAAAAACACTGCAAAAATTGCCTCAGAATAGATGAGAAATCAGTTGGAAATGGGTAAAAACAAATTTAACTCACGACCTATTTTTGTTCTAAGGTCACGTCTGTTTTCACAACACCTACTGCGTGAGAACGAAAATGATTTTTGACCCTCGGTTTACCAGTACCTACATACATGTACATCTACCATTGAACTCTAGATTTATTCAGCTCGTTTGGATCACGTTTACTTTCTTACCAACTGTTATTTTAGATTTGTTTGTGAAAATAAATCCTTCAAGTTTCTGCGAAAAATTTTCCGTCCCAAAAGGCATATTTGAGTCTCCTGTTTAAGTTTAAGTTCTTACCCAATGACATAAATTTTCAAGCTTGAACGAGTGATCAAGTTCCAGGAGTCCACACGGAAGTTTTCGTAAGTGAGAGCGATGTCAAATTTTGGCACGATTATTCTCTTTGACGTCATGCGATTGTTCAGTTTCTATAAAAATCTGAGAGTGCTTTCCTTAAGAAATTAATGTACCAAAACTAAGTTCAAAAACCCTGCCTTTTACACGTTTATTTTCCTTTTCGAGGGCCCTGAAGCGCGCATGGGTCAAATTTAAGGCTCTAAATAAAGTGTTCTACATATGTACATGTTCACGTGCACATTGTTGTTCAAGACACACTCTACAAAAGAAAAAAATCATGCGGGCTTGTGAAAATGCCCGCCAGCTAGTTATCAGTATGTTTCAGTGCAGTAGCCAGGGTGAAAAAAGTTAAGACCAAACCCTTTGTACTGGTAATATTCTCACAAAATTTACATGAGTACATATACATTAGTACAATGTATACAATGTATACAATGAATAAAGAAATTATAAACATGACATGTGCAGTCTAAACTTTTATTTAAAACTTTGTACTTACGTGTACATGTACACGTATGAAAATGCAGAACAATATGTAACTTTTTTTCCAAATTTTGCTGACCAGTACAGTAAGTACCCTCTATAATTCTGCATGCAAACAGCTAATGTTCCAAAGAAAAACAAATCTTGACACTTTCACTTGCGCCAGAGCAGTTGGAATACCAGACTGATTAGATGTACTGTGGACCATATGGTTTTCACACAGGTTAAAGTTTATCCTACAGACTAGTATGCATGCATGATCAAGGTTTGGGAATGAACTCACCGAAGCACAGATGTTAATTCCGTTTCAAGCAATTATTAAAAATCAAGTAGAAATATTTTTGTGGTGGACAGGATGAAAATAACACAGCTCGACTTGGAGTTGGGACCATCTGCTCGCCATTCGTACTACGCCAAACACTTGAACCATTATATAGGTCAGGTCTTGTGAATTGCACACGTAATAGCCCAGTCCGTATTTGAACAATTTTGTTATCGATCGTTCTTATCTGCTGGGCATTCGTCAAGCAGACAGTTGCTGGGACTGTTTTTGTGTCTCAACATTTTGGACATTAGACTTGTCCATTTAGTGGTTATCGGTATGATACTGGTTTGTTGCTGAACAACTTCATGCACGTGTATGTATGTTCATGGATGTGTGTACATTATGTACAATTTATTTTCATTTCAAATGTTCACTAAACATGTGAAAAATAATTACATAAACAACTAGAGGGAAGCATTTGTGTGGTTTGTTCTAAATACTAACCGATCAGGCAAGGCAATCTCTGGAATTTTGCTTTTAATTTGAGGTAACGATAACAAAATATCACAAACACATCATTTGTAAAAATTATGTCAATTTCGAGAACAACTTGCAACTAAAGGTCAAACAAAAACAAATCTACCAAATTATTATGAAATACTTTGCTTGACTGTATTAAAGTCTCAAGCATCATGTGAAATCTTGGCACCTAATGTTATGTAATTTTCAAGAAAAGTGGAATTTTTGTATAATTTCCAACGATAGTTGGCCGACCATCGTTGGATTTGAAAAAAACAAAAACTTTTTTTTCAAATACTGCCCCCAATTTACCAAATTTAGTTACAGCAGTCCAAATTTTGATTGCAATCAGTTACACATTTGTGAACGGGTGTAAGCCTGCTAGAAAAATTGGTCCGTTTCATCTTAAGTACCGGTAGGGTCAGGGAACCAGACTACAAGAACAAAATATTTTTCTTGGTTTTTTCAGCATCTATAAACACAAAACTTTAAACAAGTCAGTGTAACAATTTCGCTATAAAATACTAACACCCAAATCCATCCATTACTGAAAATTACAGCAAAAGCAAAATGTTGTAGATATTAACTACCGTACATGTACCGGTATTTTTACTTTCATAACTCTTCAAAGTGTAGTTGGTTATTAATTAAACGATGACTTAAAAAAATGATTTTAAGGAAAGAATGTTGCATCCTGACTGCAACTTTTGTCATCATACACACATTATCTTAATGAAGGTCAGTCATTGCAAAAATGCTGAAAAGACATGAATCTGGGACTGAGAAACATTTCCAATTTTGTTAGAAAATACATCAAAAATGCACTCGGCCCTCTATTGACGTTGTACACAGCCAGAGAAGTGGCATCTGTGGATACTTCTTGTACATGTATTCTTTCCAATTCGAACTGTGTTATTGTGGTCCTTTCTCTATGGTATACATGTATACATCTCAAACATGGTCAACACTCAACCAGCAATACCAAGCATGAACCCCCCCCCCCCCACCACATGTCCTTGGGGAAAACCACATTACCCTTCCACCAGTAAACAGTGCCAGTGCCATGGCAACAAGATTCCACCTAGCCGGATTTACCCCACACGAATATGGAACCTTGGTGACTTTTGTGTGAGACCAACGGTCATGGTGGAGTAGCTATTAACAATAAATACATGTAGTTGCCATACAGTGTGAACCTTTTGGTTTCACAAATTCACCCCTTCACTTTTATAGTGCAGTGAAACGCCCTGATTCATAATAAAGGAGATATCATTGTTCAGCGCTCTGTGCTGGTACTTGTACAAAACACACATTTGTTTTGCAATTGGTCCAGATGTTTCTGGCATGTCTGGAGTGATTTCTATAAAATTGTGCCCATGAAATCGTCAAGATTGAAGATTTTGATTTTACTGTACATTGTTGTGCTTCAGCTTAAAATAGAATTACAAATGTAATTTCTTCTGTGTTTGAAAAACTTCTGGAAATTGTTCGCTAAGTTTGAGCAAGGAACTACAAAACAATTTTAACTAGAAATTCATGAAATATTGGTAAAATCATTAAAAAATAACATACACGTGTAAATTGGGTTTTCTTTGAAAATTCATGAACTTTGCTTGCTAAAAAATGTCATGTCACATTATTAAGAAAAACTGTTTGCTTGCCAAATAACATGGCAGTGTTATTGGGTTGATGCTAATGACAATACTGATTTTGGGTAGTGGGTTTAAACATTTCTCCATGGTTTAACCCTATCTCCCTAGGCCTTTCTGCTGGAATGTAGCCTCAATCCTGCAAAATCCTACAATTGGCCTCATGGAAAAAAAGCATAGCCTCAATCCTGCAAATTCCTCCATTATGTCTTGAATATGGTCCGTGGAGGGGTGACTACTGCCTGAATCCTGCGGCATTGACTCAAGGCTCGGCCAGTGACATCCTGGAGCAGTACGGAGGATTTCAACTTTTTTTTTCAAGCATAATCTAGGCCCATATTTATGCATGGCTGAGCAAAAAAAGGAGAAGGTCTGGCCAAAGACCTTGACCACGTGCATCCTACGAAATCAGTAACGCACTTTTGCCGTACATGTACGTGTACATGTAACCTCAATCTTCTAAATTCCTCTACTTTGGCAAAGAGGATTTTAAAGGATTCAAGGCGGTTAGATTAAAGTGTCCAGACAGTGCGTCATGATTACAATGTAATTTACATCAAACTTCGCTGTTTGAACAGAGGGGCCGTATCATAAGTCCGACGCCTCATAGGTCCGACGCCTCATAAGTCCGACATTTCGGACTTATGAGGCGTCGGACGTATGAGGCATAACGTTTATATATTCCGCCTCATAGGTCCGACGCCTCATAAGTCCGACGTCTCATAAGTCCGACAAATTAAACGCTTTGTTTTTCCGTTGTCGGACTTATGAGGCGTCGGACGTATGAGGCGTCGGTCCTATGAGGCGTCGGACTTATGAGGCGTCGGACCTTTGAGGCGTCGGACTTATGGGCCTTTATTTGATTAGGGGATGCGGTTTTGTCGGACTTATGAGGCGTCGGACCTATGAGGCGTCGAACTTATGAGCGGACCCCTGAACAGAAATAACATGACAAACATGTCTTCCATAGTGGGTGGGTCCTTCACTTAGTTACAGGGTATGTTCAGTGTTCCATAATTTCATAAATCCCTCGAATATAGTGAAGCTGTCACGCCCCCAACTATCGCATCGGTCCCAACTATAGTTGGGCCTGTCCCAACTATAGTTGGGCCTGTCCCAACTGTAAGTTCCACTGTTGGGCTGGCCCATCTATAGTTGGGCCACTCCGATCTTTTTATTTTGCGGTGTCCCAACTATAGTTTACATTGATGTACAACTGTAAAACGTTCCCTACAGCTCTGATACACGTCTGACTTTACTGGGGACCACTGAAATTAGTTATTGATGGGGCGAATCTATAGTTGGGCCACTCCAATCTTTTTATTTTGCGGTCCCAACTATAGTGTACATTGTTGTACGATTATAAAACATTCCCTACAACTCTAATACACATCTGACTTTACTTGGGACCAATGAAATTATCTATGGGTGGGGACCATCTGTAGTTGGGCCACCGCAATATTTTTATTTGGCGGTCCCAACTATAGTTTACATTGATGTACGACGACTATAAAACATTCCCTACAGCTCTGTTACATACTGTCCGACTTTACTTGGGACCTTTGACATTAGCTATGGGTGGGGCCCATCTATAGTTGGCCGGCCATGGCAATCTTTGAATTTTGCAAAATGTTGCTGGACAATCAACCCAGCAGCTGGACAACTCATCCAACTAGGCAGTACCACGTGACCGGCCAGCCTTGCGGCATGCATGCACGACGAATACACGGTGCCAGCGCCGCGGAACATTTAATCCAACAAGATCTATCAAGCATGAAGCATCCGGCGCAACTCCAGTCCTAACTATAGTTGGGCTGACCCAACTGCCGCACTATAGTTGGGACAGTCCCAACTATAGTTGGGACCGATGCGATAGTTGGGGCGTGACAAAGCTACCGGGTAGCAGTGACACGGTTACATTGTATTTTCTCTCATTTATAGGAACCGATCATTTCTAAGTAATAAAAAGTCTTAAAATAGGAGTTTTAAAAAGAAAAACAAATGTTTTTAAAAAGAAAAAGAAAAAAAGAACAAAAGATCTACCCGTTTTCGAGGGTGTAAGGATTTATCTCAAGCAAGCGAAAAACACCAACATAGCCTTCGGTTTCCACATTTTTTGGCTGGCGGTGGAACACGTACAAGTACAAGTACATGTATGTGGTCTGTATCGAACACAACAAATCAACTGGTTGTGTGGTACGAACCTCGAAAACTTGATGCATCGAAAATAGGTACACGGATGATACTGAGTTGGGTGGTGGACAAGAAAGTACGCGTACGAGTGGCAGAGGCGCGGAGTCGTGGAGTCGCAGAGTCTAGTCGCGGAGACGCGGGGCACTGGAGTGGTGGAGGCGCAGAGTCACGGAGTCGCAGAGACGCTTACCGATAGAGGGCGCAATTCTCGGAGATATCGACTGCGGCTCCACGACGCCACGATCGATTTTCGGAGGTAGGTCGACTGCGGCTCCACGCCTCCACGCAGCCGTACGGAGGCGTGGATGTAGAGTAAAGTGGCCCTGCATTCTATAGTTGTACCGCAGTCTACAGTAACGATAGAAAATGGGAAATGCATTACGGCTGCCGTAACGATAGCCACTGCGATCACTAAAAGTAAAAGTATCAGCCATCAGAAAGTGATAATATATCCTAAAATCAAATTTAGCAGGGAATATATTGAAGTATTTACTGAGAAAAAACTTTTGAAAATTTCAGACCAGTCTCATCATGCTCATACTCATTTTTTTTTCATAGTCATGTTATAGCCTGGTTCCTCCATGCAACAAGTGACTGATGGCCAGATATACATGTGTACTGTGATGAAGTTTACGTTGTTTGTTGGTAAGTTGTAGCCTACACCAAACTCCCTGGTTTCGATTCTTTCAAACAGGATTAATTCAAACGAAGCCAACTTTCCTTCCCATACCCGTATAAACCAAAGATGTTAATAATACCATTTCGCTTTATTGAAATAAATCGGACTTACCGATCCCGCAACCGCCACTGGTTTTTGAAGCTTTTGAGGTGTACGTTTAACGATGCATGCATGATGCGCGACGCCGCTGATGAGCTACGTATGTTTGTAGTCTTGATTCGAGACTCGACACTCATGTTATGTTGTACAAAATCAATTTTATTTAAAACGCAATCGTCCATCGAAAGAGGGCGCTGTTACTATACGAGTACTGCGGATCAAAACACAATTTCTGGAGACAATAACTGCAGAACAACGAATTGCATTCATTGAAATTGCGTCCGAATATTGGCCATGATATTTGACACAACAATTGTATAAATTGGCGGGAACTGAGCAAGAATAAATTTAATATTATTTTAAGAAAATATAGTGTTTTATTGCGATAAATTCATTCCGAATTTAAGTCACTTTTAATTAAACAAAAAAAACAACACTCTTTTTGGAAACGATAACTACAGAATAACAGATTGCATTTAATTAAAATCTCTTCCAATAATCTGCCATGATATTTGACGCAACAAATTTAGAAATTGACGGAAACCGTGGAAGAGTACATTCATTATGATTTAAAGAAAATATAGTGTTTTATCACGAGAAATTCATTCCGAATCTTATTCACTTTTAATAAGGGAATAAATGTGTGCTCCAGAGGTTTTTATCACTCTGTTTAATACCACTTAGAGTCTGGGTGCTGATAATTACCCGAGCGGGAGGCGAAGGTAATTATCAGCACCCAGACTCTAAGCAGTCTTAAACAAAGTGATTAATACCGACCGAGCATATATTTTTTCCCATTCATAAATACCTTTTCGGTAAAAAAAAATCAAATAATTCGTTCAAAAAATCCCGATTTTGATCAACAAGTTCACTCCAGCTTTTTGAAACATCCCTCTAGCAAAATAATGGAGTGTTCAGCTGGCGAGTAAGATGTAAACAACCCTTTTATGGAGATTGACGCGCGCGTAGCACGTTCTGCGCGATGTCGCGCAGAACGCACCAGGGGCGTTGCGTTTTGAATTTAGAACTATAAAATTCTGACTCACTGGTAGTGTTGCGCATGCCTACGTGAGGATTGTGAACGATCAACCAATGAAACGGTAAGAGGCACTGGATTTTTAGGAGTCCACATTTTATGTGACACTGGAAAAGTGTTTAAGACCAGCTAGCCATGTCTTTATCATCCGTTTAAGACCGGCCACGTGACGGGCTCTCGACCAATAGGAATGGCTAAACTGTCTGAGGTATTTATGAATTGAACATAACTATAACATACTTTGTGGAGACAATAACTGTAGAACAACACATTGCATTGGATTGAAATTGCGTCTCATTAATGGCCATGATATTTGACACAACCAGTTTGAAAATTGACGGGAACCGTAGAAATATAAAATTTATATGATTTACAGAAAATATAGTGCTTTATCACAAGAAACCTATTCCGAATCTTAGTCACTTTTCATTGATAAAAATATAACACTCTTTGTGGAGACAATAACTGCAGACCAACAAATTGCATTGAATTGAAATCTCGTCCTATAATTGGCCTTGATATTTGACACTACCAGTTTGTAAATTGACGGAAACCGTGGAAGAATAAATGTAATAAGGGAATAAATGTGTGCTCCGGAGGTTTTTATCACTCGTTTAATACCGCTTAGAGTCTGGGTGCTGATAATTACCCGAGCCGGAGGCGAGGGTAATTATCAGCACCCAGACTCTAAGCGGTATTAAACAGAGTGATAAATACCGACCGAGCACATATTTATTCCCATTCATAAATACCTTATCCGTAAAAAAATATCAAATAATTCGTTCAAAAAATCCCGATTTTGTTCAACAAGTTCACTTCATGCTTTTTGAAACATCCCTCTAGCAAAATAATGGAGTGTTCAGCTGGCGAGTAAGATGTAAACAACCCTTTTATGGAGATTGACGCGCGCGTAGCATGTTCTGCGCGATGTCACGCAGAACGCACCTGGGGCGTTGCGTTTTGAATTTAGAACTATACAATTCTGACTCGCTTGTAGTGTTGCGCATGCCCACGTGAGGATTGTGAACGTTCAACCAATGAAACGGTAAGAGGCACTGGATTTTTAGGAGTCCACATTTTATTGTGACACTGGAAAAGTGTTTAAGACCAGCTAGCCATGTCTTTATCATCCGTTTAAGACCGGTCACGTGACGGGCTCTCGACCAATAGGAATAGCTAAACTGTCTGAGGTATTTATGAATATGGTTTAAAGGAAATATAGTGCTTTAACACGAAAACTTCATTCCGAATCTTAGTCTCTTTTAATTGAACATAAATATAACACTCTTTGTGGAGACAATAACTGCAGAATGACATACTGCGTTGCATGGAAATCTCGTCCAATAATTAACCATGATATTTGCCACAACATGTTTGAAAATTGAGGGGAACCGTGGAAGAATAAATTTAATATGATTTAAAGAATATAGTGCTTTATCACGAAAAAAAATCATTCCGAATCTTAGTCACCTTTAATTAAAAAAAAGAAAACACTTTTTTGGAGACGATAGCTCCAGAATAAAATGTTGCATTGGACTGAAATCTCGTTCGATAATTAGTCGTGATGTAATGACATAAAAAGTTTTAAAAATCGACGGCAACCGTGAAGAAAATACACACACAACGACAATAAAACAACAGTGTGTATGACGCTCCGTACTTTTTGCACCATCAATTTCTTCCAAAGGAGGGCGCCCTACACCAACACTGGTGGTCAGCACCGTAAAGACTTCTGTCAGTACAGTGTGGATCACGATCTGCCCATTACACAAAAATAAAACGCACTTTGTGGAGACAATAACTGCAGAACAACACATTGCATTGAATTGAAATTGCGTCCGATTATTGGCAATGATATTTGACACAACGGATTTGAAAATTAACGGGAACCGTGGAAGAATACATTTCATATGATTTTAAGAAAATATAGCGTTTTATCAGGAAAAAATCATTCCAAATCTTAATCACTTTTAATGGAACATAACTATAACACACATTGTGGAGACAGTATACTGCAGAACAACACCTTGCATTGGATTGAAACTGCGTCCGATAATTGTTCATGATATTTGGCACAACCAGTTTGAAAATTGACGGGAACCGTTAGAGAATAAATTTAATAAGGGAATAAATGTGTGCTCCGGAGGTTTTTATCACTCGTTTAATACCGCTTAGAGTCTGGGTGCTGATAATTACCCGAGCCGGAGGCGAGGGTAATTATCAGCACCCAGACTCTAAGCGGTATTAAACAGAGTGATAAATACCGACCGAGCACATATTTATTCCCATTCATAAATACCTTATCCGTAAAAAAATATCAAATAATTCGTTCAAAAAATCCCGATTTTGTTCAACAAGTTCACTTCATGCTTTTTGAAACATCCCTCTAGCAAAATAATGGAGTGTTCAGCTGGCGAGTAAGATGTAAACAACCCTTTTATGGAGATTGACGCGCGCGTAGCATGTTCTGCGCGATGTCACGCAGAACGCACCTGGGGCGTTGCGTTTTGAATTTAGAACTATACAATTCTGTCTCGCTTGTAGTGTTGCGCATGCCTACGTGAGGATTGTGAACGTTCAACCAATGAAACGTTAAGAGGCACTGGATTTTTAGGAGTCCACATTTTGTTGTGACACTGGAAAAGTGTTTAAGACCAGCTGGCCATGTCTTTATCATCCGTTTAATACCGGCCACGTGACGGGCTCTCGACCAATAGGAATGGCTAAACTGTCTGAGGTATTTATGAATATGATTTAAAGAAAATAATAGTGCTATTCAAAATATTCATTCCGAATCTTAGTCACTTTTATAACACTCTTTGTGGAGACAATAACTGCAGAATAACATAATGCATTGGATTGAAATCTCGTCCAATAATTGGTCATGATATTTGACACAACACATTTGAAAATTGACGAGAACCTTTAGAAGAATCAATTTAAAATGATTTAAAGAAAATACAGTCTTTAAATCCGAAACATTCTTTCCGAATTGTGACTTTTAATTGAAAGTGACTTTTAATTGAAAAAATGCATTGATTATTATTATGATATGCATTGATGCCCATTATTCGAATTTCTTAAGGTTTGAAAATCAACACCCTCGATATATATTTTTTTTTAAATTTCATATTAAGTGGAAAAAATGTTTTTTGTTTTATTTTTCCCTTTCTCAACGCGACTTGTGACGACGTTCACGTCGTCATGCGTCATTAATTTTACTATTAAAAGCTGTCCAATCACCTTTCACCAATACTTTAATGCAATGCATATTCATCTATTAGTATGCATATGCATATAAATTCTTCGCAAAGAAAACCGCAATGGCTACCTGGCTGCGGTAGCCAACGACGCGACGCCACAGGTTTCTGTGACCATGGAGGAACTTTTTCGGTAAATATTTCACTTCTTCTCAGATGGAATATGGTGTAGAGAAGAACTCGTAGACTAGACCACACTAGGATAGAAGATGAAGCTGGAGAATAGGTGATATTGGTGGTATTTTGGAATCAAGAAAACGAAACAAAATGTCCCTACAGAGATCGGTTGTTGGCGAGCCTTTGCACCAGCAGCGGCCGCGGTCACGTTCGGCCTACAGCAGTGCGGGGAGGCCGATGTCGAGTGCCGGAGTATCGCGAACAATGTCGGCCAATGTTCGCCGTCTTCACGAGGCCCTGAACAGCACCTTACCGGACCACGACAGGGCCTACTTCGTCCATGCCCTCAACGAGTACAATTCCCGGAGGAATGTCTACACACTGGTTGCGAACCTGAAGTCGATTTTGGATTCGCCCGAGAAGAGGCAACTCTACCTTCTTCTGGGTAAAGTGGTGCCCGCCTCCGACCAGGCCCTTTTCTGGCAGCACGCTGAACCATTTTACAACGAGCGGAGGAGGCAGCAAGAAGTTAATGGGAGGACTAATAAAAATGGTGGAGAGCTTCAGCAGAAACATTATTACGACACCATGCCGTCCAGGACACGGCCACCGGATCTGTATAAAAACGACGAACCTCACGGAAAAACTCACAGGAAAACCTCCGGGAGTAGTTGGGAGGCGGATGCGAATAAGGACATCAGGAGGGTCGTCTTGAAGAAGTCTGACTCGCCGGATGGGGAGTTGGGATTTAGCATCCGAGGGGGTTCCGAACACTCTGTTGGGATTTTTGTCTCATTGGTGGAGCCCAACACAATGGCCGAGCGAAAGGGACTTCAGCCGGGAGATCAACTCATCCAAGTGAACGAGATCCCCTTGGATAGAATTACGCACGGAGATGCTGTGAAGGTGAGATGAGAGTTGGAGTAGGAAATAGACCCGTTGACCATGACTCGATCCTGGATTGTTTTTTGTTCTTGTACCAGTACTCCCGCTGATACGCAGTGAATGTTCTGGGACTTTAAAGAGGTTGTGGAATGCTCGAAGACATTTCCGTCATTCTTCGGGTATATGTAGCCTAAGGTGGGGTGAAATAAAAACGACTATTGTTTCTGTTATAAAATGAGTACAAAAGGTACTTTTTAGAGCTGTTTTTCAAGTCCTGTCATGCCTGTTTCGACCCGAACGTGCAATTTGTGTACTAGTCGTCGTTGCGGGCAGCAAACAAAACACAGTAAATCGTGATGTAATAAACAGGACTCCCGATGCACAGTGGCATACACGAGTCCTGTTTATTACGTCACGATTTACTGTGTTTTGTTTGCTGCCCGCAACGACGAATTTTACACAAATTGCACATTCGGGTCAAAACAGGACCTGAAAAATAGCTCTCAAAAGTACCATTTGTACTCATTTCATGACAGAAACAATAGTCGTTTTTATTTCATCACACCTAGGCTACATATACCCCAAAAATGACGGAAATGTTTTCGAGCATTCCACAACCTCTTTAAAAAAAATTTAGCGTGAGGAACCTTCGTCTGACATTGTCATTGCAAAGTTCTTCCTTTTCAATTCAGGAGACAGGAATCAGACCTAATGATACAATTTCGGACTTTTAAAGAAAATCCAGAATCCTTTCAGGAAAATAAAAACAAAAGCTTAAAATGTTGGGAATGGGTCTGGAAATCGTAAAAAGCGTACATGTTGTATGCGATAAGTCGATCTGTCGGCAATCTGTCAGCAATCTGTTGCACGCACTGGGCTATCGGTCGATCACACGCTACTGGCTTTCTAATTTACAGCTCTGGAGGATTATTTTAAAGATAAGTAACGTCTGAGTTATTCGTCATGATTGACTGCGCAGCACAATCGACCAATCTATCGAATGTTCGATATATAATAAAATAAAATCCAATATTGAGAATATTTGATAAATGATTATCCCATGGATATAAACGTTACAGACCATAACGATGACACTTTGATTAAAAAAAAGAAGTTAAGTCCCAATTTTTCACGGCTTGTTTTGGAGCATATTGCTCAACTTTTTAAAACAAATCTTGTACTGACAGTTTGTCCAGAACAAGCGGTTCCTTTTGAGGTTCCAGTGAACGCAGAGCACAAAGCGACGATGCTTTGCATTTCACGATGTTTTATTTTGAGTCACAAGCATAAGTCGCCGCCGAGTTTTATTTCAGCAAATGTTTAAAACACAAAGTATAAGCACAAACAGGAGACCTATACATTTTGACCGAATTTGACGATAATCTGACACATTTTAAAACTATTTTCGATATCATTCCTCAATATCGAAAATTTTGATATATGATAATTATGATTAAAAATTGCTATCGGTGGTATTGATATCAAAATACTATTGAATAATTGAACAATTATCAACTGTGCTTAACATGTGTTTTTGTGCACAATTATAAATTCAAATACAAACCTCTCCCTTATTACAAATTAAAAAACTATTATTTAACAATTAAATATAAATTATTTAACAAATTAACCGCTACTACTTTTTAAAACCATCACTGATTACTGTTAGATGGCTTCTCCAAAACATCAAATTAAAAACATTACATGCCTCGTCTTAATCACGCACACGTGCGTGCAGCCGTGCACAGTGCGCTGCGATAATGCTGGTAATTAATTAAATGTTCAATTAAGCGGCCTAAGAACCCTCAATAGCATTTAACAATTATGGTGCTCCCATGTGCAGTCAGCTCATACAGCATGGGTAGAGAGTACAGTTTTTAAAAACACGTCATGTCCACCTGTTTTTTGTTTGTTTTTGTTGAGTGATTGAAAAAAAAAGTGGATGTTCATGCGATGTTGTGTTCTATGTGCATTAAAGGGAAGATACAACATTTGCAAATGCCAAAAAAACGAAATAATTAAATTATCACAAAATATCTTACTGGATTGTTATGGAATGACATTCTAAAGCATCCTGTAAAATTGTAGCTTCTGGTGTGCTGACATTTTTAAGAAAACTGGTATTTTTCAAAAATTGGTCAGCCGACCAGCGTTGGAGAAAACTGGCCTTTATTCAACAACTGCTCTTAATTGTTCATATTTGGTTATTCCGCATTTTTTTGCAATTGATTACACACCTGTGAAGGGGTACAAGCCTGCTTGACTGATTCTCTGACTTTACAATTCCCCGAAGTCGACAAACTGCTCCGTTTCATCTTAAGGGTCGGGAAACCAGACTACAAGAACAGATGTTTTTCTTAGTTGTTTTCCAGTATCTTCAAGCCCAAAACGTGAAACAAGTCAGTTAAACAATATTTGCTATTACATTCTAATCCCCAAAAACCATTTACCTCTGAAAATTGCAGCAAGAGCAAATGTTGTACATTCCCTTTAGTTAGAAAAATAGTACCAGGATAGGCAACTGATTTATTGATAACTTTGGGTCTACATGAACAAATAATATATGAGAACACATTTTTTTTTTTCAAGAATCCACGTAAAAGTCTTCTTTTCTTTCTTAAATCTGACATTCATGAATTTTACCCCATGAATTTTAGGAAACTCTGTTGAAATAGCTTTACTACGATTTTAAATCATTTCAGTATTAGTGGAAAATGTCTTCATGTTTGCAAGGTACATGTTTATAAATTTATGTACAGTATACGATGTACCGGTACGTACTTCATTCAACCAGCATTATGTACATGTTTTGTACAATGTACATGTACGTAACTGTGGGAAAATACATCTTTCGTACCCGAAAATAAAAATAAAATCTTTTTTTCCTCATTCCCAATGACGTCAATTAGAAGTTCAGTTTCGTGATCAACAACAAACATTTTGTTATGTAAATTAGATTATACCCATGCTGTGTAGTTTTTACTCAGTACTGTGTGCAATTCAAGGCTGGTTGCGTACAGACATGACAGACAAAATATAAAAATGTCCTTTCAATATTGATTAGTAATACCGCAAGCATGGTACCTACGCATTACATTAAGATATTGATTGTTTGGGGGGGGGGGAGCTGACTGCACACAGTTGTTGCACAACTGGTCTTTGTTGTGCTAACTGCATACAATGAAAGTGTGCCCTGCGGATTTGTCACGTAAATTGTACTCATTGTGTGCTGGAGGTTCGCTTGCAAGACAGGGGAAAAAATCAAAACAAAACACATGCTGCACGTGTTTGTGACCTACATAAATCTTGTAGGCCTCTTGTTTTGGGCTGAAAAGTTATTAGAATAATGCTTGCTTTAAATGGCACAATTGTGATGGACATTTTTTTCAAAAATCCTGAAACTTGTTTGTTAATTGTATTTATCAAATTTACATGAAACTGTAAAATTTTTGTGAGTACTCAGTATATTACTTGGCTTCAGGATGTTAATTCTAGCAAGATGAGACGGAATTGGACACAGGCCGTAGTGGAGAAAAAATAATGGGAAAAAAAAAAAAACCAAGACAAATGGGATGATTTTTTATTGATTGTCAGATTTATTAATATTTTTGATACCGTCTATGCATATTTTAAAGAAATAATACAAAAATTGGGGAATAAGTGGGTTTTTTTCCAGGAAAATCAATTAGCATTAATCATTATCAAGAATACATAACTGACAAATTGAAAAGACCTTTTTTTAATATTTTACTTTTTTTGCCTGTTGATTAAGCCAAATTCCGCTTCTGGTTACCTTACCTACGGTACATTTGTACATGTATGGTACATGTACCCTATTTTGACAGCCCAGGCTACCCTTATTGTTTTGGTGGAAAATGAGGGAAAAAACCGAAAACCATCAATTAGGCCTACTACCTTTCACCCTTTACTACACGCAGACACCTCCATGATCGTACACAACAAAAATTGCCCCCCCCCCCCCCAAAAAGTACAGTACAGGTCTCTAGTCAGTAGTTCAAGGTGAACAGCTGTGCATAAAAATTAAAAGTGTCCACAAAATTTCAACATGTACCCGGTACATGTACACGTGTGTAACTACGTACATGTACATGTAGATATTCTGATAGGATACATATTACGTAGGGCCTATACTTTTACTTTTCACATTTTCCATGCTCTACAGCGCCACGCAGCATCTCCACATTTGTAATACATTACATGTTTACAAGTCCCCACTCATGTATTACTGCACACAAAATCAGAATTCCTTGAATTTATGACAAACATACATGTATGTAGATATTACACACAATCATAAAAAATGTATCAGGAAAACTCCAACCATTGATCTTTTGATCTGGAAACACTGAAACATGATTCCAACAACTAAGGGAATTAAGGAATTCTCCGCACATGCACTGCTTACTGCATGCCAGCCACTTTGCAATTATCCTTGTTATTGACACTGACAAGCGCTGAATTAAAGATGCACTTCTATAATTAATGTGCATCCTGTGCTAGCTAATGGTACGTACTACATGTACATGTACATGTATTTGCTGAGCTACGGTTGTACCGTTACTAGTAGCGGCTACTAGTTGCTATTAGCAGTGCACCCTTTGGGGCCGAGAAGCGTGCAGCGTGGCTGTTACCATGGTAACCATACACACACAGAGATGCTCAATTCGTCGCTGACAAATCCGTAGGCCTACACAATTTACATGTAGCCCTAGTACATACCGGGTATGTACATGTACAGTGTATCGGTCCATGGAGGTTTGCATGTGAGTGATTGACTGCAGTGCCACAAAGAGGTGTCAAGGTCAACAAAGGACAGTTACACATGTAGCAAGGATAAAATGATATTTCCAAACAACCCAAATTTGCAAGACATATCTTGTTGGATAAAATTATGTTGTTGGCAAAACCTGGGTGGGAGGAATATATTTTTTTTTAGAGTCTCAACCAAAATACATGTCATTTAGAAGAGAAACCATTTTTGAAGGCTTTCTTTTTATCACAAAGTGTGCCCAAAAATATTACAGTACATGTATTTCAAAACAGACGTGTACAAAAAATGTAGTATCAGAATTTGCAGAAAAAAAAACCAGTGAAAATTGTGTCCCTTTATGAGAAATCTTTTCAATTTTTTTTTAACCAGTAGCCTATAAATTCTCATTCAAAACTTTTATAGGCATTTGAAAATCATACCGATCGAACTAAAACTGATAATTTTAGCATGTTATCCCTGAATGTTGTCTACATTATATACAATTTATTTTCCCATTCACGAAAATTTCAGGTCTCTACCAAAAATATTTCATGTAGATCTACAGCAAGTTAATGAGCCAAAAATGGACAAACTTTTTTTAATCTTTCAAAAATAAATTGTAAAGTCATTGGTAAGTGTGGTTTTCATAGAATCATCTGAATGTACCGGTATGTGTGAATGTGTATTTGGAATTAAGTACAGGTGTACATGTACATGTGTACAAGTATTCTGATGTGATTCTTGGTAAGGCAAAAAAAAAAAAACAGTTCTGTTTCCGATTACATGGCATTTGAAAATAGGGTCGATAGGTAGGGAATTTTTTTTGCCAATTTTATTTGTGTACGCGATCATATGGTGGCGTCTGCGTAGTCAAAGGTAAAAGGTCAAAATTGATGGTTTTGGGTGTTTTTGTCTCATTTTCCCAATACAAAAATAGGATAGGGGCTGTCAGAATAGGGTAGGGAAACTGAAAGCAGAACTATTTTTTTTGGGCCTAATATGATGATTTTTTCTTTATTGAACAAGAAAAATAATTTTCACTTGTTTTTAATACTAAGTGACAATATTATTGTTATATTTTTAATCTTCAGTCTGGCGGCTGAGGTGCTAAGCCCAAAGTTTAAACAAAGCTTCCTAATATTGCTTACATTTGAATCCAATTTTAACAGGTGCTCAAGAATGCCAAGAAGCTCGTCCTGTATGTCAAGTCCGTCGGCAGGTTGCCCGGCTCTTTTGTCTCCCACCAGACCTACACCTGGGTAGACCCTCAGGGGCGCAGTGTGTCGCCCCCCTGATGTCGACCTGATGGGGGCTAGGATGTCGGAGTCGCTGGGCAGGAAGAGCGGGCTGAATCTCTTGAAGGATGGTGATGAGAAGAAGGTGATTTTTTTTTAATGGGTTTTGCCAAAATGGAAGATATGTGACGTCACAAAATGAGCTAAAAAGTTGGACTCTTGAAGAAGTGAGATTTATCTGGATTCTGTGGAACAAGAGCTTTCAGTGGTAAATTTAGTGTATGCATTAAGTTCAGTAATGGAAATTTATATAGACCACCAACTTACTTGAAGAGGTCAGACTGATTTTTGAGAAAAATTGCATTTATGAATCCTGCAGTTGTGTCTGTATCAACATATAAAACAGGATGAAATCGGTTTTCAAGATGTTAGACAGAACAAACAGAAAATTGAGAAATGTACCGGTATTATTGTACAGATTGAGGTTCATCTGAAAACAAAAAAATTGACCATCCCTTCAAATTTTGGCTTGCACCACCGTGTACTGCAAAATAATAATAATAATAAAAATAATAATAAACCTGACTTATATAGCGCATAAAGCAACGGCATCAAAGCGCTTCTAATACAAACCTACATTTGTAAACTAAAAATACCAATACTACAAATACCTTAAAAACTACAGAATAGCGAATTAAAACAACATAGTCATAACAAACCCACTGATAAGATACTGGGTACAAAGTACAAAATGTAGTTAAAACAACGAGTTAAAAACCAATTTAAAATCCGCAGAATGTATACGGAATCCGGGAGAATATACAAGTATGGATTGCACATGAGAATCAGTTTTTACAAGTCATGCGCCATTTTGAAGAAATGGTAATTTCTGACTTCAAGCTCATTTTGTGGTGACAGGTCACATACCAGTATACTCACTCAAGGTACATAGGCTACTTAAACTAGATAGTCTTAGTCAAAGACTGGATTTGGATTTTGTTTTAATAATGCAGCCATTTCCAATCTCAGACAAGCTAGTGTATCAAGCTTTCGGGGTGGTAGAGGGCACTATCTACAAGATGAATCAAATCCAGTCTTGGAAGTTTATGTGTACAATACAATGTACAAAATTTGTGTTGCACATTGTTTAGAACTGTAAATGTTCAATTACATACATTCATGTACAGTACAGTGAAATCTTGATAAGTCAAAACTCAGGGGAATTGGCTCAAATTTTGAGTAAAGCAGAGTTTTGAGTTATCCAATGGATTTTCTTTTCAACAACAATTGATGGGAATAAGTTCTTACTTTGAGTTAAAACGATTTTGACTTAACAGGTTTTGACTTACGCAGATTTCACTGTAGATTATTTATTTGATATCCTTGAATATACGACAGATGTATGAAATACACTTTTTGGTTTCTGTCTTTCAGGTGAACCTTGTTGTTGATGATGGCCAGAGCCTGGGCCTGATGATAAGGGGTGGTCATGAGTTCAGTCTGGGCATTTACATCACTGGTGTGGATGCATACTCTGTGGCTGAATACGCTGGTCTCAAGGTAAGCTTTACTCAATTGGTTTTTGCTAGACTCAAAGGGCCAGCTTTATAGAATTACCCACTGGGATTTCCGTCCCAGCTCTTTTAATTTCTCAGGCAAATATTTTTAGTTATATTTAGTTTTAATATTCAATTACATAAAAATTTAATCAAACAAAAACATTAAAAAGCATTACACATTAAATTGTACCATATATGCAGGCCTGAGGGATATTGCCTAAAAAGCTAAATTAAAAGCTTGTCGAGAGGCTCTCCAACTACAACAGTGCAATTTGATTAGACACAGAAATGAAGGATGACAAACAGACAGACAGGCAAAATAACCAAGAAGCAAAACAAACAAATTTAAAACTAAATAAAAGACAAACAAGACTAATAGGAGACAAACACACAAAGCAAGAAATGCATTGGGGAAAAATAGACAAATCTAAGCACATAGAACATTACATAACTAACAAACAAACAACCAAACTAAAAATAACAAACAAACAAACAACCCAACACCCCAATAAACATACAAGAAAACGTTAAGCAAAAGGCAAATAGGAGAAGCAAAGACAAACAATAAACATGATTCAAGGCAGGATATTTGCACAAAAAAAGGACATAGAAAATAAAACTCACACAAAAAGCCAAAAACAAACATACACACATACTGAAATTCGTATTCTTGTGGAGACATTTCTTTGTTCTCATGTAGTAAAGTTTTCGAGTTTGAAAGTGAAGTTTGAAAATGCTCTTATTTTAACCAGAATTAATTTCCTAGGCTGAAATTTGGATATCCCTTTTCTAAAACTCTTCCATTTGCGACAGATCAACCCACCTTGGAAATTCCTAGTTTTTGAGTAAAATCCATATATCTATTTCGTGAAAATCTTGTGGAGACGTATTCATCTGTAGAAATTGCTCTGTGGAGACGTATACAATCTTTTGTTCCCTATTGTGTGCACATCTCCAGAGGGCACAGTGTATCAGATCACACAAACACCCAACAAACACAAACAACCCTAACCCCCCCCCCCCCCCCCCCCCCCTTTAAGTAAATAAAGGAGCAAAGACAAGCAAAAACAAACATACAAGGCTGGATAAATGCATAATTCACCAGTTGACATTCGACTCTAACCATGTCACCAGAATTTACAAATTCACTGTATTCTCATTCATAGGTTGGCGATCAGATCCTCGACGTCAACGGGGAGAACTTCTTAGACATCCACCACCAAGAGGCGGTCAACATCCTCAAGTCTTCCAAGCTGATGATGATGACCATCAAGGATGTCGGCAAGCTCCCGTACGCCCGCACCACCATCGACCGCACGCAGTGGATTACGGGGGACGGGGTGTCAGACCTGTCCGGTCAGGTGTCCAGACCCACGAGTGTGGTCAACGGTGGGGAAAGCGGTCCGGTGCACAACGGCACCAATGGAAATGCGTTCAATGGTGGTCAACTTAGTAGGAATGTATCCGTAAGTCATTGCTGATTAGTAAGGGAATAAATGTGTGTTTGGGAGGTATTAAACACTCAGTTTTAGACCAGTTGGAGTCTGGATGGGTGATAACTACCCTTGGCGAAGTTGACGGTAATTATTAGCATCCAGATTCCAACCGGTCTAAAACAGAGTGTTTAATGCCGACCAAGCACATATTCCCATTCATACCTTTTTCGGTAAAAAAACAAAACAAATCTTTTCGGTCAAAAAATCAAAACTTGTAAGTCAAAAACTTGACGTTGCCAACCATTTTACTTCATGTTTTATGAAACACCCCTGTGACTATTAAATGGAATGTCCCTCTACAGCTCCTTACCTTATAAGGACATTGGTGTACGCGTCGTGCGTACTGCACGATGTCGCACAAAATGCGGCTGGGCTGATGTAGTGTGAATTTCGGACTATGAAATACTGGTTTACTGGTATAGTATTGCGCATGCCTATGTAAGGAATGTGAACGTTCAACCAATGAAACGTTAAAAGGCACCAGATTTAAAGGAGTCCAAATTTCATGTGACACTGGAAAAGCGTTTAAGACCAGCCAGCCATGTCTTTATCATTCATTTAAGACTGGCCATGTGATGAGCTCTCGACCTATACGAAGGGGTAAACTGTCTGGTATTTATGAATGTTGATTAATAATATCATCATGACCCACATCAATCTTATCGTCATCATCATCATTCTCCTAATCCATCATGGGGGACGTTGAGCCGCCCAAACCAAGCGATCAGATGCAGACTGCTACAGCTGTTGTGCTCGTGTCTTGTGGTCAACTTCTAGATGGCGCACCCCGGTGTTGCAATTTTATAATGACCTACAATTCATGCCAAACTTTGTAATTTGTAATTTTTATTGACATGTTTATAAAACACAATTTTATATGTCAAATTCTTTGACTGCCAAATTTCTTGAAAAGGGCCAGTGCTTAAAATTACAAGTACCTTTAGTAATCTATTAGGAGTGACAAACGATATACGCCAAATTTTGTAATTTATGAGGTTCACTCTGTTTATTTGACAGGCGTCCAACTTCAGCAGGGGTATTGCCGGCACGCAAGTCATGTACAACTCCACGTTGGGCACAGGCACCCAGGCCTGGGGCATGATTGAGGACCAGGCCAGACACCTGCTGAACGAGAACGAGCGGGGGACGATGATGTATTACCTCGGGGAGTACCAGAACGGGACCATCAACGTGGACGCCCTGGTGATGGCTCTATTTGAGCTACTGAATACACATGCAAAGGTGGGCTTAAAGAGACAGGACACTAGTCTGGATTATGGTTAAGACTTTTAAACTACATTGTAGATCCAAGTTTTTTGCTGCGCCCCCCCCCCCTTCAAGATTTTCAAGCACCGTGTTTCTGAGACATTACAGCCTGCCTAAAAAAAATGGTACAATCGAAAATTATTTTTTTTCAATATTAAATCTCAACATAAGTAAGTCGTTTTGAAAGAAAAAAGACCAGGCTTTCCAATACTGTTTGTTTCATCTCATTTGCTTTTGTCAATCCAGAGATAACTCCAGTTTACTGCGGAACACAAAAATCGAGTTTGTTTCTTTTGCCAAGTTGCAATCTTTTGTGAGCTTCAAGACAGCATGGCACAGTACTCGAAACAACTCTGCCCATGCATAAAAGTGGCACAAAATCGATGTTGGTGTATCGCACTAAATTGATTATATCTCTGAATTGACAAAAGCAAATAAGATCAAACAAACACTATTGGAAAGCCCAGTCTTTGTTCTTTAATATTATGCCAAGTAAGAATGACTTATTTTGAAATTTCATATTTAACCAAATTTTTTTTCTGATTGTACCATTTTTTTTTGAGACAGGCTGTATATCCACTTTATTATTTGATAGTGTACACAAATTGAGCGGCTCAGAGTGGAATGTGAGGAATATACTCGCAAGGAAATATCTGGACTTCGCCGAGCGAAATGGAAAAGTCCAGATTTTACCGAGCAATAATATTCCTCCCATTTCACAATGTAAAGCCACTCAATTTGTTTTATATAACTGACATATAGATCCTTGATTTGTTGATTTACAGTTGAAATGAACTTCTGTTTCTATACAAAATTGGTGGGAAATGTATTTCTCTCTTCCAAACCACACCTAAATGTTTGAACCCAACTCTGTACTCCCACTGGCTCTTGGGGACAATACGCGCTGCGCTCAACGTGCACACACCACAGTGCATTTGCACTGCGCCATGAAACAAGGATGATCCTAACTGTTGAATAGTAAATCGCATTCACCATGGGCGAGTGGGACTTTTTGTGCCCCGGCGTGAATGGGAGCAATAATGAATGTCACGTGATGTGAGTTCCACCAATCAAATGGGAAGGATCTGTACGTCAGTTATACATGTATAATGAATCTCATTGTAGAAACTGCTAGGAAGGGGCCTACATTGTAAAAGGGGCTGTTCACTGTACATTGTACATGTGTCTGTAAGAAAAAGTGTGCAAGGGTCGAATGACACCTCACCCCCACCCAACCACCACCACCACCCCACCCCCTGCCACCACCCCACCCCCTGCCACCACCCCACCCCACCCCCCCCCCCCCCCCCAAAAAAAATCTGCAGCCAGCTGAAAATGTTTAGGACAGTTTTTGCCCCCTGCATACAAACACTGGCAGGTTTTTCAAAATAAATTTGGAATTGCCCTTCAGCATCTTTCTTTTCCACATCTGGAGAACGGATCAAATGGACGTACACCTTTGCCAATCCTGTGAAGTATTTTTAAAATGATTACCCAGATCACTAATACTGGATACAATTCAGACAATACTTCAACACTGAAAACCTGTGTATAGAATCTGGAGATGAACACATCTATGTTTTGGATATTATTTCTCATTGTTTTGTCTTTTTTATCTATTTATTGTTTTTTTTTTTTTTTTTTGCAGTTTTCATTGTTTTCTGAGATCCGTAGCTTTGTGTTTCCCCGGGATATCGACCAGTTTGATTCATTGGTGCTCAAGAGAGAGGTCGAGTCTATGAAGGTGAGTTTTTAGTTGTACAAATCCCTTGTTTTGAGTAATATGCTCAATCTTGGCTCAAAGTGAAGTGTGAAACACTAAATGATCCACTCACAGGCCTTGAATTTGGTCAGTTTTAGGGCAATGCCACATTGGCCTTGAATGAAGTAAAATTATAGAGGGCACAAAGGCCAGTAGGTAGGGCACCAAGGTCACATAATAACTGCAGATGGGCCACGGAGGCTGCCTAAATGCGACTGTATCGGCGATCGTGTAGTGTAGGGCCCCTCTTTAGTGTCGATCAAATTAGAGTCGAGGGTGTTTTTAACCATTAAACAATTACCTTTTCAGCCTAAAGCAGCTTTCTCTCAATTCAAATGACATATTTTTAAAAAAAATTTGAACAGTTTCTTTAGGTAGAAATTACTAATTTTGTACGCTGTTTTATGGTTGTGTGGTGCCGTGGGAGCGCCATATTTACGTTGTGTTTTGTCGTCCCGGTCATTTTACCCCCAAATTTCCCTCAAGAATTAAAACCCTGCCCATGACCTACCTGCATGTTCTTAATGTCGCCAACTAGTGGAATTTGTTTTCTTATTAATGGAAGCCGGGCCGGTAAACACGATCAGCATTATATCTTTTGACAAAACAAACTTTCAAATTGACTTCTATTTTCTAGCGTTATCTTAAGTTATGAGCTACAATGAAACATGATCATATTATTAAATTGAAGTACCGGTACCGTACATGGACGTACACATGTACGGGGCGCTGTGGTCCAATGGTTACGGTGTTCGACTCGTGTGCCATGGTGCATGGGTTCGAATTCTGACCGTGGGAACATGGTGCTTGTGCTCTTGAGCAAGGCACTTTACCATTATTGCTTCGTCCTTCGGATGGGACGTAAAGCCGTAGGTCCCGTGTCTTGTGTAATGCACGTTAAAGAACCCAGTAACACTATTCGCTAAGAGAAGGGGTTTGCCCCGGTGTTTCTGGCAGTGGCTGCAATGTGCGCCGCAGCACCTTGTAAACCATTATAAGGTGCTACATAATGGGTCTCATATTTCTCATAAACTTTATTTACCTTTCTTTAATAATTGACATATTTCCAGCGCCTTGAGTACCTAATTGTTGGTAGATACGTGCGCTATATAAGACTCCGTTATTATTATTATTATTATTATTATGTAGCATAACCCACAAATTATTTTTGAAACTATTCAGGAGGTTAAGCATTCAGCTACTAGCAAAACATATTTCAGTTTTCACTTGGTACACAATTGATGAAATATGAACACATGGTTGTACTAGACCGACCTTACAGATGATATTCAGAATATTTAATAATCATACATGAGACTGTATGAGAATAGCCGTCAGTGCCTGAGGGCTATTGTTCTTGACCAGCTGTTGCCAATCCGATTACCTTGCGCCAGTATTTGTTTGCCACTGTGACCTTTCAATGCTTTTGTACTGTTCTTTTTATTTATTTTATAAGTCCCTACTCCCTAGTCAGTGTAGTGATGTCAGTGCAGGTGGTTTTGCGTAATTGGGTTGCGATGATGAAGCCCCTAATTTTGGCCATAAATACTTGGCCATTAGGCTATTTATGTATTATGGATTGAACTAACACATGCACCTATTGAAACAGCTGTGAATCCACTTTCCACAGCCAAGTGATTTGTATGCCCCCAACCACCCCAACCCACCTTGCAGCAACCCGGGTCCCTCGTCCTACCAGCCATATGCACCCCACTGCCCCACCTCCACCCCCCATGTACCATGTAGGTGTATCATGTGATATTGCATGTGACAGTTTCATAGGCCATCAGCCTGGGGTTTGGCCAATATCAAATCAGTGCATAAATGATTATAGTGCGCATGCGCAAGGTATACCGCCCCTAGAGTGGTAACAAGCATTTTGATGGACAGTTTGAAAAAAAGGGTGATAACACCCAAAAAGCTGCCACCGCTGCAATGCTATCACATATTTTCCAACTCTGGAGGTGTAGGCCCCTATACCTTGCCAAAAATCGCTATGACGATTATTCCCCTCATTTGATACCCCGGTGGCCAAAATTTTGGACCGAGGCTGATGGCCTATCAGAGGTGACCATGCAGTCATGCTTATTCAAACTAGCCTGTCTGATGGGAAAATGCAGTGAACATGAAATTGAGTTAAATTCAATGGAATATAAAAATTACATTTGTATAGTGCATGTGATTTTTCTGAATTATTTTGCATTTGTTATGATGTTTGGGTGAAATGTCCATTGTTAGAAGTTGAGAAATATGTTTATGTGACCTTCAACATATGTACCACATGTTTGGGAATGTTATGACTAGAACAATTATTGTTGCTACAAATACCGGTACCTAGGTATATGTACCGTATGTTCCTTCATATCCAAAAAGTAGATGATTATTATTATTATTATTATTTATTCAGCCAAGATTTCATACAACAAAAAACAATACAGAGAATATGACAATGAACCTTTACAGAACAAAACTAGTGGACAGGTATAAAAAGATAAAAACAGGAACAAGACAAACCCAAATTAAGATGGCCAGGATTAATAAAGTGTACTTAAACAATGTGACTCGGAAGCCTACTAATCCAATCTTAAAAGGGGACACTGATATGATAAATATACATGTACAAATCATATAAAAACTCTCTAAATAGAACACAAATTAAATATGGACAAGTGTGAATAAGTATAGTATAGCTTGTCTAAAATGTATAATTTTTTTGTAAAATTACAACCAAAGTTTTGCTACCTGTAGCTTTAAAGAAAAGACACCCATCTCTCACCAAAAAAGGGTAATTACAGGTATTTTGTGACAGTTAATTTGCTCAGACTTTTAACTTTGCCAACTTTTGACAGAAATACGTCAGACATGTACACACTACCTGTGCATACACATTCTTAGGAAAACCACAAACATGACAAACTGCAAATACCGGTCGTGTACATGTACATGCAGGATTTATTTACACAACCTGAACCCAATGTCAAATTGCCTTGGCAAAAACATGTGTCATATTTCCAGACTTTATCAGCGTGAACAGTGGTTACCTTTCTTGACCTGATGACCCTTCCACTTGTAAGATCTAAGTACGGTACATGTACATGAAGTACTGTACATTTGTTAATGCTTGTGGGCACATATCGTCGGAGTTTTCGGGAAGAGACAATTTTGGCAAAAATCAATATATCTTCGAAATTCTTTTTTTTGGGCCAAAATCGATTAAGTGTATTGCAACGGACATCTTGGCGAATTTATTTTGTCAAAATCAGATGAAATTATTGAGATCATGAGAATCAATAAAGGGAAAATTTCACCCAAGTCGTATTTTCAGTTTTCACGAAGAGACAATTGTAGCAAAAATGCACGTTGTTCTATGGGGACAAAATAACGCACGTGTGCGATTTTGAGTTTTCACAAAGAGACAATTTTCGAGCGCGCGCAAGCAAAACGACGCGTGCGGGCAAACGAAGTGCGTGTGGGATTTTGAGTTTTCACGAAGAGACAATTTGTGCGTGTTTGGATAGCGGAGAGTTGAGTTTTCACGAAGAGACAATTGGATCATTGCCAATTTTCCCGGCAAAACCAATCGCCTGTGGAATTTTGAGTTTTCATGAAGAGACAAATGACTATGAACGTTCATTGCTCCGCAATTAATTGGTCTAATTGACTCGCAATTGATACAATGTGTAAGTGAGAGATTTCAGCTTACTATCGGTATAAAAAAATAATCAACATGTCCTCTAAAAGTAGGCGAAATCTTCAGTTTAAAAGGATTCAACTTTAAAGTCGATTTTCTCAAAATTATGTTTCAACGCCCCTTGGCCACAATTCTTTCTTCGTGAAAACTCTGACGATATGTTCAAAATAACTGTATTATTTCATTTGCATGTTCGTGTATTGTGAGGGCCTATTTCTGGATCTGAAATGTGGACTGCAAATAAAAGGACATTTAAAAAATCATGCATTTTTTTCTCTTTTTTTCTTTAACTTGATACTTTACAGATACATTTATGTTTTTTTAGTGATTGCTGTAATGTTAAACAACTCTATTTGTATTACAAAGGTTTTTCTTTCATACTCAACAAACAGTAAAATTTGTTAAAATGTATTTATAAATTTTAATGCCAATGAAGATTGTGTTTTACTTTTGTTCACATTAAATGTACATATATACTGTATGTCAAACGTTTTACAATGTATGTAGGCTTTCCACTGTGCATGTTTGGCCAGACAGTATATTTTGAACTTTATCAAAATGATCTACATGTTCCACGCATGTTCTTCTTTGAGAAGTTAATACCGGTATAGGCCTACAGTTCAAAGTTTTGCTTTTTAAAATACACTTTCTTGAATGATATTAGTCTTGATTGCAGAGACTTTCAAGCTTTTGCTGTTCTTGTAATGGGCTCTCCTGATCAGGGCCCAATTCATAGTGCTGCTTAACAGCGGACTTTGTGCTTAACTAGCCTCCATCTATTTCATAGGGACTGTTAAGCAGTAAGCACAGCAAAAGCATGCTTAACCCCAGAAGAAAACTTTGCTTAAATCAGTGACGTGACAATAGAAATCTCCATGCGCGCGCAACCGTTAGCACGTTCACGGCATGAAATAGTGCTTAAGCAGCAGCATGACTTTCTGCTATAGTAAGCACAACTTTTCTGCTTACTGTTAAGCAGTGCTATGAAATTGGGCCCAGGCCACATGGATCCTATTACTAATTTTAATGTAATTTTTTAATCATATTTTCTTTTAACGATAATTACTTATATATTTTCTCTAACCATATTAGGCCAGACAACGAGGTCACTTTATGAATGAGAGGGAGAGTTTATTTGGGGACACGTTCTCAAGCAGTAGTCATTACTCATCCAGCTCCATCGACTCTCGGCCGATCACACCACCACACGTGCCTGCCCAGTTGCCGCCCTTTGTCAAGGTAAGTTTGTGTGCAGTTTGTAGGTGTGCAGAGAGCATAAGCAATACATTTCACTGGCAGTTGTTGGAGGAAAAAACCTGATAATGTGGATTTTTCCCATGTATGTAAATATTGGAGTTTAGTAGAATCATGGACATGATTAAATGGTGTCATGAATGGTGCACTTGTCTTTTGGACTTTTTCCTGGACTTTCTCAAGTAAAAAGTGGATTTGTTAGTTGACGAATCCATTACTGTAACCGTGATTCAGCCTGTTTAATTTTGTGAAAACACTGAAAGTTTTTCTCATCGTCAAATTTTGTTTGGATCTAAAATAAAACAGGAGGCAGTGTCTGGAAATCGAGCATGAAGTGTATTGTAGTTTGTACATATACCTACGTGTACATGTACAAGTTTGATCATTGGCTTATCACTGCCATGTACTGATACAACAACAAATCACCAAAGAAAAGAATATTTACGACAGCGAAATATCCAAAATTCTGGCAATTTTTGGTACTGAAATAGCTGTAACATTGAGGTTTCTGCCTGAAATGACATCACACTTTTGCTCAGGAATATGGACATTTCCATTAGCTAAAAAAAAAAGCACCAAAATATTCTTGAAAATGGCAAAACGAAAATTGAAAATAAGGTTAATTGGGGCACAAAGGTACATTTTCAAGGATTGCATTAAAACAATTACATTGCATGGGCCCTTTAAATTGATTCAGAGAAATGATCCAAAAGTCCTAGTCTCTATTCTATGACTCATATGTTACTAGATGATGATTTGAAAAAAGTTTCAGGTTTTCTCGTTGAGCTCTTAACAAAATAGTCTGATTTGTACGTGATTCTCGAATTGTCCAAGCCTAATCTTTAGGTCGGTTCATACTTCACATGAAGTCTTCATGAAATTTGCTTCGCTTTTGTTTTTGCATTATGAACCGACCTTAATACATGTATGCATTCATGTGATGTTAGTAGTCTAGTCAGATTTCAGCCCTCAATACAATTCCCTGCGAGTCAAAAAGTTGAATTCAAACATTGCTGGCATGTTGTTGTTGACCTCTACAGACGACCTCTGACCCTGATGATTGGCCTCATGGCTTTGACCTCAGACAGATCAATGAAGACGCCAGTGGGCTTCCAGACTTCTCACTACCAGTAAGCAGCGTAGGAAAATAGGGGAAATTCCCCTGGGAAAAAAATTGGGAAATGTAACGGAAAAGGAGGATGATATTGAAATTAGAAAACAAGCTATGAAAAAAACAAACAGGAAAACTGCTATGGAAAAAGTAGGAGAACCACTGTGGAGAAATAACACTGGGCTGACCCTTCCCTGCAGATACAGCACGATTAGTTTCTTACATCAGGGTTTGCAAAATGTGTTGTTTTTTGCCATTTCTTTTAAAGTTCTCATGCAAACCAAATTGAAAATTGTAGAAATTCAAGACTTCTGGAACAAACTTGGCATTCCTTTCATTTGCAAGGCTTGTTTTTGAGGATTGTGCTGCTCAAAATATAACAGTTGTGTGGTGTTAATCATATTTTTATTCCACAACTAGAATTATATTAAGCAGTGTTGAGGACCGGTATGCACTTGTGATGAAATGAAACCAAGGATTCCTCAAAAGCGCCCTAGGCACTGTAGCTCGCAAGCCTGAAGAAACCTGAAGAGAAAACACAATGAGAAGAAATTACAGTTTTGGAGCTGGGTGGAAAACCCCAGAAGAATATTCTGGAGAAACCCACGGAATCAGGCAGGGACTGAAAACCCAATCCACATATTGGCCCAGGCGGGATTCGAACCCGGGTCACAGCGGTCAAAGGCAAGGAAAGTACCGCTACATGAACCTGACTCCCTGACCTGATTCACAATTTAGTCATTGCATGACCATCACAAAGCAATCACAAGTTATTCAATCCTCCACTGACATGTAAAAGCTATTCCAATGAACTGTGACATCCCTTTGTTATCATGTTTATCGTTCTTCGCCTGTTGCTTGTTCTTAGTCTTGTTGACTTGTGATTACTTGTGATCGCACTTGTGATGTACCTGTGATCCATCATAAGTATCTTGACCATTTAAGGATGTTAAAAGAATAATAGCATCGAATAAATGTGCATACATTTACACTGTTGTTTGTACGCAGGACTTTGCAATAGAATCCACCCCACCCACTTTGATCCGACCCTCGTCAAGTCATCAAAAGTCGTCAAGAATCACCCCTTCAAAATCGATACTGCAGTCCAGTCAGAAAACCATCACTGTGGACGTGCATCACCACGAGGATCCTCCCAAAAGCCAGGCAGGTAAAAATGGCTCGGAGGGGATATATGGCGGGTCTGTGAAGAGTCCGAGCGAGGACAGCGGCGTCGATGTGCAGCTGAATGGGAGCAGAGCCAGTCGGAGAAATGGCGACCGGTGAGTTTTGTCATGAATGTCACCAGTCTTAGTCCAAGCCTGGATTGGGAATTTGTTGCACTAATGTGGCCAGAATTAATCCCTGGCAGGTGTGGTAGAGTGGTCATGTCGGTGGAGGGCGCTCTCAACAAGATGAATCACAGAGATGCCAACATTTACGATTTAAGGCGTAATTTCAACGATTTAGTCACCCCGATTAAGGTTGTACGATCCTCATATGATTTTCTATGATTTTCCAAGATTTTACTTGAATAAAATACTGTGTGCGCGTAGTGTCTTGACTCCTGTTTTCGCATAGCGCGTATAAATAAAATGAGAATTTGGTATCAGACTATTGGGTGTGATTTTTATAGCGCATAAAAGAGCGCCGACATGTAGTGTGTACACAAAAAGGACATCACCCAAAGTAAATGAGCCCAATTGGGCGTAAAAAATAATAGTCCGGTTTTCCAAGTTTATTCGTAGGCAATATGTGGAAGTACATGAAGGTTGGCAACCAATATGGAAATTTAAATTGTCCCAAAGTTATGGGCACGTTATGCGGTAGATTGAACCGCGTGCTCTATGGTACAATTCATGGAAATTACAACGGACGCATTTCTCTGTGGCAATGAAACCTATAGTTTTTAATTTGGCGATGGCTTCATTTCACCAGAAGTTTAAAAATGAGTACAGCAAAAACTGGGTCTTTGTTGTAAAATCTGTTCGTGGGGAAAAATATTCCCTCTGCAACATATGTCGCTGTGACATCAACATCGCTCACGGTGGATCATACAACATAGAAAAACATAGTAATATGCAAAAACATGTTGACACTTCAAAGGCTGTCTCATCAAACTAGCGGATGATTTTTCAGCAGGTTTAATGTTATGTAGGGAATCGAATTTCTTGTTTTCAGCAGGTGTCTGATCTGCTGATGGAAAATTACTCTTTTTCAATTTTGAATGTTGGCATCTCTGGAATCATATCAAGTCTTGGGAACTTGCACTGGACCCAAGCATACCTTTTATGTGCATTGGTATTTCAAGTTTTCTTCGCATTGTGGAAGTTTTTGCCTTTTTTTCACATCCCATCCCACCCCATGTATGGTAGATTCCTGCTTTCTAATCCTGCATATACCCCCTTGTAATTTAGTGTATTTAGAATCATTGCAAAAATGTACTTGTAGCTTTTCATTGCCATTACTTCTAGGATATCGCCAGAGATAAATTTCAAGGCCCCTGCGATTAAAGATGTTACAGTTACTTCGGCTTTATAAGGCCATTTGGGGAAGAAAAATTTCCTTTTTTAGAATATTTTAAATGCCTTGAGTGCAATTTCGACGTGTACATGCATTTTATTAATTTTTGTACATGTACATTCATCTTATTAATTTTGAATTGTAAAACTCTAAAGCCACGTCTGAATTTAATACTTGGCCACAGCGTGCTATAGCACACGATTTAGAAGCGGCTGAAGTGACTTCTCATAGACATGCGTATTACTGCTGACCATACCCCGGTACCCAAGACATTTGTACACCACCGTCAAGGCATACTGTACTTGAATATAATTGTGCCCCAAAATAAGATGGTTTGAAAATAATTCCCTCTATGCATTGTACAAACTTTGTACAAAGTTTAGATGACTCTGCTTTGGTTGTGGTAATGCTAACCCATATTTTTTATTTTCCTTTGCCTGTTCATATCCTTCCCTGGCTTGTCTGTCTGCATGGTCCCCCATCCTGCTATACCAACCACCCTGCATCAACCTGCTTCATTAATGGCATATACATGTAGCTACAAGAAAAGGTACTTCATTCGTAAAGGGTTCAGAGCCCGATTTTATTCATCGTACATGTACTTGTAGTTTAGTCTTGACCCAAGACTGGACATCATTTATGTGTGTCTAATAAATGCCGGTTCACATTTCTTTATTAGGCAAACCGCAAGCTTACATTTTTTTTCTATATTTGGCATCTGCAACCCCCTCAAGAAAAAAAAAAGAAGGCTTTATTTTGGGTAGATTATATGCACACAAACAGATCCACCCGTACGTACATTATGCATTTGGAATGGGGTGGGAACCAGTCTACATGGACATGTACCCTCAGAGATGTGAATCATTGTTGGACCACAGTTAACTCAAATTGAAAGATGATTATTCCATCAGAAAATGTGTGCTGATATTTGGCCTTGATGTCTCATTCAAAAGTGGATAGATTTTGTATTGTTGAAATTTTTTATCAAAAGAAATATATTTTTCATGGTCAAACTTGAAAATCTCACAGTGAGTACATCTAAACGCATGTCAGTGTTTATTTAGCCGGCACCGGCCAAATTTAAAGTAAACGATATTTTGCTGACTAAGCACTGAACATGTGCGGTGACTTTTTTGGGGACTTAGAAATGTTTACCTTGAACAAATTTAGTCTGGTTCTGTGCCAACTTCTTGTTGTGACTTTGTATTCACGAGGTGGGAATCAGACCATTTTACAATTTCAAACTTTATTTCCCTTTTAAAACATCCTCCAGAGCCACAAATCACAAAAGAAAATGTAATACTCTGTAATTAAATGTTGGAGTCAATTTAAAAAGAGAAAAGAACAATATTCTAAATTTTTTGGGATGGGGAAAAAAAAATTGAAAATGTCGCCAGCAGGGCTGGGATTTGAACCAGGGATTTCTCACTCACGAACTACATGTACATGTATATGCCCTTATCCACTAGGCCATCGGGTGCTGCACAACGGTGGAGGTAATTTAATACCTTTTATAACGCGCTGAACAATCTTGCAGGCAAAATATCGTTTACTGAAAGAAAGCCAGCTAAACTAACCGGCTAAATACACACTTCCAAAATGTATGGCTAATATCTTCTCATGCCTTCCCTTGCAGTGTGACGATATCTCCCATCCCGCCCGTCACCATCCACAGTCCCGCTAGCCTGAGTGACATGGAGAGTCCCATGTCCTCCCTGGGTAGCCCCCGGTCAGCAAGCAGTCCGGAGCCCCCAGTCGTCAGGCAGGGTAGGCCCCGCAGATCGCTCTCTAGGAGGCTGAGTCTGGATAGTCTGTCAACGGAAGGCTCGTCTATAGCTGCCGTGAGTTTTTATTCATTATTAAACCCTTGTAGTCCTGCACTTCACAACTGTTCCAAGTTTTGCAAAACTACTTTTGCCCGTAGAATTAGCACTTGCACTTCTGAGGTAATCTTCTGTGGAGTATGGATAACACTTCATGGCATGCACAATTCGTTTGTGTGGTTAAGCTCAGGGCGTTGCCAGCAGGTAGATTCAGTCATACTTCACTACTCTCCACAAGTGCTGTTTTTTGTTCAGTGACTATCTGTGTGACACAGTATACTATAATGCTTCATATCCCGTCACCTGAAACTGACCTGCAGGTCTTTAAAAGGTTTTAAATAATTACTGCTCTGAATATATTGACTTCCCACCAGGAAGGTTTCCCGGAGGCTTGGAAATGTTTGACCATGTTTGCAAACTTCTCTGGGCAGTTGGTTGAAAATAGGTTTTAAAACACTTTTTGACAAAAGATATGCTCGTCTCTAAAGTTTGAGACTTCACAGAGGTGAAAGCAGATAATTAACCTGTTAAAGGTGTGGGTTATGCATTTCTTGAACTGATAAACACGTCTACAAATCATCAAGAAAGGGTTCCTGGCATTGACAAAAGACGTCACATTTCGACTTTTTGAAGCTGTTGTAATAAGGCAATTTTAGAGAGACTAAAAGGACAGCTGGTAACAAATTTAAATATTTGTTAAAAAAAAATTACAGCATGAAAATCTGTCACAAATATTATTCTGTATTAAAGAAACATGTATAAACACGTTGTCAAAGCAACTGTTGTGCAAGTATAGCAACTGTAATACAGGATTGTGTATTTCGTGTTATTTTTTGGTTGTATTACATATGATTTGCAGTTGGGAGAGTCTCCAAGGAAGCTGAGTGGTAGCAGCAGCGAGTACAGCATCCCAAGAAGAATCAGTGATCCTACACACGTAAGCAACTTTCTTATCTAATGGTGTTCACCCTTCACCTTCATATTTTCATAAGCACTGTACAGGGTGGTTTTAAAAAAAAGGATACCCACTTTTGACAGCAATTTTCACCTACTTACCGTAATTTTCGGAATATAAGCCGCGGCTTATACGTTGAATTTGCCCATGAAAATGTTTACTGCGGCTTATACACAGGGCGGCTTATACGCCGAGACTTGAAGAATAAAAATGACATTTACATGTGTATTTAATGTACTGGTACAAGAAGAGATGTGTTGCTAAAATAATTATCAATTAAGAAAGTCATTAACAAACCGAAAGCACGGAATCAAAGCACGTCCCACAAAAAGATACCGAGCGGTAAAAAGTACGGCTAGTGAAAGCTGTCCCTTGGACATCGACAACCGGCCGTACGTGATGCTGCCTATGCTGCATGCATGCTGCATGGATTCCCCATGGACCACACCATTTGTGGTAATAAAGGGGTGCACTTTCTTGGGAACAATAATTACCAATATTTCCCCAGTTTAAAAAAAGGAAAAAGACAACTAATACTTTTTATGGAGTTTGAAACATATCTTTATTTGATAATCAGTTGTTCATCGTCACAATATATTTTTTTTTCTTGAAATGTATTCAAGAAACGATGTAAAACTCAAAACAGGGGTGAAACCACCCCTACGAAATTAATGGATTCGTCCATAAAAATCTCGGCATCGTGTTGACTGTTTTCGCAGAAAGTTACGATCCAAACTTGAAGTTTTGACGTTACTACTCGTTAGTAATCACAACAATTTGATAAGTTTTGCTGTAAAAATGGACTTGTTTATCCTTTAGGACAAAACAACTCAGCATCTGTTGCCACAAAGCAGGATTTGTAGTGCTCCAGTCAGACAACACATGGTGGGTTGCATACTCTCTCAAGTGCTGGGGGAAAAATAATGTCATTCGACGGCACAGGCTCACTGACGAGCCAGCCGGCAGCAATTCCCGTTTTTTATTTCTCATCATCAATTTCCATATTTGTTTGTAAGAGTAATCGACTGTAAATGATTTGACATAACATTTGTGGCCCTTTTATAGTTTTCGTAGTGCAAATGGAACTGGTTCAGAGCATTGTGACTAGAATTTGGAGGCCTTACAAAATTGAACCGCTGCGGTTGGTGCGGCTTATACGCCGATGCGGCTTATACGCCGACTTCAAATCTTAATTTGCAGATTTTTGCGTGCTGCGGCTTATACGCCGCGCGGCTTATATTCCGAAAATTACGGTAATAACTTATTTTAAATATTTTTCACATAGTAGTAAAGTATAGGCTTATAACCATGCATGGTGAAAAAAGCTTAGTAAAAGTCACAAAAATAGTGATAATATGCTAATTTGAATACAAGTCACCAAAATCAGTCTTGTCTACAGGTTATTCTATGTAAATTGGACGTTTTCGTAGTTCATACACATTAAAAAACCTTCCCACCAAAATATATTTTGCTCTGGTAACTTTTATTGAAGCTGTCCAATTATTCATGTCAGTGTTAAGATCATCTTCTCAGTGAGCAGTGGGTTAAGTTCATTGTTGCATAACATTACATAACAATCAAATGTCATGCCCTTTCAAATGTTAAGATGGGCTTCATTGTAAGCGCGTTTTTTTTGAAATGATAATGTTCAAGCATGCATTGGTGCATTTTGTGTTGCGAGTACATGGATACCTCCGTGGACAAACAGGTTTCGCACATGAAATGTTCAAATTAGCATAGCTCAACGACAAAATGTGCAAATGCAACGATTTTTTGTCACATTTGCTTAAAGGTCAGTACTTTAATAGCTACTAATTGATAATTAAAATAATTTTAAAAATAGGTGAAAATTGCTGTCAAATGTGGGTGTCCTTTGTTTTTTAACCACCCTGTACACTCAGTGCTGTTTGATGACTTGCATTAGTTGCAAAATAAAAACATTTCAAGCTTCTCTGGTTGGGACTCAAACCCACAACCTCCTGCTTACTAGTACAGATGTCACATGGATCATGTGACTCATCTTTAAAGGTGCATGATTTAGAGCCCTATATCTGGAAAACTAAAGGTGTGGTTTGGTTTAAATTTGGTATGGTAGACATGTTATAGGTAAACATTAAGGAGACGTCATGATGACGTAATTATGGGTCGTGTGAGGTCACCTTACATGTGCATATTATAAAGTCCTATATCTAAAGAACTACATACATGTACAAATTCCATTGGGTTTAAACTTGGTATGTACGTAGACAAGGACGTGTCATAGGTAAAAATTGAGATGAAGTCCTGACGATGACATTACAGATATTGTTACATGATCGTAAAGGTGCATATTTTAAAGTCCAAGTCTAGAGAACTACAAGACTTGCCGAAACAGCTTATAAGTAACAGAACTTTGTTCGTATATGAAATCAAACATTTATATGACAGCCCATGGATGAAAAAAAAGCATAAACATTTTTACCAAATCATATTGCGGAAAAGCCCTTTGATGTTCTATTCATTGGACAGACATTGACCTCTAGTTGCAATTTGTGTTCTTTGCAGCATGTACCCAGAGAGCAGAAGAGAAACGTCGAGCAGAATAAAAGGGCCAGCGAAGCCCTTCTGGCACTGAAGAAGCAACCCAGGACTAAAACCACTCTGACCAAGCCTGCCAACCCGCCCCCTCCCCCACCCTCCCAATTCCTCCCACCCACAGCATCCAGATCCAGTACTCCCCCACCCCCTCCACCTATCCCAGCCCCTCCCCCTCCTAAGGGTGAGCTGAGGGGCAGTGTACGTCCCCCGCCACCGCCCCCACCCCGCCAGGGGTCGGTGATCACAGCGCGGCCGGCCCAGACGCATCCGCTGCAGGATCAACCTGGCACATCGCACACACTAGGGGGCAGCAAACGGACGTCGCGTACTAATGGTCATTCTAACGTTAATGGAATGCCTGAACATGTGAGTGTCATTCATATCTGCTGAGAAAAAAATCTCTTCTGAAAAAACAATTGGCATATTTACAAAGCTATAATGAACTGTGATAGACATCCTTTTTTGTTGTTTAACCTCAGTTACTTGTATTTTTTTGGGGGGGGGGGACTGGGTATGGGAATAGACTTATCACCCAATCCTCGATTTTATCCTTTTGCCCACTTGGCCAGCACTTACCCACTCCCTGATTTTAACTGACCCATTTTCAAATGTAACTTAGCAGACTGTTTGCTCATTGGTTGTACATTTTCTTCAAGCTGACCAATTTTTTTCAGTATCACCGTAGTTTGGCATTAATTTGTCCATTTTAGGAATTATTGGTTTGAAGTACTGTACAGTTGAACGCCGCTATACCGAACACTGTTATACCGAACATTTGGCTATACCTGAACATCAGCCTTGGCTCCCAGTTTTAATGTACAAAATGTACCGAACATCGCTGTTGAAAAAAGTCCACAGATTAACAAAAAATCTACTGGTTGTGCATGCATTAAACACTATTTTGGCCACTTTTAATTCTCGAACATAATGAATGACCCATCGTTACATTGTGTTTGAATGTTGAAGAGGGATAGATGGCTATTATTTCCCCAAGGAATAAAAGGGAAAACCACTGCTAAAGTTTTGTGATGACTCCTCGTGTGGCTGCAGGATGTGAGAAATGCCAGTTCACTATTTGTCATAAGAGAGTGCCGACGGTTCAAAATTGCTATGCCGAACGATCGTTATTACGAACACTTTCTGTGGATCCAACGATGTTCGTTATAGCAGCGTTCCACTGTACTGGAAACTGGTGTGTTTTTTATTAATGAATAAAAAATACAGAACAAAGTTATGGGCCCTTAAAATGTGAAAGATTTTTATTTCTTCAATTTTATTTATACTTTTACAATGTAGTATAAAATAGCCAGTTGTACTTGACCAGACTTACAATCTACTCGTTTTTGAAAAGAATGTAGTAATCTAGATGCCACTTCAGTGGATTTGTACAAAGTCTGCGGAGAAAAGAGTGCATTTTCAAAATATTTTCCAACAAAATTGGAAATGTTTCTCAGTCCCAGATTCAAGTTTTGTCAACATTTTTGCAATGACTGACGTTCATTCAGATAATATATGATGAAAAAAGTGGGGTCAGAATGCAACATTCTTTACTTGTTTTCATTTACAAGTACCTTGACTCCAACACCACAGGCTATGGAGTACCGAAGTGAATACGTCACGCGCACAAAATGTGTGTGAAAGACATTAGCGCGTGATTCAGCCCGTGAACCAACACGCGCCCGTACTCCATTCGTTTGCACTACACTTTCTGGTTCTAAATGATGTCACACTTTGGTACTCCATTAGGAAGACAAAAGTAAAATGCATAAGGAAGCAGCAATTTATTTTATCCTTATATAAAGATGGAAAAAAATAACCAAAAACCTTATATGGTTTCAGGTTATGGAGGAGAAATTCCCATTGGTCAATCTGAACGATGAATTCCCAGAAGGCATCGAGCTCATCAGTGTTCGGAAGACGAAGCCTAACCTAGGCATCGCTGTAGAGGGTGGGGCAGGAACCAGACAACCTATCCCGAAGATCATCAAAGTTCAGGTAAGGCCATGTCTGCATTACTTGGCTGTGGCTGCCAGTATTAAACACATGTGTCTATGAGAAGTGGTGTCAGCCACTTCCTCAGAAGCATGTGTCATTGCAAGCCATAACCAAGCTACTTGACGTAACCTCATCCTTCACGTTTACTTTTCAGGTTGAGTAAAAAATCCCAAAACCCAAATGGCAGGACCAATTTTTGAATGAAGTTTTGCCTATAGCATTTTTAAAATCTAGTATATATGAAAGCCCAATAAATGAGCTTTCATTTAGTACAAGAATCATTCAAATCAAATCACTCATACTTTTCAAGTTACAAATTTTTGAACACAAACACAGTTTTAATTTCCTTCCACAGATCACAAAAACGGTACGGGTTCTTTTGCAAATTGAAAACAATTCACATGCACCCCTATGAGAATTGTTCTGTGGACAGAACTTTAAAACGGTATTTGTGTTCAAAATTCCGTAACTTGAAAAGTACATGAGTGATTGGAATGATTCTTGTACTGAAAGAAAGCTTAATGACTGGGCTTTCATTTTCTAGATTTAAAAAGTGCTACAGGCAAAACTTCATTCACAAAAAGTGCTACAGGCAAAACTTCATTCACAATTTGGTGCTGCCATTTGCGTTTCGTTTTTTTTTACTCGCCCTGTACTGTAACAGTGAACCTCACAAGTTACTTTGCCCACATTATTTTAAACAAATTTAATCACTACAAAAAGTCACATTTAAAGATACATATATGCATGTACATAGAACCTCTGAAGATTTTAATTTTTTGTTTCGTTTCCGACAGTATGGTGGATCTGCATACCACAACAGCAACCTCAAAGTAGGTCATATAATTCTAAAGGTCAACGGGAGGTCACTGCAGGGTCTGACGCATCAGCAAGCCACACGCTGCATCGCAGAGGCCTTCAAGAACAAAGCCAACGACGGCATCAACTTTCTAGTCATCGACTCCAACAGGTACACCATTCAGTACTAGGTGAGGCGGGGCAATGTCCCGACAACGCAGATGTATAGTATTATATTAATTAAAGGGAAAATACAACATTTGCAAACATCCAAAAATAAAACTACCAAAAGCATTTTGAAATACCTTGCTGGACTGTTAGTGAATGACAGTGTAAAGCATCCTGTAAAATCATGGCACCTGGTATACTGTCATTTTCAAGAAAAGTGGTATTTTTGTATCAATTTCCAACGCTGATCGGCCGATCAGCGTTGGAAAAAACTGGCTTTTTTTCAAATACTGGCCCCAGTTGACCATCACACTTGTTTGCAATCGATTACACACCTATGGACGGGTACAAGCCAGCTAGACTGGTTGCCTGACGTTACAATTCCCCAATGTATGTAAACTGCTCTGTTTCTTCTTATATGGAGTCAGGGAACCAGACTACAGGAAAATGATTGTTTTTCTTGATTTTTATAGCATTTTCGAACCCAAAACCTCAAAAAAGTCAGTGTAACTATATTTGCTATATATTTCCAACCCCCCAATTCCATCCATTTCTGAAAATTACAGCAAAAGCAAATGATGTATATTCCCTTTAATGACCATGCAGCATGCTTAACCATAAATCTAATATATTGTGGCACAATCAGTTCAAGCCATGTAGGATCATACATTTTGCAATATCCCTGGAAAAGTAACTACCTTTTTTATGACAGAGCCTTGCTGAAAAAATGAAGATGGGACTGGTATCAAGTATCCAATGAAATTATTCTGCTTCAAACGGTATCGTTTGGAAAAAAACTTATATTGGGTGTGGTTTCAAAGCACACTTTTTTATGTGCATTTGCAACTGAGTTCTGATATGAAACCCAATATTGGACGTAGTATCCACTGCTCAAGCTGGAACTTCAACAAGTAAAGATTTTCAAAGGACAACAAATGAAAAAAAAATACGCAAAATGCAAATTATGATTCTACATGTACATGTACCTTAAATATATTTCACTTTACTTGGCTAAAATGATGCGCATGTGCCCTATATGAACCCCTTTTAGGAAACAGCATCTATGCAGCTGCATTTTTTGTTCCGAAACATAGCATTTAGAGATCACCGGCGAAGTTACATTCCATCTAATTTACTCTATGATCAACATGCACATCGATTCATGTTTGTTCCCAGGACACATTCCAAAGTATTTTACCTGCGGTAACGAAGAGAAAGTGCTCTAGTAATTTGTTATAGACTGATTCGGCCAACAAAAGTAGAGCTATTTTTGAGGTGGAACCATATTGGCTCTTAACAGACTTCACTTACTCTGGTTAATACAAGGCAAAAGAATGCTCAGAACTCGTGGAGCTTGTCGCGACGCCGGGTGTCTGAAAAGCAGGGTTTATGAGAACTTGTTGAGAACAGCATTACGATTTTAAGCAGCATTATATATTCTTTGGCATATCGGGGTAAGCATCGATGCAGTGTAGTGTGTAAAGTATATTTTCAATTTTAGTGAGGCTGTCTTTTGCATATGTGCGGACGAATGATTTGTGCTCATATTGCATATAATGCACTCTGGTCGCTGATGCCATTTTGCAACGCCACTTTTGTTTGGATTGATGTAAAATTTCTTTAAAGGCATTTCTAAAACCAATATCATGATGTCAAACTATTGTGAATGAAAGAGGTGTCAAGCAATACATACTTGCATTATTCAATTTTTTTTGGGGGGGGGGGTAGAAATTGATTTCAGAGTTAAAACTGTTTCCAAATGATTTGCAAATTGTGAAATGCTTTAATTACGTGTAAATTGTGCCGTTATTGAAATGGAGGTTTTCCAACTGTCTTAGTCTTCTCGGTATGTATGTAAGAAATGTTGAATTGGATTGTAGTCTGGAATCATTCATTCTTTTTCATTGAGTGAATGTTGTACTACATGTATTTAAACTTCATCAGGAACTTTGATGTAGAGATTGAAACATTTCACGTTTTCAGCATTTCAGTTTTGAAAACTGGATTTGAAGGCATATAGGATCATTTGCACCTATCCCAAAAGTAAGCTACTGAATTAATATACATGTATGAAAAAAAAATCTTACTTGGATAAAAGATTGTACTGGAACTAAACACCCTGGCTTGCTGTAATTGAGACGAAATCAAGATATGTAGGTGACTTCCAACAATCAGTCAATTGACTGATTTTTGAAATATAGAATAGACAGAATCATGTTTCGTGATCAAAAGATTGTGCATGTTTTTCATTGTTTTCCTGAAAAGTGTAACACCACGCTGAAATTTCAACAAATGCATGAAAAACAAATGATCCAAAATGAATATGCCTTTAAAAAGGTGTGTACAAGTCTTTTAATTTTAATCAAGCCAAAATAATCCTTTAAATCATGCTTTCATTAATTCAATTTTTACTTCGTATCTTTGTAAATATTTTAATGCGTCTTTTCTACCCCAAACAAATACATTTTTCTACTTAACTTAATATATCAGAATGTGCCTGTTGAAAAAAAAACTGTTAAAAATAATTAACATTGCAGCAATAGTTACTTGTATAGCAATAACATTCCTTGAGACTTTTGTACTTGCATGTGGTTTGTGCTCATGAATTCCTTATTTCCTTATCGAATCCCCAAAGGAATTCTTCACATTGTGGACATGTGGTTGGGGTTCTTGATTTGGCACTTGTATTTTGGGCATTTTGTACTTAAAGCTCATTAAAACGCAACGAAAGTGAACATAAACATTCCATCGGTCTGAACTTTTACTGACAAGAAAGTAATAGTAAGGCAGAAAAGCAAATTCTATTTTGTGCTGTTGCATTAGTTTTCACCATTGTTTTAACTGGACAAAAATCTTGTTACTGTGGTGCGTACATAACCAGCCTGTGATGTTATGTTTTACCATATGTGCATTACGATACTTGATATAAAATTCATCAATACCTAGGACAGTTGACCCATTCTTATTGGTGAAGAGCCCGTCAAGTGGGTGGTTTTAAACGGTTGATGAAACACTGGCTGGTTTCAAACGATTTTCAGTTTCAGTGGTCCCTGTTACCCTTCTATTGACGTTCAAAATCTTCACTTAGGCATGCCCAGTACTACCAATGAGTCCGTATTGCATAGAGTCCTAAATTCAAACTACACCGGCACCGCAGATTCTGTCTGTGCCACATCGCATGCCAATCACCATATAAGGAGATTTTTTGTACTCGCGAGAGGCACATGCCATAACATAGCCAGATTTTAATTTTTTTTTAAATAATAATCAACTTGTCTTGATGTACACCATGTACACTGCAATGTGGGCTAAATCTTACTACCTCCTTTTCAGTACAATTACATTGTATTCCTTTTTTTTCAATCAGAATTTGTATCTTCTCACAGTTTGTACCTTAAACTCATATTTGTGAAAAGAATGTACTGCATTCTGCCTCACTTTTGTACTGTACATACTAAACATTCCAGTATTAAAGAAATTAGCTTGAAATTTAGACTGCCTTTGGAAAGCTTTGTAGATTAAGATGTACTTTGTCGCCTTATGCTTTTCCACTTTTCTATCTTGCTGCATGGCCTTGTTTTCTACTTAAAATAACCTATTGTGTACTTATTTAAAACTACAAGAATTGTATATGAACCCACAGCACTGTATTTTTATATAAATGTATTTCCAGCAATACTGATTGAATAAGGTTTCCCTCATTGGTTATGAGCGGAATCTTTTCAGTGTGTAAATTTGTATGGTTTATGAACATCTGTTGGAAATTGCAGGACACTGTTAAATGTCAAGACAGTGTTGTGAAAATCAAGCCCTTGAAAGATTCAGGCAACTTAAAACCTAGCTTGAGTAACTCAAACTTATAATGTTGTATACTGGATTTAATAAAGAGTTCTAAAAAAACCGGGACTCTCTGTATCACCAAAATGGCCCTTTCCCCTCTATTATCCCAACCCAGATTCCATTATACATCATTGGGTATGTTTAATGGCTGGGTTGGGCTCATATACAGGGGGAAAACCAGCTCTATAAGTCGAATTCCTGATGAGCATTGGAGCCGGAGTTACTCAAGCTACTTATGTAAACCTATAGTCTCTGAATCATATTTCTTAGAGAAAACTAAAGCGGTCGGATGTTTCATCCTTAGCGAGGACGTCCTCAGAGGCAAAATCGTATTTCTTGTTTGTGTGGTGGAGTGAGCATTAAAGTTTGCAGTTGCACCATGTTATGAGAACTCTTTTTAAAGTTTGTGTGGTTCTGGACAGAACCGTGGGAACTCTTCGTTTCGGGCAGTATGCTCTGCTGGTCATCACTCATCAGGACTGTCTCACACCATGGAGCATGCTCACACCGAGGTGCAGCTGCATGCATTTCTTGCCAAATGGTTGCAACTTGCAAACTTACAATTTTATTTTCACTATATTTTGTGTACTGAGCTATTTGTATTGTATCTGCTTAATACAGGGTGTATACAAATAATGTTATTTAAAAATACTGGATGAGTATTTTCAATTATGGCCTTGAGCAGTACATGGGCGCTGCCAGTGTGGTTGCATCTGAATTGGCGTTTATCAGCTTTCTATTGATACCTTATAATTACTTGCAACCCTGCAGTCATGGATGACTGAGCACCACTTTCAAAACAGGAGTTTATCACCATCTTCTGTACAATAGGGCTGATTCTGAGCAGTGCGATGAACTGTCCAAATAATGTGACTTAATAGTTTGTGTGTTGGAAAGGGAAAGGCCTACACAGTTCACGCCAGCTCATCATGCCAACACTAAAATCAGACCAACTTGACAAAAGGTTTCGAAATTACAATTGCTTGTACGTATGGGTCCTATGTACTTGCTTTTGTATTGGTATTTGTACATGTATGCCACTTTTTAGGTTTTTTTTTAATGTGACTTAACCTTGCCTGTTACATTTGAAGGGCTACGTTTGATTTCTATACAGTGTCATTGTTTTTCTGTGTTTTAACTTTTGCTTTATTTAATGTTGCTACTTTTTTTAGCTGCTTTTTTAGAAAGTTACTTGAAATGTAAAGTTAAACAATGCAGGGTGTTACATGGCAAAGAAAGTATTTTTTCCCAGGCATTTTTATCTTAAGAGGCTGAACTTTGTTTGTT